TAGTGTATTAAAAAACATTGGATGGGTAGGCTTGTCACGAGAAAATGTTGCAGAGACCTAATATGAAACCTCACACATTGGGTCTTTGTTGGGATTTGTATTTTAAAATTTCAAGTCTCTAGTCTGTGTTAACTTTAGAACCAGTGAGGAGCTCTGACAGCAGAGAAGGTAATGGTGCTTAGCTATCATCTAGTCCAATGCTTTTTTTTTAAATGTTTATTTTTGAGAGAGAGAGTAGGAGAGAGAGAGAGAGAGAGCATGAGCAGGGGAGGGGCAGAGAGAGAGAGAGAGAGAGAGAGAGGGAGACAGAGCATCATCTGAAGCAAGCTCTGCACTGTGAGCAGGGCTTGAACTCACAAACCTTGAGATCATGACCTGAATTGAAGTCAGACGCTTAACCCACTGAGCCACCCAGGCGCCACCATCCAACACTCTGAGTCTGCAGTTCCGGCAACTGAAGCCTGGAGAGGCTGACTGACAGATACAAGTGACAGAGCTGGGACAGGAACCTAAGCCCAGGACCAGGGCTCATTTGTCCACACAGCATTGTCTAGTCTTGAAAGCAGCACTTGTTTCTTGTGAGCTAGCACATTAGTAACTCTCTCTTCCAAGGATGGCAGTGACATAATTTGCCGCCACATTGCAGAAATGTTTTACTACTTTTGCGATTTCCATGGACATTGAATAGGTTTCCCAGCCCCTCCCCCCGCCCCTCCGCCCCGCCCCCGCTCCCATCTTTTGGTGCTTGTTATGCAACACAAAACAATTTCAGCGTGACTCCTAATAAAACATTCCATTGTCTGTCTCTTGCCATCTTAATTCCTCCCCAACTGCCTTCCATGTTTCAAAGACCAACGGAACAACGGGTCATCTGACTGCTTGTTGCTGCCATTCCCTAGCAGCCAGAAAGCTACAGGTCTAAGTTTACGGGCCGACAATGCCCTGGTCTGGTCACTAAATATTTGTTTGATGTTACTGACTTCTTGTGGTAGTAAAAAAAAAAACAGTTCCCTCATTGTTCAGAAAAGATAGAACCATCAGTTTATGCAAGAACACGTTCGTTGCTTAACATGCTTTTTAGGTGCAGCTCTGAAAACACTGACTTTAAAAACACATTGATAATTCACTTTGAACACATGCCACTTCTTTGGAATTTTTTCCCCTCTGTGATATTTAAGTAAAAATAGAATAATTAGCGTTCTGTTTTAAGGACCAATCGCTCCTTTCCTCCACTAGAATATACATTTATATATATGTATATATATGTATTTTTTTCCCCTTTGGAGTCTTGCAAAATCCGCTCATAGAGAAGGTGTTGCCATGGCAGAGTCTTATTTAAGTTGCTTTATTCTTCCGAAGGCTTCAGTTGCTTTACATCCTGACTCTCCTGGTTTTCTAGTTCTTTTCTTTCTTTGTCTCCCCTCAGCATATGCCACAAGATGGTTGTTTTGATGCCTGCCTCCTGCCTCCCCTGGTACCCACCGCGTCCTCAAGCTGCTGAAGCCATTTGGTACAAACCCAGAGAGTTCACTTGGAAAAGCACTTTATTCCTTCCTGCCAAGCAGGAAGAAAACAGGCTAGACAACAGGACATCCTCCTTGTTTCAGCCACATTGAAAGAGAGATTTAAATGTGCTTCTGTCTGGGGCTCCCGGGTGGCTCAGTTGGTTAAGCGTCTGACTTCAGCTGAGGTCACAATCTCACGGCTCGTGAGTTCGAGCCCCATGTCAGGCTCTGTGCTGACAGCTCAGAGTCAGGAGCCTGCTTCAAATTCTGTGTGTGTCTCTCTCTCTCTCTGCTCCTCCCCTACTCACATTCTGTCTCTGTTTCTCTCTCTCTCTCAAAAAAATAGACATTAAAACAAACAAACAAAAATAAATTTGCTTCTGTTTGATGCTTATGGAATGTACACTTTGTGTCAGGACCTGGGTTAGTTCCTATGGAGAGAAGTGGCAAGAAAATAGATATATTATAAAAATTTCAAATCCCTAATAGCTCCTCCTTCCATCTCCGGCAGTCCCCTCAGGTTCTGGAAAACAAATGTTAATTTTATGGGTCCAGGGATGGCCTTTGAAGTTCTCTGAAATCCCTAACCTTTTCCTCTTCACTGTTTTTCAAGTTTGTGTGTGTGTGTGTGTGTGTGTGTGTGTGTGTGTTAAAAAACTCTTCCTTGACTGTAAATTCCCCACTATCTACTAATACCACACCTCTTTCCTTTATAGTCAAGTTTCTGGAAAGAATAGTATATTTTCAGTATCTTTGTATCTCTCTTTTCTCAATCATCTTTCTCTCAAGCCTCCATCCATTTGCTTTCTATCCAACCAGTGAAATTATTCTACAAGGATTACTTTGCTACCAACTGCTGCATTACAGACCACACGAGGTCATAATGACTCACAGCAGCAACAGCAGTCTATTACTATCTCTCTTGAGTATATGGATGATTGGGCTCAACTGGGTGGTGCTGCTTCAAGTGACATTGGGCTGGGTTGCAATCATCTGTAGGCTCGACTAGGCCAGAATGTCTGAGATAGCTTACTTACACGGGGGGAAGTTGGTTCTGGGGTGTTGGCTAGGTTGTCTGGGGCTATTGACTGGAATGCCTTGGTTTTTCTTCTATGTGGTCTCCGCATGTAGCTTGGACTTGTCACAGCATGGTGGCTGGGTTCCAAGGGAGCACTTCCAAGGACAAAGGCAGAAGCTGGAGGTCTCCTAAGGATTAGCCTAGGCAGACTTACAGTCTTACTTTTCCCCATGTTCTTCTGGTGAAAACTGGTCACAGGGCCAGCCACATTCAAGAGGAGGAGAGGTTAATGGCATGATCATATTGGTAAAGAGCTGTGGGATTCTATAGCCCGTCTTGTAAACACAGTTCATTACTAAGATTACCCTAACTGACCCAACTGCTCCTCTATAGCATTGGCACTATAGGCTCTGTGGTTTATTGGTGGTGCTGCCTTCTGGTTCCTTTTCTGCCTGTCTGCCCACTGTCCTCAGTCGTCTCCATGTGCTATTCTTTCCCTCCTTGCTCTGGCATATTGGTGTTTCCCGATATTCTTCACTTGTTCTTTATTCTCCATTTCTTTCTTAGAAAATCACATCTGCCCTCATGGTTTAAAGTTTGATTTATTCATTTGACAGGTATTTATTAAATAACTAGCATGTACATACCACCAACTGGATGAAAGATATGATAGTATAATTGTGCAGGTTGTGCTTTGCACAACCACAAAAGATGCCGTCTTGACTGTATCTGTCTCTCTCATATCCGTGATTCTCAGCAGAAGTGATTTTGTCACACACAGGACGTTGGGCAATGTCTGGAGACATTTTTCATTCTTACAACTCAGAGGTAGGGAGTTACTGGCACCCAGAAGGAAAAGACCAAGGGTGCTGCTAAACAGCCTGCAATGTGCAGGACCACCCCTCACAATTAGAAAGATCTTGCCTGTAATATCAACTGTGCTGCATTGAGAACCCGTATCTACATCTGTATCTACAATGCAACTTCCCCTTGAGTTCCAGAACCACATTCCCAATGGTCTGTGCATCCCAGGCTCTGGGAATGCCACCATAACCCACCTGACTGGCTTTCCCACCTCCAGGCTTGCGTCGTTCCAATCCACATTCCACGCAGCTGACAGAATGACTGATTTTTGATGGACAGCTAGCATCTCCCCTGATTTGAAACTCATCAGTGATTCTCCATGAACTTCAGATAACATTAAAACTCCCTAATGTGGTTCACAAGATACTTTATGATTGGACTCCTTTCTGATTTCCTATTATATCTTTCTAGTCCTTTTTACTTCAGTCACCCTGGCTACCCTGTGGTTTCCAAAGTGTGCTGTGCTTTCCTATGCCTCTTGGCCTTTGCACGTGCAGAATGCCTCTCTTCCGGGAGTGTGGCCAACTCCCCTTCAACTCTAGGCTCAGCCCCAGGCTGGAGTGGAGGATCCTCCTTTTTGCAACTTCTTTGAAGACTCATAAATGCCCCTGCATTTATCTGATGCCACTGTGGCAACCATGATACCATCCTGTAATATTTACATTTTCTGCTCACATCCTGCCAAACAGGCTATGAGATTTTTTGACGTCAGTGGGTAGCATTTGCCTCTACGGCACTGGTACATAATTGGGGTTTAATAAATGCATGTTGAATAAAAGAGGGGCCACCTTTTCTATTCCTAGTGGTGCTCATTGGCATTAAAGGCAATATACTTAATTCAAGAAATGAATTGGATGCTGAATGTCTACCAATCATAGGCAGAATGGTTGAATAAATTATGGTACATCCATATTGTTGAATAGTTTGCAGCTATCACACAGGTAGGAATAGCCTGCATTAAAGCAGAAAAAGGTCTGTGGTGTATTATTAAGGGAAAATGCATGAACAGTTTTATGGTACAATATACAGATGTGTGTATACATTTGCATATGTGTGTTTGAGCAGAGTGCATTTGGAAGGATATGCTTCGAACTGCCCACGTTGGTTTTATCGAACATGCCTTAGTATTGTAATTAACAATCAGTTTGGAAGTAAGCACTAGTATTCAGAAACCAATTTCAAGACCAGATATGAATCTGTTGACAAACAATAAAGGTAGGAGATGATGTGGAAGAATATTACTTTAAAGGCTTAGGGAATGCTTACAAAAACGGGGATCTCTTTTTTCATGTATCTGTTGAATGTTTATATATGCATAGAAATAAATCTAAAGGTTTAGAACAAAATAATTGCTGTGATAATTTCTGGATGGCAGATGATTTTTGTTTTTTTCTTTTAGCTTATCTGTATTATGCAATCTCAAAACAATGAGCACACCTTATTTTCATAATAGAAGAACATTATTTCTAAAAATGGAAGATAACATGCAAAAACTGGTACCATTAAGGTGTCTGTCACGCGAATTCTCAGGACCTGAAAAAGGCAACAATCTCATGCAGTTATTACAAGATGAATACATTTGAGAGCATAACCTTTTTGTTCCTTTCTTACAGCAAAGACTGAAGGAAGAGAAGGAAGCCAAACGCGCCCGTTTGGATGGTAGGCATGACTACGTATTTGCAATTGTAGCTTCCTGCGTGGACCTGGACAAAACTGAAGTGGAAGACGCCGTTCTTGAGGGGAATCAGGTGAGATGCATCTGAGTTCTCACTGACTTGGTTTTGGAGGGCACAGAGGACCTGCTGACCTCGGTCCGTTGGCAGGACCTGTGCTTGGCTGTAGGCGAGGGTGTCCATTCTAACATGGACAAGAGTCCTTTCTGACCATGCAGGTGGTGGCAGATGGACCATAGGACTCTCCAGCTCTTCATGTTGAATGGGGGTACTTAGAGCTGTCATGTAAGTCCCATGGTTCTGACAGCAATGTCTGCATGTTTCTGAACCCAGTGGAGGTGGGTCCAGGTGCCATCTTGGAACTTGAGGTTGGAGAATGGAGTCGTACCTCAGCTTCTGACTTATCTTGTCTTGCAGTTTTCCTGTTCTAACCCGGGGGATTTGAATTTCGGCAGCTGAATCTGTTTTCTGTGGTTCCTAAGCCTGACTTCCATTTTCTGCCATGATTTCCCTCCAAAATCTGGGGTGTTACTTGATTTTGGGGAGGGAAGGTCAAAATATGGGAGGATATAATTTCCTGGGCATTGAGGAAGGCATATCAGGAGCCCTGTGATGGTTCCTGAAGGTTTCTTTGTTTTTGTTTGTTTTGGTTTATTAGGTATAAAGAGAGAGAGAGAGAGGGAGGGAGGGAGGGAGAGAGTCCTTTCTGTTGATAGGGGTGGCACACTATTGAGAATGCTTTTTAGTGGTATGTCAGTAAATGTTTAACAACTGGCTTTGAGCACGAGGGCAGAGGGGAGCACTATATTCAGTTTGTTGATTCTGTAGTGTTAATACTGCCACAATGGCTGATTCCAAACTATGAACATGATGCTACTAAAGCCTTAGCTAGAAAGGGTTGTGATCAATTGACTGTCATGAACCAGTGTGAGCTGGCTCCAGTACTCCACTGGCTCTGTTTCTTCCTGCCACGTCAGTCCGGTGGGATCAGTAGGAGTCAGCGGAACAGTGAGCAGTGGACAACACTAAAAAGGCTAAACTGCAGGAGGAGTTAATTAGAGATGAGGAAATGCCCTTCTCCTCTTCCTTCTTTTCCTTACAGCTAATGCTTGTTGAATATTTACCAGGTGTCAGTCTCACCTAAGTGACTTTTCATCTATTATCCCATTTAATTTTCATGACGCCAGGAGGTAGATAATATTATTCCTCCAAAATGGACACACAGAAGGAGACAGAGTCACTTAACTGTTTCAGTCTTGGAGAGATTGTTCCAGAGGTGAAATGCTTAACCCTACCCCACTTCCTAATTCAGACATCTGGATTTGGGATCAGGCAAGTGGTATAAATGAGTTTATGTTCCGAACTAGAGGAAGCCCAGGTCAATCTGTTGTGTCATATTTAGGACCAGGAATATCAAAGCCAGGAGGTTGAAAGAAAATATCCTGGCTCAGGCCCCCAGACAAAGTAGAGGGGCAGGAGTTTCACTGTTGGCCTATTGGAAGTATCTCCTTCATATTCTTGGCTTGGAAGTTGACCTGAATGAGGGCATCCCAGCCAGCCCGACAGCATTCTCAATCAAAGAAGAGTCATGAAGGAAACAGGGCAAGTTGCTCTCCCTTATATATAATAGTTTTATCTATAATATGGTGGCTATTGGAGGGGGCTTATTTTTTCCACACTTAAAGTTTCAGGCTAGATTTTGTCATTTGAAAACATCTTACTTTAAATTGTGGTAGTAATATAGAATGTAAAGTTTACCATCTTAATCATTTTTGAGTATACAGTTGAGTAGTGTGAAGTTTGTTCACAGTGTTGTGTAACCAATCTTGAGATCTCTTCATCTTGCAAAGCTGAAAATCGATACCATCAAACAACAACTTCCCTCTGCCTCTCCCACACCACGGAGTCTTCCACCCTACTTTTTGTCTCTAAGAATTTGACTACTTTAGATGCCTTATATAAGTGGAATTATACCGTGTTTGTCTTTTTGTGACTGGCTTATTTTATTCAGCAAAATGTCCTTAAGCTTCATCCATGTTGTAGCCTGGATCACAGTTTCCCTCCTTATTAAGACTGACTAATAATATACCATATGTCTCTGCCACATTTTGTTTATCCATTTATCTGTTAATGAACAGTTGGATTATGTCTATCTTTTCACTACTGTGAGGAGGCTGCTGTGAGGAGAGGTGTACAAATATCTCTGCACGGCCCTGCTTTCAATTCTTTTAGGTATATACCCAGAGTGGAATTTCTGGATCATGGAATAATATATTAATATTTTGAGAAATTACCATACTGTTTTCATAGTGACTGTATCAGTTTACATTCTCACCAACAGTGTACAAGTATTTCAATTTCACCACTGCCTTGTCATTTATCTTTTTTTTTTCTTTTTGACAGTAGCCATCCTAATGGGCATGTAGATTTTATCCATTTTCCTCCAATTTGAATTTAAAATTGTGCTTTAGGAAAATTGCTTCCAGGGGTACCTGGATGGCTCAGTTGGTTAAGCATCTGACTCTTGATTTCGGCTCAGGTCATGATTGCGCGGTTCATGAGTTCAAGTCTTATGTTGGGCTCTACACTGATAGTACAGAGCCTGCTTGGGATTCTCTCTCCCTCTCTCTCTGCCCCTCCCCTGCATGCTTTCTCTCAAAATAAATAATTAAAAACATTTTTAAATGTGCTTCCACTAGTAGTAGGCCAGTTGATAGACCTCTGGTTGTGCAGTGAACTTCATGGATAGGACTGACTTCTGGACTGCCATTGGATGGAATGTTCCATAATCATATGTGTTCTCATGGCATTTTCCAGTGACCACTACAATTTAATTACCTTTAGTGTGTAAGATTGGGTTTTGAAAGGTTTGTTCTCTTTTTCTGATCTGCAATTGAGTGAAAATGAAACACTATGTCTGTATCTGCTTTCAACAGCTCAACACTTTAGGAAATTAACAAAAATGGAAGAACGATCTTTTAAAACATGTGTACGTAGCAAATATTTTGATGATTAATTGGATTCATTCTTTGAATTACATTTTTATTATGGTGATAGATTTACTCTGTCATGGTTTTATTGGTTGAAAAATATATGGTGCCTTCTGTATGGTTTGCATTAGATACAGTTTTATCTGAAGAAGAAAGATGATAGTAAATGCTGATTTATTTATTTATTTATTTTTAATGTTTTATTTATTTCTAGGAGAGAGAGAGAGAGAGAGACAGCGTGAGCAGGGGAGGGTCAGAGAGAGAGGGAGATACAGACTCTGAAATAGGCTCCAGGCTCTGAGCTGGCAGTCAGCACAGAGCCCGACGCGGGGCTCGAACCCACGAACCGTGAGATCATGACCTAAGCGAAAGTCGGACGCTTAACCGACTAAGCCACCCAGGCGCCCCAGTAAATGCTGATTTAAATATGGTTTCTAATTCAGAACGAAGTTGTGACCTTGCTTTTCTTTTCCCACAGCTTGAAAGAATCGATCAGCTTTTTGCTGCTGGAGGTCTTCGTCACCTTCTATTCTACTATCAGGATGTGGAGGTGGCCGAATCAGGTATCCCAATTTGATGTGATGTAGCCCATAAACATGTTGCTAGATACATCTGAGGGTGGCAGGAAGCAGAAAGCCACTCTCAGAGCTGACCAGGCCTCTTAATTCCACCTTGGGAGATGGGACAAATGGACAGCAGTGAGGTGTGGTAGGTGAAGCCAAGGTGCCATTTTGTTCTCAAAGAAGGGGGACAGATAATGATGGCTGTGTAGCCTGGGTGTTCTAACTTTATTTGAGATACTCTGTTTTCCTTTTCAGGCTGTGTTGGTAATTGAGGAATAATAAAGTACTTTACATTTTGAGACTTCTTTTCCTTACACGTTAGTTCATTCTATGCAGCGATGTTCTAGAACTTTTTATGGGCATCTGTTTCTTTTCTATATAGGCACCATTTATTTTTAACAGAGGAATTGTTGCCAATAAGCATAATGAGTTTTCTAGTTAAATATCACATTATGTTTATTTTCTACCGACTATGATTCAAATGAGTAATGTGGAATGGCAAGTTGAGTTATTTTCACTTAAGAAAACTTGCAAATCTTTGTGTGGATTCAACTGGCATCTCCCATTCTACGTTTATGTGGATTCATATAACTTTAAAGCCAAACTAGGGACATAAACAAATATATTATGATTACATTAAGATATTATACTCATCTTTTTGTGACCTTTTTGAAGAAAGGTTGGCATACTGTATTGCTGTTGGCATATAGTATGACTCTGCTTTTTTGTTTAAAAACAGGGAAAATTATGCATGCATACTCTGATTGGCATTTTTCTAGAATTATTGCTCTGATATTTTGTGGTCAGAAAATGCATGACACCTTTAAAAAAATTTTTTTAATGTTTATTTTTGAGGGAGAGAGTCAGAGCTTGAGTCAGGGAGGGGCAGAGAGAGAGGGAGACAGAATCTGAAGCAGGCTCCAGGCTCTGAGCTGTCAGCACAGAGCCCGATGTGGGGCTCAAACAAACCCACAAACTGCAAGATAGATCATAACCTGAGCTGAAGTTGGACGCTTCACTGACTGAGCCACTCAAGTGCCCAGAAAGTCCATTACACTTTGAGTGAAAAATCAAAATGATTCGGAAGCTTCGAATTCTATCCCAGTTTGACAAACATAAAGTCAAATAGGATGTTGAGTTCATCCACAAAACACACACTGGGTGAAGTAGATGTAAATGTGACATTGAAGAAGGAAGGTTATGTAAACATAATGCAAATTTATTTTCCTTTCCCGCTCTCCCTTTAAGCCTTCTCAGCGGGACTCGATTAAAATTGAGACCATTCTGGGGCGCCTGGGTGGCTCAGTCGGTTAAGCATCCGACTTCAGCTTAGGTCATGATCTCGCGGTTCATGGGTTCGAGCCCCGTGTCGGGCTCTGTGCTGACTGCCAGCTCAGAGCCTGGAGCCTGTTTCCAATTCTGTGCCTCCCTCGCTCTCTGACCCTCCCCTGCTCACGCTGTCTCTCTCTCTCTCTCTCTCAGAAATAAATAAAACATTAAAAAATTAAAAAAAAATAAAATAAAATTGAGACCATTCCATGACTTTTCTGGAAAAGTACCTATGGTTGCTTCACATTACAAATACTGTCTCTGTTCAGAAACTAAAACTATCCAGTTGACCAAAATGAACTGATATAAAGTTAAGTCTATCCCCCCCTGCCCTCCACCACTTGCCTGCTCCAAGCAGGGATGTCTGAAGGTCGGTATTCGTGGGAGGAGAGAAGCATATGGTCCTCCTCTGCTTCTTCAACTTAATGTTCTGTTCCTGTCCACATTGTGCAAACCACAGCTCTGGCTTGAGGTAGGGCAGAGATGAGAGGGACGAGGTGGCAGGAGAGCTTTGACTCGAGCAGCACTGGCACTGTTGGCTGACCTCGATTCCCCAGGCCCTTGCTCTCATGGGCACTAAGCGGGCGCTGGGGACGGTCGCTGCGCATCCCGCGGTGACGTGTTGTCCTGATGAGGTACATCTGCTGGTTGTCTTTATTGGACAAGTTCACTGTCAGAGCCCCAGTCCTAGTCTCTAGCCCGGCACCGAGGGGGAAGAACTTGGTTGGCGGAGGGGGAGGTTCCTCCAAGAGGCTCTAATCACGGGGTTTTAGAATTTAACCTGCAGTCCATGTCCCTCGCCAGGTCCCTGCCTGGGAACTGTCCTCCCTCCCTGATAACCTCGCCTGAGCTACTGATCCGCTTGGAGAGCTCCAACTTCTGTGGGCCGACAAGGGCACAGTGGGCTAGCTCCGTGGACTTAAGCAGTCCACTCAGTGGGCTATGTGCTTAGATGACCAAAAATAAAATTTCCAAATACCTCCCTCCCTGATAACCTCGCCTGAGCTACTGATCCGCTTGGAGAGCTCCAACTTCTGTGGGCCGACAAGGGCACAGTGGGCTGGCTCCGTGGACTTAAGCAGTCCACTCAGTGGGCTATGTGCTTAGATGACCAAAAATAAAATTTCCAAATAACAATAATGATAATGCTTAATGGCCTAGTATTTTTATGTGCTTTTCTAAGGGCTTTACGTGTATTAACTCACTTAATTCTTACAACAATCGCAGATGCTAGCTTCTAGGGGTATTCTTCAAATTTTTCAGTGGAGAAGACTGAGGCGCAGAAAGACTAAGTAACTCGCCCAAGGTCACATGAAGTGCGGCAGAGACTCACGCCTTGGAGGTCCGACCCTAGAGCCCACGCCATTCATCCCGTCGCTCTCCTGGCTCTACCATGTCCCGACTCTAGCGTAATACTGAGGGGGCTGCAGGGGTCTGGAGTTCTATAGGCAGAGCTGGTTTTTTGATCCCAGTTCTACCACTTGTTGGCTGTGACATGGGACAGGTCACAGCTGCGTTTAGGGTTGTAGTGACTTTAATAATGTAGACCGGGTACCAAGCAGAGGAGCTGACACCCAGCACATGCCGCAGACACTGTTTCCCTCCTCAGCCCTTCTCATTGCCTCTATTGTGGACTCTTGTGGATGGAGATGACTTTTGTAGCTTCACTAAGAATCTGTTATGGACCAAGCTCTCTTATTCCTGTGCCTCTCATTCCTGTGGATTTTTTTTAGTGTTTATTTATTTTTGAGAGAGAGAGAGAAAGAGAGAGAGAGAGAGTGTGAGTGGGGAAGATGCAGAGAGAGGGAGATACAGAATCGGAAGCAGGCTCCAGGCTCTGAGCTGTCAGGACAGAGCCTGCCACAGAGCTTGAAATCACAAACTGGCAGATCATGACCTGAGTCAAAGTCTGACGCTTAACCAGCTGAGCCACCCAGGCGCCCCTCATTTATGCTTTTTTGCTGGAGCAACACTTTTGAAATGAACCTGTGATCTGCAGTCATTCAACTCCTTTTAGATCCCTTCAGGGCTCAGGCTAGAGACTGTCCAGGCAGCAGACCTTCCAGGGCGCCTGAATGAGTCACTGGGACAGTGTTTTAACAAGGAAGCTCATTCCAAGAGACAACCATGTGGACTGTAAGTAGCATTTGTGAAACTAAAATTCTTTTGCATTTGTAGGACAACTTGGCTCTCCTGGGGGAGCGAATCCTCTTTCTGAAAAGATTAAAAAACCTAAGGTGTTTGTGACCGAGGGAAAAGATGTTGCTCTTACTGGAGTGTGTGTATTCTTCATCAGGACTGACACTTCCAGAGCTGTCACCCCTGAGAACATCCACAGGGTAAGGGTCCGGGGCCATCCTTTACCCCAAATGACTCCAAATCACATAAATTCTACCAAAAAAAATCCCTTCCTGTAGAGGTAACCACTGTATTCATTATCTAAAACTACTTTCAGAGAAGTATGTCTAAAATCATTCATAGCAAACAAGAAGACATTACCTTTAAATCTGTTTAGTAAGAGGACTTAATATTCAGTTTTTGAATAAGAATCGATATAACATTATATGTATGTATGTGCATGCATGTGTGTATGTGTGCGTGATACAGTATAAAGTCTTTCCTTTAAAAAATAATTCCCCATGCATTATTTACTTAATGACAAATGTCATACATTTAAAGTAAGATTTATAATAATGGATACATAATTTTATTTTTTGTGTGTGCAGAGTAAAGTGCACATCTCCTCTGCCCTCAGTGGGGGCACTATCTGTTTGGAGCAAATAGACTGGTAGACGTGTCATGTTCTGTTTATTTCATTTCAGGTTTTCATTTTCACGATTGCAATTTAGAATAGTATAAAGCTTAGGTCTTACCAAGGGCATCAAAAAATACTTTACTGGATGGAGAGACTGAATATACAAACAAAGGCCAGAGCACATATAAAGCAGAATTTTGACCCATAACCGGCAGCAACCTACCCAAGGAGCCAACCCTCTTATCTACGAAACAACCCCAGGAGCCGGCCTGTGCCCAAGGAGTCAGATTAGCCGGAAGCCAGCAAAGAAGCCACACAGTAGTTGCTGTAACAAATTGGCCAGCACTGCCCGCACTTGGTTTGTGACTGTTGACCTCCCTAATTTTTGTGTGTACTCCCAGCATACATCTCTGGGGCCAGAGAAAGCCAAATACGCACCCCGCTCGCAGATCACATGGGATGCCCCAATCTTAGGGGCTGCCTCCAGGTCCTCCACACTGGTAGCCTCCAATCAGGATGCCCCTGAAACCTTCCCTTTCCTCCACTAAAGGCTTTCCCACTCCCCCGCCTGCTTCTAAGTGTCTGCGGAGATGCAGGTGAGAGTGGCTGACTCCTGCCATAGCAAGTTCTGAGTAACCAGCTTTTGCTTTTCTCATTCGGTTGGTCTCCATTTACTAATGCAGGATATTTGGTTAATGAACAGCATTCAGAAATGACTAAGAAGCTATGTTGCAACTGGAGATAATTCTTACAGCAGAGAATCTCCTAACTGTGTTCCAGGAGGTGACCTTTAACATGCTAGATCCTGCGGATGGGGGCCTGCTCAACAGTGTGAGGCGTTTGCTGTCGGACATCTTCATTCCCGCTCTCAGGGCCACGAGCCATGGATGGGGTGAGCTCGAGGGTCTTCCGGAAGCATCCAGCATTCAGCAGGAGTTCTTGAGCTCTCTGGAAGGCTTTGTGGGTGTCCTGTCGGGCGCACAGGAGAGTTTGAAGGAGAAGGTAAGAATGAATAAGTTATTCCTTCAAAAGTTATCAGAGGGTGAACAAATCAACATACAAGTGTGTAATGCTTCTGTTGTATGGTCTAATTCCACTGCCTGGCAAATCTTGAAAAAATTTTGTGGGTATTTTTATTGCCCCTCCAAGAGGTGGTGGTAACTAGGTGTAAATTCTTATGGTTTGGAGTGATTAATGCATTAGAAATTTTGGCTATGATGGAGGATTTCATTCAGTCACATCACATGCTTGACTGCAAAGAGAAAACGTAGGAAATGCTTGTGGCATTGTTGTGCATCCTAGGAGGAAAGGAATTTGGAATCAGAGAGTGTGGGGTGTGTGCCCATGCGTGTGCGGGGGTGAGGGGGTGGGTAGGGATGGAGGGAATCCCGAAGATGAGAGAGAAGGAGAGCAGTTGATGTATCTGGATGGAGTGGGTTGGGTCCTATGGTTAAGCCTGTGACCAAAAGGGCCTTTAAGAATAAGTTTGACAGATATGAGATTTAGCTTCCTTAAAATTTGTGCAATATACTGGAAGCCTGTGTTACCTGTCACATGGGGCAGAGGGTGGTGAATGAAAAATCGTGATGGACGACAGCCCTGATCACACATGTATGGGAGACAGAAATGTAGCCTATGATACTGATGGTAGTGTGTTACTCACTTCTCTCCGGAGGAGACTGGGAAGTATTGGGGCCTAGGGGGATGTTGGGGGAGAGAGGCATTAGGCCTTCTAGAGGATATGGGATAGGGGAGTGGAGTAAATTTCATCCAGATGGGAGCCGGATGATTCCACCTAATATCTGAGTTCTATGTGCAGTGAACTCTGATGCAGGCCTATTTACTAAACTGCAAGCTGAAGCAAGTTAAAGTGTTGCTCTCCTTGAAAAAGCAGCGCTTTCAAATGGTTCCACCTCATATTGTGGTAGAGGTATTAGCAAAAGTGGATGGATCTCCACCTAGGAGGGAGGTAGTGTCTCTTCATGAGGAGCCTAGGCCTCCCGGGTAAAACCAAAGATGGCTGCAGAACACGTGGCCGGTGGAAGATGCAGTGTGGGGGAGGGGAGGGGTGGAGGCGGGCTGGGAGGTTCCCCCAGGCGGGCAGCGTGAGCAAGGGCCCAGGGGAGCCGAGGCATGTGCCTGCCCTGCTGGGTCTTCAGAGCCCTGTCGGAGGGTAGCAAAGTGAAAACCACAGAGTGGGGAGGCCAGGTTCTGGGAGGACAGAGTGGTGTCTCCGAGCCCGTGTAGATGGCACAGGACATAGAACTTCTGAGCAGCGGTGGGCATGGGAGCCAGGGCTGGAGGCTGTCAGGTAAGGTTCGAGCTGGCAGCGCTTCATTAGGAAGCCAAGGGAAGGAAACCTTGAGGGGGCGGTCCAGGGGTTAGAAGGTCCCCTTGCAGCAGACCCTCATAGCTGGGGCTCTGCGTCGCCCTGCAGGCGTCTCTGCGGGTCTGAACTCCCCATCTGGTGCCCTTCACTCCCAACCTGCACCATTCACCTGCCACGGCTCCTAGTGAACCCGTTGGTTTTACCTCGTTACCAGGAAGCCCTTAGGGCCCAGCCTTTGTGTTGTGGCTCCTGGGCCATATGGGCAATTGAAGGTGACAAATAACCATGGCCCTTCCTGCTGGCTCTGAACCAGTTGAGAGAATCGTACTAGCTCTATTGTTGCTAAGGGGGATTGGGCCCAAAACCTGAATTTAGGCATTCACAGTGCCAGGCGCACCTTTCCCAGGAGGAAATGTCCTGAGCAAATATGGAGGCCCATTTATCTGTGGGCAGAAATGCGCTAGGTTTCTTTGTCAAGTCAAAATCCAACAAGTCTCCTTCTCTATTCTCTTCCTCCTTCCTCCCCTGAAACGAATCCCTGTGTTTGCCTTTGAACTTGCAAACTATAAGGATGTTATTGGGTAAGGACAGGAGAATCTTTTCATCTGGCTCGTTTCAAAAAAAGAATGTAATGCCTTAGAAAGTACCTTCCCCCAATCAATTTCCTTGAAGCTCTCTCATGTTCTTTGGTTTCGTGAGTTGACTCTTTAATTTCTAAATTCCCTATTAATTCCCCTAATTTGTGATATTATGACTCTTTCTCTTTAGTTCACTCTTCTTGTTTAATGACCCCAAATCAGCGCTCATTCACCTCCAGTGGTGTGCTCAGTTCACAGGGAGGACTGAGCATTATGTATGCTTTCATACATGCTTTCAGAGATCTGTCTTCAGGGAGCAGGGTAGTTTAGAGAAGATCTGTAGATCCTTCTAAGCCCAGGGGTCAACCAGAAGTGTGTGTGTGTGTGTGTGTGTATGTGTGTGTGTGTGTTTTAAAATTAGCACCATCATGGGGTGCCTGGGTGGCTCAGTTGGTTAAGCATCCAACTCTTGATTTCAGGTCTGGTCTTGATCTCATGGCTCATTGGATTGGAGCCCTGTGTCGGGCTCTATTCTGGCAGTTCAGAGCCTGCTTGGGCTGCTTGGGATTCTCTCTCTCTCTCTCTCTCTCTCTCTCTGTCCCTTCCTCTCTCTCTCAAAATAAATAAACATTAAAAAAATGAAATTAGCATCATTTTTTAATTTTTTGCTTCATTTTATTATTTAACTTTTATTTTAATTAGGTGAACCTTCAAAAGTGTGACATATTTGAACTAAAAGCCCTGAAGGAACCGACAGACTACTTGACTCTAGCTAATAACCCAGAGACTTTGGAGAAAGTAGAAGGTTGTATGAGAGTATGGATCAAACAGACCGAACAGGTAATTTTCAGAAACCAAACATCGGCTTCAGATGTCATGTTACTGAACTAGTCAATGGAAGACAGTAGATATCCTTTGCTGTTCCCATTTGCCTAAGTATTTAACACATCCCTCAAAAGGTGAGGCGTTCAATGCAGTTTTAATTTGCAGTCATTAGGTAAGAAGAGATAGTAACAAATTTGAAGAGAGGAAAGCAAGTGACTTTAAATACTTAATGTAAGAAGAAGACTGCACTTTGTCAATTTTTTTTCTCAAGGTGTATTTTACTTGAGAGAGAATCTTGTAGAAGTACAAGGAGTTTTCCAATCAGTGTGCCTTCTGAAAGACTTAACATAAGAACAGATATTTTCAGAAAAATCCCAAGTGACGTGGACAACTAATCAAAAAGTAAGCACCATGAAAATTAACCAACTGAAGGCATGGAGTCTCTCTATTGCTCGAAGAGTATACATTAAATGAATAGTCAAGGAAACGTTCCGAGATCAGGTCCTCCGAACGTTCATTAAAGTTTTTTAAGTAAGTAGTTTTCAATTCGAGCATGTTAACTACACTTTTGTTGAGGGTTTAAAAATGGATACAAGTAAAAGGCCATCACTGGAAGCATGCAAATGAATAAAAAGATATCATGATTCAGATAGCATAATTGATTTATTTCCCTATTTTTTGCCTGCCTGTGACTTTCATACCACCGGCCCTGTTCATGGGTTCATGGTTCTGTGGTGCATTTTCAGGTGCTTGCTGAAAACAACCAGCTGCGTAAGGAAGCGGATGACCTTGGGCCCCGAGCAGAGCTGGAACACTGGAAAAAAAGACTGTCCAAATTTAACTACCTTTTGGATCAATTAAAAAGCCCGGATGTGAAGGCTGTCTTGGCAATGCTTGCTGCTGCCAGGTCGAAACTTCTGAAGGTTGTCAGCCATTTCCTTCTGCTTTATGAAACGGGAATGAACATTCTCTAGGTGTATTTTCATGTCATAGAGTAACTAGAAGCAGAAAAATGTTGTTATACCTTTATGAAAAAACTTTAAGATTGGATAACATTTCCCTTTTATAATTCTGGGTACTATGGACATTACCTTTGAATTAAGAGTATTTGTTGGCTGGTGTGCATGTATGTATATATTATTAGAGAGAATTGCATGTAATTATGATGTAGCATAATATCACGATTATATGTATATTTTGAATTCAGACTAACCAGGAGTTGTAATAACAAAAACTTACTTTGAGTGCATATATATACAGCCTTAGTATATTGGTTCTATATCCCCATGTAACAAATTACCCTAACACTTAGCAACTTAAAACAGCAAACATATATTATGTCCCAGTCTGTGGGTCCGGGATTTGGGGGCAGCTCGGCTGGGTGCCTCTGACTCAGAATCTCTCCCGAGGTTGTAGTCAGGATGTCGGCTCCTCTGAAGCTTACCCCGGGGGGAAGGGAGGGGGGTCTGCCTCCAAGTTGCTCCTGGGGTCATTGCAGGATTCAGTTTCTTGCTGGCTGTTGGCTGGAGTCTTCCTTCAGTTCTTTACCATAGAAAGTATGGGCATGAGGTGCAAAATGGATCCAGGAGCCAGTGGAGGAGGGAAAGTGTGAGTTCAAATGGAGGTGCTGCCCTCTTGATGCTTTGTCCTAGTTAGATTTTATAAGAGAAGGCCTTAAAGAGATACCTTTAAACATTCAGCCAAAAAATTTAAATTGCTCTCCAATGTGGCCATACCCCTCACTCCTGTGGATTCAATTTTCTGTGACATACACAAGATAAACTGAAAGTCTGACACAATGGACTCATGGTGACTCTTAGCAGCATGTTGGAAGTTCCTTTATAATAATTATATAAACATTGCTTTCCTGTCTTGTGCTTAGACTTGGCGGGAGATGGATATTCGCATCACTGATGCAGCTAATGAAGCAAAGGACAATGTCAAATATTTGTACACACTTGAAAAATGCTGCGACCCCTTGTACAGTAGTGACCCGGTGAGTTGAAGATTTCTACTTGCTTAGTCTGCTGATGAACCTTTTGCACTGGCAGAACTGAGTGTGGAGTTTGGTTCATTAATATTACAGTCTGTTGGAAAAGTCTTCAAAACCTCCTTTTACTCTCAAGAAAATTGTTTATGTATACAGTTGACCCTTGAGCAACATGGGTTTGGATGGCATATGTCCACCTACACATGAGTTTTTTTTTCTTATAAATACAGTATATTGCTGAAAATGTGTTTTATCTTTCCTACCATTTTCTTTTCTCTAGCTTATTTGATTGTAAAAATATAGTATATAATACATATAACACAGAATATGTGTTAGTCAACTGTTTATATTATCAGTAAGACTTTCAGTCAACAGTAGGATACTAGTAGTTAAATTCTGGGGGCAGTCAAAAGTTATGCATGAACTTTTAACTACATGGGGATTGGTGCTTCTGACCCCTCATTGTTCAAGGGTCAACTGTACATCTATCTATCTATCTATCTATCTATCTATCTATCTATCTATCATCTATCTATACCTGTCTGTCTGTCTCTCTGTCTACCTATCTATGTATTTATCTGAGATGGATATGCAATATTCTATCTACCTATCTATCTATCTATCTATCTAAGATGGATATGCAATATTATATTTTAAAAGCCTTTATTGTACATTCCAGTTTCCATTAAGTATTGTAATTGACATTCTGGATGATACTCAAAGAAGTGTGGGAAGAGTTATCGGTTGGTGTTTTATCCTTTAACTTTAGGGAGTGTCTGCTTTTATTGATTACAAAATTAACTGTTAACCTTGTCATTAACAGACAGTTAATGTTTCTTGCCTTGAAACAAAACTTGATTAACTGCATATGACTACATAATAAAAATGAAATTACCTTTAAATACATTTATATGGAGTGTTAAGTAATACTTTAAAAACTTAACTAGAAATCTCTTAGCTAATTTTATTCTAATGAAGATTGAATGGTTGTACTATCAGAATTTTGCTGAATTTGGTATTTGTTTCCCTGAAAACTTTTGTGGTGTCTTCCAGGTTTCCATGGTTGATGCTATCCCTACACTTATAAATGCAATTAAAATGATCTATAGTATCTCTCATTATTATAACACCTCTGAGAAGATCACATCTCTGTTTGTAAAGGTAAGTGCATAGCATAGATCCCGTGGTCACTTTTTTTTTTTTCAGTGGTTGATTTTTTGGTAATTAGAAATTACCATATGGACACAATTCAATGTCTATGTATCCTACAATTTAAAAAAATGTAATCTCTCAATAGAGATAGATTTAAGTGTATTTGTGAGGCTGATTCTTGTAAATCATAAAACATTATTTCCTAAAGTAATCATTATAATAAATAATTGTGCTATTTTTTTATTAAAAAAATTTTTTTTAATGTTTATTCAGTTTTGAGAGATGGTGAGAGACAGAGCATGAGTGGGGGAGAGGCAGAGAGAGAGGGACACACAGAATCTGAAGCAGGCCCCAGGCTCTGAGCACAGAGCCTAATGTGGGGCTTGAACTCATGGACTGCAAGATCATGACCTGAGCTGAAGTTGGACGCTTGACAAGTTGAGCCATCCAGGCACCCCAACAATTTATTTATATAATAAAATTTTTTTAAAAGATTGTTTTTGGAATTTCTTTCCCTATGTTATTTAGCACATTATTTATTCTCATTAGGTAAATTTTAATTAAGAAAAACTATATTTAACTGGCTTTCTCATGCTTTATATTTTATGTGCCGCTTTTCCAAATTTATTTGATGCCACAGTTGTTTACTTGGTGGTATTAGAACAGTAATCATGGCCATAAACGCCACTTGCAACATTTCAGTAACCTAAAGCTATTACAATGATTCTGCCAAAAAACATAACGATGTTTAAACCTTATGTCCTAACTCGTAAGCCTTTATGGTGAGCGCTGTTCCCTTTCCCATTTTGAACAGTCTCTAAGAAGTAAATGACTTTCATCACCAAGGTGAAAATTTTAAACGTTGTGCTAAAATAGAAGCATTTCCTCCTCATCAGGACTTGTGTTATGAATGCCTAACAGAGTAGGAGGCAAGGTTCTCCTTGGGAAGAGGCACATCCAGCCTGAGAATTGGACAGGAGACTCCCTTTCCTCTGCCCTCAGGCAGGCAGTTCAGGTAGAGAGAGGGCAGAAATCCATGAGATTCTTGCTCCACTTCTTCCCACGTTAAAAGGACATATGAAGGTCGTGAGGGATATTCCCTGAGAAGGAGCCTCAAAAGTCAGTTTGTGTCATCGCTCCAGGCTTCATGCATAGTATCTGCAAGGCTTGTTTTTGAACAAAATTATGAAACCATTGTTTATCTAATTTTTAAGAGCCTTTCATTACGGACATTTCGAGACAGGTCCAAAAAGAAAGAGAATTGTACACCAGCCCCGCCCGCCCCTGCAACGTCCCCATCACCCAGGTTCTGTCTGCACGCCACCCATCTTGTCCCACGCCCTCTTCCAGCCTTTGCACTGCACGTCTCAGACATCATGACATTCCATGCATACACAAGTCATCTGCTTTTCCTTTTAAATTATAAAGAAAATCACAAGAAAATTCTGAAGAAGTTTTTATTTTACAGTTTGGAGGGGTGGACAAAAAGTTAGTGGTTACGGATGTCAGCTTGACTTTTTTCTCTGTTGCTTCTTCTCCTTTTTGACATTTATGCTAAAGCTCCTGGTGTCATGAAATGATCAGGGTGGACAATCCTTTGCATGGCACTTGGAGACTGTGAGTTAATGTTAGAGCAGCCTTCCTAAGGAGACCGCGGGACTCTCAACAGCTTTCAGACAGGGAAGTGAGTCCTCTCCTGGTTGGTTGAGACGTTCATCCTGAAGAAACAAGGGGGCCCACATTGCTGACTGGCCACAGTGCTTCCGATTCTGTGATTTCACCAACGATTTTGACAGTACATATTATAATAATAACAAATGGAAGCAGAGAGTAGAAGGGGGTTGCCAGAGGCCGGGGAGTGTGGGAAACGGGGAGAGACTGGTTGAAAGCTACAAGTCTCAGTTATAAGGTGAAAAATTCTGGGGCTCTAATGCACAGCATAGAGACTATAGTTAATAATACTTGTATTGTGTACTCAAAAATTGGTAAGAGACCAGATCTGAAGTCTTCTCAGAATGCGCGCATGCACGCGCACGCGCGCGCGCACACACACACACAGTGGTAAACTGTGAGGTGGTACATGTGTTAACTTGATTGTGGTAATCATTTCACTCTGTATATGAATATCAAGGATCATGTTGTACACCTGAAATAAAGACAAATTTTGTTTGTCACTTATACCTCAGTAGAACTGGGGTAAAAAAGTGTTAGTGCTGGATCATGGTTGTGATGGAAAAAAATAAACCTAATGTTGAGTTCGCAGATCGCACACCCTGAGAGGCAGAGGAGTCAAGGACCCTCTAGACCAGTTTGTGAGTGATGGCTGTTTTACATACTTAGCACCATTTTATTGGGAAATTCCAGGTGACGAATCAGATGATATCTGCATGTAAAGCCTACATTACCAACAATGGGACTACATCCATCTGGAGCCAGCCTCAGGGTGTGGTTGTGGACAAGATATTATCTGCAATTAAACTCAAGGAGGTAACAGTCAGCTTAATAACACATTTAAATAATGTTTTATTAATTTTATGTTTGTGCCGATGCATCTTAAATCATTTAGCAGTTATATTATTGATTGCTCAAAAGAATTCTTCTTGTAAAAGAGTAATTCTTTATTGTTAAGAAAATTGAATGTTAATAAATCTGCTCTCAACGTTTATTCATTTATTCTGCTGTTTTGGGAACCTGTTACATCCCAATCCCACACTCCGTCCCAGAAATACAAAGATGAGGTAGTTTCATTAGTTTCTTGAGGATTAATGGGAAGCTGGACACAGAGTTAGGCTACTCTTAACACAGTGGGATCAAGTGGAAAGGCTGTGCCTTTGAGTTACCTCATAAATAATTAGGGATTTGCTAGATTGGGAGTTAGGAAGAGATGGCATTGCCAGCTGAAGAATGGGCATGTACAAAGGCATGACGCTGAAAGGGTTTGCAGTTTCACCCTGAATTGACAGCTTCTTCCACTGGAGAGAATAAGGTTGACAACCTGGGCTATGTTTCCCTTCTAATATTTTGGTTTTTAATTTTAAGGAGTACCAGCGCTGCTTTCACAAGACAAAACAAAAGCTTAAACAAGATCCAAATGAGAAACAATTTGAATTTAGTGAGATGTATATTTTTGGGAAATTTGAAACTTTCCACCGACGACTTGCCAAGATAATAGACATCTTTACAACCTTCAGGACGTACTCAGTCCTGCAAGATTCTAAAATTGAAGGACTGGAAGACGTGGTCACTAAATACCAGGTTCTGTACTTTATTTTCTATTTTTGTTTAAAGATTTTATTTATTTTTTAATGTGATGTCTACACCCAACATGGGACTTGAACTCAACCCCAAGATCAAGAGTTGCACACTCCACTGACTGAGCCAGCCAGGCGCCCCCGAGGTTCTGTACTTTAAAACTAAATATGCTACCCTTACCCATAACTAAAACTTTAATATCTTGTGCAAATATCTATATTTAGAATAATTCAAATAATCAGTCTGTAATGTTAGGTGTAAGCTCGAGGCCTTTGAACAATAAAGAAATTAAATCTATTTGAGAATTGTGTAATGGTGCTAATATGTTCTTCTCAGGTATGTGATTATGAGAATGACTTCCCAATAGTCTAAAATTAATCATCATTAGTAAGAGCATTTTCATTAGTAGCACAAGAAAAATGTTTAAATATAACTTATTCTTTCATTTATTCATGCAGGAAATATTTAATGAAGCATATGCTGTATGTCAGGCACTAACACGCTGAGTTCTGAGTGCATTTCATTATGGCTGCATTTAAGTATTTTATTTGGATGTCTGTTAGCAAAATAAAAGGGATCAGATTTTAATTTAGCCTGACAGTTTCTAATTGTTTTGATTTTTAACTGCTTTATCTTGTGAGGGTTTTGTAACTAATCTTAGTTTTTAAAGCAGGCTTAGTGACCTAATAATGTTTTGAAGATCTTTAAAAAACAATTTACAAACAAAATGGGTTTTGAATTCTTGGTCTTGATATAGTTGAGCTTTTCTTGTTTGGGGACAGTGATATTAAAAGCTAATTTTTTTTCGTACTTGAATTTTAAAAGAATCATAAAATTTACTGCCGCACATTGGTTTTAGTACTCAAACAGTTTAGTCTAATATAAGGAATCTTTTTGATTTCCTGAGTAGACCAGATTTTAGGAGAGAAAGAGAAAAGACCTTTTTTATATAGCAGGAAACATTTTAGGTGGGCTGGGTGTTATCTGCTGGGTGGATAATCTATATCTGAAACTGACAGTTTTGCGAGACAAAGACGGAATATGTTCATTTACTTTTCAGCTTGGAATTTATTTATTTTCTATTCTTAATGAAAAAATAACTTTGGAGCATATTTCAAGGTTTATTTTTGAAGGAGAAGTTGAAGTATACATCTAAATGCAGATAAAGACTGTTCTAACCTGATAAAAATACTGGGAAGAGAAATTGTTCTGAAAATCTAAAGTGAAATACTGATTAAAATGGATGTACCAGAGGATAGTGAGATAAAATGTAGATGGTGCATGAAAGCATCAAGTAAGATTTTTATGTGTTTAGTACCAACGTTAGAAGCTCAAAATGGTGACCATGGAAGTGAAACTGAGGCTCCTTCTGTCAAGTCCTGTCCACTCCTCCTGCTTCCTCACCTGATTCTCTTCTCCTTTGATGTTCTCCAGACACAGGTCATTTCAGTTCAGTCTACTTTAGGACTTATAGAGCTTTTTTCTGGAAAGTTCTGCCTCTGGACCATCACATGGTTTTTCCTTCTTGGACTCTAGATCTTTATTTAAATGACCCTTTCAGTTAGGTTTTTCCCTGAACCCTGTTCCTTTCAATCACTCAATTTCACATTGTTCATTTTATCACTGTGTGAAATCATCCTGTCCACTTACTTGTGGTTTACGTAGATTCTGACCCTGTCCCCCACCAAGGCTGAGGAGGTTTTCCGAGGGCAGGGACATTTGTTTGCTCTGTTCGTTCCTGTGTCTTCAGAGTTCACTAGCATATAATAGGTGTGCAATAAATACCTGTCAAGTAAATGGTATACTAGACTGAGTTGGATTAGTTGGTTTATGGCCATGATTAATCAGTTTATCAGCTTAATACGCTTAAGTGACCATTAAATCCAATCAGAACAGAATTTTCTAAGGACCTCAAATCTTTTTTTTTTTTTTTTTGCACATTAAAATGGAGTAATGCAGTGTTTCAATGCCTCTTTTGTACATTGCTCATAACATGATGGATGGCGCCATATGTATACAGTATCTACATAGAGCTAATTTTGTAGTTATATAGCATGAAAGAGTAGGTTGTTTTAATTAGTAAACTTGATTCAAGGAGTTATGCAGTTTATACAGTTGTCTGTTGAGAGATTTCAATTGATGTTTAAATGGAAATGACTTTGAAGAGGAGGTGATGGAAGGAGGCCCAACTTTCTTCATAAAAATTATATGCCTGTGTCAACAATGTGGGCACCTGAGTGTGAGCATGGCTTAGTACCTGGTTAAGAATGATCATAGAGCATTATAGCTCATTATTCTGAGCAAACAAAACTTAGGATAATAGTATTCTCAAGGAGACGAGGCTCCTGATTTATACTTTCATAGTCCCAGGCTGCAGCTTTGCGGGGGGGGGGGGGGGGGGGGGGGGGGGGGGGGGGGGGGGGGGGGTGGGAGGGGGAGGAAGTAGTCATTCTGGGGACTCTTGAAAGGGTAGATTGCGGTTTGATGTTTTATTTAAGACGTGAGGCTTAGAAGACAGTTTTTCATCTGTAAGATATTACAACTATTTTTGTCCCAGGTTGTTTGCCTTCTGTTAGTGCTATTTACTTTCTGAGAAGATTTAAGCTTTTCAATGAAAAATGGTCTAGTAAATTCTACTCTGGACTTTTTTTTAAAAAAATGATTTCGGATGTCATTAGTAAGAAATTAAAAAGAAATTTTCTTTAATGTTTTTATTTATTTTTGAGAGAGAGAGAGAGAGAGACACAGAGAGAGAGAGAGAGGAAGACACAGAATCTGAAACAGACTCCAGGCTCTGAGCTGTCAGCACAGAGGCCTGATGTGGGGCTTGAACTCACAAACCATGAGATCATGATCTGGGCCGAAGTCAGGCCCTCAACCGATTGAGCCACCCAGACACCCCAGAGAAATTTTTAGAGAAAACACCTCTTCTGCTTTTCAGATGTGGTTTTATTTTATATTTTTCTTCATGAAATTGCTTTCTAAAGGATTTCTCTGAATGCACTCGGCAAGATTCTATTGCCTGGATAAGCATTAAGCAATGTGAATACTTAAAGAAATAAAGCTCCTTTTAACTTGATTTTTGGGGGATGATTATACAGATTCTACATTTAAAGGTCCCGTTTAATTAAGTGATGCAAGAATGTTGAAATAATGTCTTATTTCTTTCATAACATTTCAGAGTATTGTTGCCACCATAAAGAAAAAGGAATATAATTTCTTAGACCAGAGGAAAATGGATTTTGACCAGGATTATGAAGAGTTTTGCAAGCAAACTAATGACCTTCACGTAAGTTGTATAATAAAATTCCTGTTGACAGTCGTGTGTTTATTTTTTCCCTTCTGTATAATGTTGTTACTAATCATTAACCATTCAGAAGGGAGAGGAGGCTTCATCATAGAGGTGACCGATTGCAACCTCAGCCTGCATTTTGTGATTTCACATTAATAATTGAAGGCTCTTTTTCACGGATTAAAGGGTCATAAATATAGCTTTGGATAATGATCTGTAATCATAGACTTCTTCAATGTCTTCCATCTTAGTTGTTAGAAAATTAACTTTCGTTTCCTGTTGAAATGTGGACTTATCAGAATATAGAAATTTGTTTCCGTTTGTTTGTTACTTTATAGCCATGATTAGGACCAACTGTCTGCGGGATTGCAAAGCCAGGGTTGCAGCTGGCTTTAGAAACAGGGATGCCAGGACCCACTCAGCACCTGGAGCCTCTTGGGCTGCAGTCCCTCTCTCTCTTCCTATCCCTCCCCCGCCACCTCCCCTGACCAGCCATCTTGACTTCCAGCCCTATGGGCAGTGAATGGATTTTAGCGGCTTCTGAGAACATAGCAGTACCAGCCCAGCTTCAAGTCCCTGAAGGAAAGGGTTGGGTTGGACAGTTCTAGTGGAGTGTCTAGCCCTGGACCTGTCACCTATGAGTTATGTGGTAAAAGAAGGGGGGTCAGTGTCTGTGTGTGTTGGGGGGGGGACGCTGTGTTTGTTATCAGAGGAGAAGACTCAAGGAGGGTAAGGGGAAGATGACCGCATCGGTGTCTTCCATAGTTCATATTCCGACTTCTTTTCATCCTGATGAAGTCCAAAGTGCATGCAGTTCTGATTTTAAAAGGAAAATGACCATTCTGTTACTTCTTTTCCAAAAGTTCTGTTTTGAAGTCAATTCGTACACTTCAAGGAAAAAGAGCTCTCTGCAGGGTGGGTTCAATGGTAAAAGGAATCATAACAAAATGAGCTAATTCTACATGTTGGGTACTGTCCTGAGCACTTTATGGGTGTTAATCAACTAAGCATCACAAGAATCCTATAAAGTGGGTGCTGTTGTTACCCTCATTTGCAGAACGAGAGAAAGGCACAGTGAGGTTGAGTGACTTGCCCAAAGATAACAATTGGTAGAGTTGGGATTAAATCCAGGCAGTCTGGCTCTAGGATTCAAGTGTTTAACTATTATACTAGAAGAGATGTTTCGGTTGATGGGAAGATATAGTGCCTATGATAATTTATGCAATGACCTTGTTTGGAGGGCAGTTAGACATAAGGACGATGGAAAGTGATGGGCAGGGGCCCTGCTGGTTCCCTGCTCCGGCTGCCCCTCCCAGCATTTTAGGATCATACTGGACTTCAGTAACATGTGCTGGGGGTGGGGGGTGGGGGGGTGGCGGGGGAGGGGACAGAGGTGGACAGCGAACACCCTGAGGGCAGCGGTTGCGTTCATTCCTCTTTGTGTCTCTACGGCACCTCACCTAATTGGGAGAGAGCGTAAGGAATGCTTGCCAAACTAATGTGTGAGCAATGAATTAATAAGAACTAGATTTACTGCAATTAAACAAGCATTTACTGTACATCAATTAATGACTATGCTTCTCTACTGTGGGTTATAAATACAGAAATAAATCAGGTAGATTTGCCCTCAGAGATCACAGCCAGACAGAGGCAGACATGTGATACGGTTAAAATATAAGCACATACGTGTTAGAATAATGAGTGCCTTACTTAAGGAAGGGCAGGTAGTGGCTAAAACGACCAACTATAAAAGTGTAATATTCTGATATTGTGCCTGGGAAGAGAGGATTCAGAGATGAAAAGACATATTCCAAAGAGGTCCTAGGGCAACTTCCAGGGAGCACAGGCTAGTAACACAGGTAGGATTTCGTAACTGCGGTGACCCGTGAGGATAGGACGCGAGGCGAGGAGAACAATCCGTCTTCTGCTTGGCTGGGGCTTGCAGAGGCTTCCGAGAGGAGGCTGATGCTGCAACAGACATGGGTGGCGGCTGCCAGAGGGGCAGGGAAGCCTTCTCAAGACGGTGCTTACCTTGTCTCATACCAAGAATATAATATATAAATGTCCTGTGGCCTGGTTTGAAAGCATTAGTTATAGATTACTAGTACCTATTCTCATTAAAAAAATTTTTTTTAATTCAACACTATTATTTATCTCATCTTACACCTCAAGCGTAGTCTACTTGTCTCTTTGGTTGAATGACCAAGTTTCCTTTGACTTCTTTGTCTCTTTCTCCATTAAAAAAAAAAGATTTATTTATTTATTTTAAATTTATTTTTATAATTGCTCATGTATTTGCCTTTATTGAGATCTTTATTTCTCCATATGATTTTAAGGTACACACACACACATATATATATTTTTTTTTATAGTGACAAGATTAAGATTCTTTTAAAAAATATAATTTATTGTTAAGTTGGCTAACATACAGTGTATACGGTGTGCCTTTGGCTTTGGGAGTAGATTCCCATCATTCATCACTTACAACACCCAGTGCTCATCCCAACAAGTGCCCTCCTCAATGCTCAAAACCCATTTCCATGTCCCTCCTCCCCCCCAATCAACCCTCAGTTTTTTCTCTTATGGTTTGCCAAGATTTTTATTTTTAAGTAATCTCTACACCCAACGTGGGACATGAACTCACAACCCTGAGATCAAGAGTCACATGCTTTACTGACTGAGCCAGCCAGGTGCCCCTCCATTCTCTTTCTCTTAACTAGCCCCTTTTCTCCTTTATTTATTATTATATTTATTATTTTTATTTTTTATTTCTTTTTTCTTTAAAAAAATTTTTTTTTAATTTTATTTCTGAGAGAGAGAGACAGCATGAGCAGGGGAGGGTCAGAGAGAGAGGGAGACACAGAATCCGAAACAGGCTCCAGGCTCTGAGCTGGCTGTCAGCACAGAGCCTGACGCAGGGCTCAAACCCACAAACTGTGAGATCATGGCCTGAGCCGAAGTCGGACGTTTAACCGACTGAACCATTCAGGCACCCCGATTTTTTTGTTTTAGAAAGAGAGAATGTGAGCAGTGGAGAGGGGCAGAGGGAGAGAGAAAGAATCCTGAACAGGCTCCCCGCTCAGTGCGTTGCCTGATGAGGGGCTGGATCGTATGATCCTGGGGTCATGACTGGAGCCAAAATCAAGAGTCAGACACTCAACAGACGGAACCACTCAGGAGACCTGCCTTTCTCCTTTAAATTACTCACCGGTTCTCACTGAATTCAGCCCTTATCTTATAAAATCAGCATGAAAACACTGACCTTACTACAGCTCTGGGTGGAGTTGGGCGCAGAGGTGATGAGCTGTGGAGACAAGAGACAGAGGGGACCAGTCGCTGTGGTGTCTCCAGGATAAAGACTGGAACCAGGCATGGGTGGTGGTGTGGTGGTGGTGGTAGCACCTGAGTGATTTGGATCAGGGTTGTGCCCAGGGGATCAGAGCCTGGAATCCTGCCCAGGTTGAGGGTTCATGCAGGTGCTAACAGGTCAAAGAGAGGGAATGCCTTGGAACCAGCTGAGCCGTTAGAAGTCTAGGAGGCAGAGAGAGATGTCAACTCATCCTTCTTTACTAAATACTGCCTTACGCTGCCTGCTAGACTTCTAACGGCTGGTGGCTCACAGTCAGTCTTTAAGAGAAGACGGAGGAGGACCTGAGAGCCCAGAACTCATAAGAGGACTAGTACGAAGACTCCTTGGCCACATTCCACAAAACTCTCAGAATGGGCCTAAGGATGAGGGAAAAGAAGACTAATTCAAGGTCTTAAATATTCATACAGAGCGTAGCACAGGTTTCTGTGAAGCTACAGGGTAGGAAAGCAAAGAAAACCAGGTGCAAGTGTTAGGGCGCAGTAAAATTGCTTCTGTCTATAGTTCTAGAGAGGTGATGGAGGCATTGCAAATATTCTAGTTGTGCATGGCTTATACAGAGTTTTTTTTAACGTGGTGACAACATTTGAATGTTTGTTTAGTTAGGGTAACTATTCTTTAGTGCAGGACAATTTCTCAATCCTAGGATGTGGTCGTTGCAGAAGAAATAACATCATTTAATATACGTAATATATAATATATATCATCATTTAATATATATATACATATATATGTGTATATATATACACACAGTTTTAGCAGGAGTAGTGAGAAGTATTGAGAGCAAGAATATGTTGTGATAGGTGTCGTGATCCTTCAGCTTTGGGGCTTTGCTGAATGGAGCAGGGAGCGCCCAGGTAGCAAAGTCTCTTCAAGCGTTATGTTTCCAGTGGTGTTTTGGATATTTCCAACTGGTCTTGCCAAATTACTCGTACTCATCTTGGTACTCATTCTCACTGCATATGCAACTGGCTTCCCCGTTTTATCACCGTGCAAGTTAATGAGCCCTTTAGAATTGTAGAGGCTCAACATTTTCGTCTGGGAAAACTGAGGAAAAAAAGAATTGCTTGGACCTTTACCTTGAAGAATGAGATAGAAAATAATGAAATAATTTTTCTGTCTTTAATGAACTCAATTTAGATTTTAACGGCAACTCTACTAAATCTGAGAGTGACCAAAAATGAATCATGTACTTCATTTTTTTGGTGCAATTTTTTTTTTTTGATAAAATTGTACAAATAATGTAAGATGTGTGAGGGTCTCAGGACAGCCCATAATGAAGATCATTTTGGGAAATCGATTTGAGGGCTTAATGAAAGACGTATTTCTTTCTTTTTTTTTTTTTTTACAAATAGTTTATTGTCAAATTAGTTTCCACATAACACCCAGTGCTCATCCCCACAAGTGCCCTCCTCCATGCCCATCCCCCCCTCCCCCCCACATCCATCAGTCCTCAGTTTTTGTGAAAGACGTATTTCTTAAAACTTTGGTATTTAAGTCATTCCTTTTGAAATGCTTAGGAATTATTTACTAATCTCTTTTTCTGTAGTGGCTTTACAGCCCTGGGATGTGAAGTGTTTCTACAGAGTGGTTTTGCTTTCCTTCTGCTGGGGCCCTGGTGGTTTGGCTATTCCAGACTAGCTGTTATATTAATTTCTTGGGTTAGACACCCCCCGCCCCCCATCTCAGACCCCTCTTTTAGGTTTGGTACAGACATAGGATTTCATTTGCTCTAGGGGAGGGATCAGCAAACTATGCCCAAAGCCAAATCCTCCCTGCCTCTTTGTGGATTGCCAATGGCAGCCTCTGCACATGGTGGTAGGTGAGTGGCTGTGAAAGACACCTATGTCCCACAAAGCTGAAAACAGTTACTGTCTGGCCCCTTACAGAGGAGGTGTGGGATCCTGATCTAGGGGGCCTGACTCATCCATTCATGGCTCTGGGCACATGGCAAGCCCCCTTGCTGTTTTCTCTACCTTGTGAACAGAATTATTGCTTGGCCTGGGCCACATTTCAAGGGCCGTGGCTTTCTGCAGCCATCTGTTGAGAGTGTTAGGACCCCACAGCTTCTCTACCCACATTGTGATAAAAACCCCACGTCCTGCCTGCCCCCCCGCCCCCAGCCCTGTATGTGACCCAAGCCCAGGGAGCCTGACATGGTGCCAGCTTCCGTAATTGCCCTGGCTTTCAAGACCCTCTTTGTTATGGTTTCTGGGCATTTATCTTTCAAACTCAGGGGAGTGTTACATTTTCTGTTCTGATTTGTCCTATATTATATGTGTTCATAGAGAATGGGGAACTCTTTTGTCTTGTTGCTAAATAGGACTTTTTTTCTCAATAATATTATAATCATTTATGGTGAGAGCTGCTGGCTCACACCTATGTGGTGAGCAGCGGGTAATGTGCAGAATGGTTCAATCAACATGATGTACATCTGAAACTAAAAAACGCATACCCTAAAAAAATTAAAATAAAGAGGACTTTTTCCAGTGTGAATTCGCTGTTTACAATCAGATTTTATTCTATTGTAGAACGACTTGCAGAACTTCATGGACATTACATTTGAAAAGATTCAAAACACAAATCAAGCTCTAAGTATGTTAAAGAAATTTGAAAGGTAAAAATTTGAAACAGATTCTATTCTATCTTCTAAAACTGGAGTCATATGAACATAGTTTAGCTTATTTCATTATTATTAATTATTATTTCATATTTTAAGGGGAAGAAAATCCTTTCTTGACAATCTGCATAACAAGGTCAGAGTTTTTAAGTTCTTCGATGGTTAAAAGTTTGTTGTATTTCCTGTTAGCTTTGGAGTACCATGTGATTGCCTATCATAATATTACTTAATGTTTAAGTAATTTGAAAAAATTCTTACCGGGTTAATGGTTTTGCTTATATTTTAAGGATTTATACTTTTTTTTTTTAAAGTAAACTCTACATCCAATATGAGGCTTGAACTTGTGACCCTGAGATCAAGAGTCACATGCTCTACTGAGCCAGCCAGGCACCCTGATACTATTTTTTAAAACCATTTTATTGAGATAATGGATGGATTGATACTATTTTGATTTTTTAAGTATGCCAACTAAATATCTCATTCTTTTCCATTACCATATTTTTAAAAAATGTTTATTTATTTATTTTGAGAGAAAGAGGAAAGTGAGCGGGGGAAGGGCAGTGAGCGAGGGAGAGAGAGAATCCCAAGCAGGCTCCACAGTGTCAGCACAGATCCTGGTGTGGGGCTCGATCCCACGACCCTGGGATCATGGCCTGAGCCAAAATCAAGAGCCAGATGCTCAACAGACTGACTCACTCAAGAGCCCCTCCATTGCCGTATGTTTTAAAATGAATCTTTTTTAAAAAAGTTTATTTATTTTGAAGGAGAGAGACAGGCAGAGAGAGTGCACAGTGGGGGAGGGACAGAGAGAGAGAGAATCCCAAGCAGGCTCTGCACTGTCAATGCAGAGCCTGATGTGGGGCTCAAACTCATGAACCATGAGATCATGACCTGAGCTGAAATCAAGAGATGCTCAACTGACTGAGCCACCCAGGTGTCCCAAAGGAGATTGGTTGATATCTTCTCATTAATTCAAACCATTCACTTTTTGTTTTTTTATCAGTTTGAATATACCTAATCTTGGTATTGATGACAAATATCGGCGTATCCTAGGGAATTATGGGGCTGACATCGATATGATCTCCAAACTGTATACAAAGCAGAAATTTAATCCTCCTTTGGCTCGAGATCAGCCTCCCATTGCTGGGAAGATCTTGTGGGCCCGACAGCTCTTCCAGAGGATTCAGCGACCAATGCAGCTTTTCCAGCAGCACCCAACTGTGCTACAGACGGCAGAAGCCAAGCCTGTGATTCGCAGTTACAACAGGGTGGCCAAGGTCCTCCTGGAGTTTGAAGTTCTCTACCACAGGGCATGGCTTCAACAAGTGAGTCTACCTGTGTGCTCTTCAAAGACGTCTTCACTGCCAGATCAGTGGGACACCCTCTGTTAGCATGGGACACTTTTCTTCCTGTAGGAAGTTGAATTTGTGGGTATTTCCTAAGACAGGTTTGGTTGATGTAGGTAAGCAAAGAGTATCAAAGTGTCCATGAAGAAAAATAATGATTGATTTTGAAAAAAAATTATAAGCTAGGTAACAGAAACTCATTTTTATTTAATTTACAAACTCCTAAGGGAGAAAGAAGATCCTGCTTATTGGTTCTTTTACCTAGTTGATTAGGATTTCTGACTTTTTTCTATCCATTAAGTTCCTTAATGTGTCATTAAACACTAGTATGTCTCTGTTAAATGAAGTCTTACATTTTCTTCGGTTATATTAGGTCCATCAAATTGTATTCCATACCTTACCAACACTTGTATGTCTTTGTAGATTGACGGGAAGTATCTCAGAGGATAAAATTCAACCTTACAGGGCCTCTAAAATAGTATCTCATTTTCCTGGTTTAGCTTTTGGTGCCTGAGCCAGTAGCAGAGATGTCTCCAGGGTGGTATTCATAGTTTTCCGAGATAACTAAAACTGAGTGTAGTAGGTTTAATGAACCTTTTATTAGGAAAAAGAATGCATTAGGCATGAGGGTATCAGGGAGCGAAACGGGTTTTGAGAAGCCACCAGTACTGCAGTGTCCACTTAGCTGTTGGGTGTGAGAGAGTCATGTCCCAGGCATTTTGTCAGATTGACTACATAGCATCACTACCAAGAGCTTGAAGACACTTTTCTGAAAGTGACCTTAGAAGAAAAGTGTTGTCTTTAGTTTGAGAAGCTCAAATCCAAGGAAGAACACTTACTGGTCGTCTTTCCCAGAAATGACTGAGCTAGACCCCTGGCGTAGGCACTGAACTTTCTAATAGTCAAAATGTTGATCTCTTGACACAGATTGAAGAAATTCACATAGGACTTGAGGCATCTTTATTGGTGAAGGCTCCAGGCACGGGGGAATTGTTTGTAAACTTTGACCCTCAGATATTAACCTTATTTAGAGAGACGGAGTGCATGTCACAGATGGGTCTGGAAGTGTCACCATTTGCGGCTGCCCTGTTCCAGAAACGGGATGTATACAAAAAGAACTTCAGTAACATGAAGGTATGGCCCTTTAATTTTTTTCCTCTTTCTGGCTGGCCCCAGTTTGCATTTAAAAAAAAATATGGTGGTGTGTCACTGTTGAGGGATAGTGTGCCCAGGATGACTGCGATGGAGATTGAGAGGGAATGTGACTGTGTGGCAGGTTGAGGCCAGCTCATCACCGATCTCTCGTCAACCCAAGTTATACATTTGAATGCATCACGAAGCCATTGCAGGAATTCAAGCAGGAGGGAAAAGCATGATATATTTTATGATAAAAATTGTTCTTGCTGCTGCATAGAGAATAGGCTTTAAGGGGACAAGCGTGTTAGTGTGAAGGCAGGGTGCAGGCTGTTGTGCTGGTTCAGGATGGAGATGATGGTGGCTTGAAATAGGGTGGCAGCTGAGTAGTAGATCAGTGGATTAGAGAAGAATTGCCAATAGGCAGGTTATGAGAGAACTCAAGGATGATTCCTTTGCTTTTGGTGCAAGTGACTCAATGGATTTACTAAAGTAGGGCGATTATATATTGCTGTGTAGGTCATATTCTTGTACAGCTTGTTCAACAACATGCAATGGCCCCAGATGAAAGTTCCATTTATGGAGATGATGAAAGCTGGATCTAGTGTATTTTGGAGGACAGGAGGAAATCAATAATTTCCATCTCAAGTATAAGATGATTTTTAGAGATAGAAGTGGAAGTATTATCCATGCAGATAGATATGAAAGTCTGGAGTTGAGGGGAAGAGTCAAAGTGGAAGGCATAGTTTTGAGAGTTTTATTTTTATTAAATTTTTTTTTTAGTTTTGAGAATTTTAAGAATATAGTTGGTATTTAGTGGTGCCTGGCTGGCTTTGTGGGAAGAGCATAAGACTCTCGATCTTGGGGTTGTGAGTTCAAGCCCAACATAGGGTGTAGAGATTACAAAAAATAAATAAACTTAAAATATAGTTGGTGTTTAACATCATTGTCTTGGATGAGATCTCCAAGGGAGAGAAAATAGATAAAGAAGAGCAGAGGTCCTACGCTAAGCACTGGGTTGCCCCGATATTAATGGGTGTGACAGAAGAGGCCAAGTGTGCAACATGAGTAACTGGTAAGAGTAGATCTTTCGCCAGGTTTGGAGGACCCCCTCAGATGTTGCAGAGTTATTGTGCTGAATATTTAACAGAGCTCTCAGGCTTCCACAGATATGCCAAAGTAGTTGAGAGCTTGTTTTCTTCGTCTGTCCCTTTGCATATAGTTCAAACAGGAAAGAAATGAGCCCACACAGACTAATAGTTATGAGACTAGATTCTAAAGCCATTTTGATCTGGATACAAATCATTATCTTTGGGCAAACTGTTTTTACCCTTCTAAGCCTCAGTTTGTCATCTATAAGATGAATAATATCTCATGGGGTTAAAGGATTAAGGTGAGGGGTAGAAGGTCTGCTGATTTGCTTCCCAGATAGAATAAGTCATGGGCATTGAAAATAGATAAGCAGTGAATACTTGATTCAGGAAATGTATAAGTAGCTGCTAATAGAACTATCCAACATAGGCTTTTCCAAAGTGGCTTTCATGGAAATTGAAAGGGTATAGAGAAATTGCAGAAAAGTATTCTATGAAGAAAGGATTATGCGGTCCATTTGGAAAATACTGAGTTTAACAAAATTCACAAAGTCCTTTGGGCTTCTTACTTCTTTCCTGTGGTTTTCTCAGAATTATTAATTTTCATTGTGACTTTCCGAGAGGGAGGATCATGTATACAGTGTTTTCCAAGCCAGGGACTGCTTTTCCTCATAGAAATCTCATAGGGCTAGTATCTCAGGGAAAAACACTTGGGTATAAACATTGGTCTAATGACAAAGTAATATCAACATGCACAGTACAAGTATGAGCTTAAAAACAATTGTATTTAAGAAATACATTGAATTTACTTTCTTGTAATTAATTATTAATATTAACATTATGAAGAGAGGTAGGCTGCAAGTACTTTTAGTCTTATTTAAAATGATAATATATGGGACACCTGGGTGGCTTAGTCGGTTAAGTGTCTGACTTTGGCTCAGGTCGTGATCTCACAGTTCATGGGTTTGAATCCTGTGTCAGGCTCTGTGCTGACAGCTCAGAGCCTGGAGCTTGCTTTGGATTCTGTGTCTCCCTCTCTCTCTGTCCCTCCCCCACTCATGCTTTGTTTCTCTCTCTCTCAAAAAATAAACATTAAAAAAGTATATAAAATGGAAATATATGAACAAAATAGTGACATAGTTCAATATTATACAACAGGTAAATTTCATTATAGGACAGACTCCATGAGTTTGTAATCACAAACGTTCCTTCTGATAACAACTAATTAATAAGTTAGGGAAATACTGATGGATCATCTCCTGCATGTCAGGTACTCTTTCAGGTGCATTGGACAAAACAGACAAAATTCTTGTCCTTATAGAAACTCTTGTCCTTATATTCTAGTTGGGTAAGATTGAAAATAAGCAATGAACATTCTACATAGATAAATTACATAGTCCATTAGAAGTGATGGGCACTATGGAAAAAATAGAGCGGGACACAGGATAAAATATTTAGGTGGTTTTTGGTGATGGTTTATAATCTTAAGTAGGTATTTAGGACAGGCCTAATTGAGAAGATGGCATTTGAATAATTATTTGAAGGGGATGCAAAGGTCCTGAGGCTAGGGCCCAGCAAGGATGACAGTAGGGCAAGAGTAGGTAAGGGATGAGAAGAGTGATTAGAGATGAGATCAATGAAGTAATGGGGACCAGACTGAGTAGATCTTTGTAGACTAACATAAGAACTTGCAGCCATAAATGAGATGAGAAGGCATGTGGCCATGTAAGCAGAGGCATTATACAGTCTGATTTACATTTGGAAGGATCATTCTTGCTGCTAAATTTAGCATAGACTGTATGGGGCACTAGTGGAAGCAGGGAGACAATGGTAGACCATTCCAGTAGTTCAGATGAGAGTCCGCGACGGGGGTAGTAGTGCATATGGTGAGCAGATCAGATATAGGATCTCTCGAATATGGAGCAAACAAGGTATCCTGATGGACTGACTGTGGATGGGAGAGACAGACAGAAGCCACCACCAGCTGAGATGGAGAATCCTATGGGCACAGAAGGTTTTGGGGAAGAACAGACTTTCAGTTTTGGGCATGTTAAATTTGAAATGTCTTTTATATATTCAGTTGGAGATACTGAGTAGGCTTTCACCGTATTTGAATCTGGACTTGAGGAGCGAGATCTGGGCTGAGGTGTGAATTCAGTTGTCTTTGGCGTATGGACGGTACCTAAAGCCATGACATTTGTCCTGACTCCTTATGTGCTTTCTGCTGGTTCCTGACTCCTTGTATGCTTTGGGTCTTACATCAAGATTTGGCGTTTGGCATGCGGCACCTGGGTGGCTTAGTCAGTTAAGTGTCTGACTCTTGGTTTCAGCTCAGGTCACAGTCTCATGGTTTTGTGAGTTTGAGCCCTGCATCAAGCTCTGCGCTGAGCATGGAGCCTGCTTGGGGCTCTCTCTTACTCTCTCTCTGCCCTTCCCCTACTCACACAGTCTCTGTTTCTCTCAAAAATAAGTAAATAACTTAAAAATAAAAAAAGACTTGGCTTATGATCCAGCAATGGGCTGAGGCAGATTTCTTTTCATTTTTCATTTTTTTCTTTTTTAAAATTTACATCCAAGTTAGTTAGCATATAGTGCAGTAATGATTTCCTGAGTAGAATCCAGTGATTCATCCCCTACACATGACTCCAAGTGTCATCCCAACAAGTGTCTTCTTAATACCCCTCGTCCATTTAGTACACTTCCCTCCCAACCACAGCCCCTCCAGCAACCCTCAGTTTGTTCTTTATATTTAGGAGTCTTTTATGTTTTGTCCCCTTCCATGTTTTAATATTATTTTTGCTTCCCTTCCCTTATGTTGATCTGTTTTGTATATTAAATTCCACATATGAGTGAAGTCGTATGAATGACTAATTTTGTTTAGAATAATACATTCTAGTTCCATCCACGTGTTGCAAATAGCAAGATTGCATTCTTTTTGGTTGCCAATAAATTCTCCATTGTATATATATACCACATCTTCTTTATCCATTCATCTATCGATGGACATTTGGGGTCTTTCCATACTTTGGCTATTGTCAATAATGCTTCTATAAACATTGGGGTGCACGTGCCCCTTTGAAACAGCACACCTGTATCCTTTGGACAAATACTTAGTAGTGCAATTGCTGGGTCATAGGGTAGTTCTATTTTTAATTTTTTAAAGAACCTCCATACTGTTTTCCAGAGTGGCTGTACCAGTTTACATTATCACTAGCAGTGCAAAAGGGTTCCTCTTTCTCCGCATCCTCACCAACATCTGCTGTTGCCTGAGGTGTTAATTCAGCCATCCTGATTGATGTGAGGTGGTATTGCATTGTGGGTTTGATTTGTATTTCTCTGATGGTGAGTGGTGTTGAGCATTTTTTCATGTATCTGTTAGCCGTGTGGATGTCTTCTTTGGAAAAGTGTCTATTCATATCTTTTGCCCATTTCTTCACTGGATTATTTGTTTTATGGGTGTTGAGCTTGATAAGTTCTTTGTAAATTTTGGAGGCTAACCCTTTATCTGATATGTCATTTGCAAATATCTTCTTCCCTCCTGTTGGTTGCCTTTTAGTTTTGCTGATTGTTTCTTTCACTGTGCAGAGCCTTTTATTTTGATGAGGTCCCAATAGTTCATTTTTGCTTTTGTTTCCCTTGGGCTGAGGCAGATTTCTGGTGACCCCAACATTTTTTTTTAAATGTTTTATTTATTTCTAGGAGAGAGAGAGACAGCGTGAGCAGGGGAGGGTCAGAGAGAGAGGGAGTCACAGACTGAAACAGGCTCCAGGCTCTGAGCTGGCAGTCAGCACAGAGCCCGACGCGGGGCCCGAACCCACGAACCGCGAGATCATGACCTAAGCGAAAGTCGGACGCTTAACCGACTAAGCCACCCAGGCGCCCCGACCCCAACATTTTAGGTGATGAGTATGGTCCACAGGAAGTGCCCAGAGGAGCAGGAAGTGCATGGTGCCCGTGTAGAGTTGAATGAATGAGCTTGGTGATGCACAGCCTAAGGCACTGGTAGCCTGGTTTAGAAAAGGCACTTTTCTCCCCTTTTGGAGAGGGGAAGGAGTGAGAAACTCCTACTCTTAAATTCTTTTTTTGTTCTTCCTCAGCTGTATTTTATTGGATTGGGAATTTGTATTTATGGAGAGGTTTTGCGTCTTCAATTTTTATTTTGTTTTGGCCACTCTACCTGGCTTTTATTGGTGTCCTACAGCTGGACTTTAACTAAAAGCCATCCTTTTGGATAAAAAAATGAGATAGTAAAAGTGTGATATTAATTGATCATTTCGCCTCCATTTCATCGCAGATGATGCTGGCTGAATATCAGAGAGTGAAGTCAAAAATGCCTCCCACCATAGAGCAACTGATGGTCCCTCATCTGGCTAAGGTGGATGAGGCTCTCCAGCCTGGCTTGGCCGCCCTGACCTGGACGTCACTGAACATTGAGGCATACTTAAAAAACTCTTTTGCAAAGATCAGTAAGTCTGTCTGAATAGTTATTATTTCTCATTTTGAAAGGCTGCATTCTTAACATCTATTGTATAATTTCTTTTAGACACTGGGATATAAATAATGAAATGAGACTGTTATTCTTACGCTGTTCCTCAGAGAATTTTACCAAAATACATGAATTCATTAACTTCCTGGAAACTATATATATTCACTATTTAGTTTTATCTCCTGGAGATTAACTGCATTTAAAAATTATACTTATTATTGGACATTAGACTTTCAATAAGATATGGTCCATTTAAGGTTGGAAAACTGTGGTCTCGGATGCTGAGTGACTTCTAATGTGATATAAATGTAAGCAGTAAGGGTGAGTTTAGAACCCGGTTTCCATGCCTCCAAACCAATATTCTTTCCAAAATACAGCTCCCTGGGAACTAAAACAGGAGGAAATAGGCTAATATTCTAGAGATATTTATAAAAGGTATAAAAACTTCATAATAAGAGTTATCACAAACAAATTAGATCAGGCTCTACCAAGCTAGACTTTAGTACTATTCTCCCTACAGAATATTAGGATCAGAACATTTGCATTTGGATGTCTTATTATTATGTTAGCTGGAGACAGGAGCTAGTTGCTAAAGAAGCTCTCCTTAGTTCTCTTATTCTGTTTTCTTTTTGTGATTTACATGAAGGATCTGCGATGGATGTCAGAAATCCAAAATGATTCTTAGGGGGTTAAAAATCAAGGTATCAGGACAGATGGTTCCTTCTGTGGGGGGAGAATCCTTTCCAGTTTCCAGAGGCTGCCTACATCCTTTGGCTCATGGTCACTTCATCTTCAAAGCCAGTAACATAGTATTCTTAAATCTCATTCTCTCTGTTTCTCTGTTTTCATGCACTTTGACTCTCCTTCTTCTCTCTTATATGGACTCTTATGGCTACACTGGCCCCACCTAGTATAGATAATCCCCACCTAGATAATTTAGGACAGTTTCTATGTCTCAAGATACTTAACTTGATCACATCTGCAAAGTCTCCTTTGCCATATCACGTAGCATTTGGAGGGGATTAGGATGTGGACATCTTGGGGGATGGGGTGGGTCACAGATGTCCTTGAAGAAGCTTTAAAGAATCAGGAATGGTAAAAAATTTTACTTCTTTACCTTTATATACTTACCTTAAAGTGTGGCTCTCTTCTAGTAGGAAATAAGCTTTCCAGGCAGAATTTTCTGGTATCTTGATATTAGCTTAGGAATGGTTGAAAACTTTTAGGGCCTTATTCTATAGGAAGTAAAGGTATTTATTTAAGGGAACACTTTACACCTTTGATACATCATGAGTATATAACATGGACTTTTCTGTATTCAATTTTAACTTCATTTCCTAGATGAAAACCAAAACCATATCAGAAGAAAAGAGAATTTACTCTGTGGTATCCATTGAAAACTGTATTATCCCTTAGATGGAGCTTTATTAACCATCATTCCTACTTTTGATGTAAAAGTGTTAATTTCCTCTGGAATTGACCTTTTTGTCTATGGAACTTAGTGTTCAGTATTACTTCAGCACAACTTTAAAAAAATGTACCTTATGATACTAACAGTAAAAGAAAAACTGAGGGACTTTCACATCAATAATATCTGTTGGGGCGCCTGGCTGGCACATTTGTTGGAGCATATGACTCTTGATCTTGGGATTGTGAGTTCAAGCCCCATGTTGGGTGTAGAGATTACTTAAAAACAAAATCTTAACAAAGAATTATCTGTTGAATACCTCCTGAGGAATAGGCGCAGAGCTGTGTTGAATAAGTAAGGATTACAAGGAGGAATTCTAGAAGAAGTAAAGACACATGAGTAGATGGGTAGGCAATATGGCGCACGTAGTGCTAGTATGATGTTCAGAGGTTGGTGCCAGTGCAGGAGGAGGAGGTCTTTCAGATATGTTCAGAGTAACAGGAAGCCTCCTGAGGGAGATGCATTCAAACCAGCCCTTCAAGTCTTGAGTCAGAGCCGGGAAACCTGTCAGAGGAAGGACAGTGTGAGAAAATCAAGTGAGACACAGTGGTCCCCAGTGACCTTAATCCTGATTTCATCACTGCAGTTTGGCCATGTACATCTTATTTTATTTGTTTATTTATTTTGGAAAAAAATGCTTAATCTCTTGTATTCACTTTTATTTTTTCCAAAGAGGACCTGGAATTGCTGCTTGACAGAGTCAACGATCTGATGGAGTTCCGCATTGATGCCATTTTGGAAGAAATGAGCAGCACGCCGCTTTGCCAGCTTCCCCAGGAGGAGCCGCTTACCTGTGCCGAGTTCCTCCAGAAGACAAAGGTTATTAGGAGATTGATGTTTTCATTAAAAATTTTAAAACAAAGGGCATGGTTTGAAGCATAAATTACATATTTTTCTTCTGCCTATAATTGGTCTGTGATAGATGTTATCAAACGCAGAGCCTTCTGAAAGTAATTTGAAAATGAAGAGGAATGTATCTAAGGAGTCACTTATACATGAAGAGCAGATCATTTCTTTTCAGACCAGTAGGAGGGAAATTGCCATGGGACGCATTTCTCGTTTTTCCATATTTTTTGAAGAGTAGAGCTGTTTTGTTCAAGAACTTCCAATATCTAGTGCTAATTAATTAGACAATTGTTTTTAAATAGCTTCAGGACAGAATTTCTTCTTTAAACATTCTGTGGAGCACCACTTCCCAAACTGGTGTCCTGTGGTACACAGCCCCAGAGTCACTGCCAGGAAACCGGGAAAGCTGGGTCTGTGTGCAAATTGCTCAGGGTAAGGAGTGTACCCCCATTTACCTTTGCAGCTTCTTCATATATTTACATATTAAAATAAGGGCCTTCAGAAGGCTTCTTGGAAAAGAGCCCATGTAACGTTCTTTGACCCATTATTTCGTAAACTTTTTTTATTTTGGCAAATGGAAATGTTTCTTCCCTCTACCAGGATTAAGGTCCTAGAAACAGTGTTCTGTGAATTGACCCTTTGGGAATGTCACTTTAGCATGATCCCAGTGTTCCCTGTGGGCGTCCTGATTATAAGACTCCATCAGTGATTACAGGAGTCCCCAAGACCATCTCCACAAGGATGATTTATCAGAATGGTAGATTAAGGGATGTCTGGACGGCTCAGTTGGTTGAGTGTCAGATTTCACCTCAGGTCATGATCTATCTCAGGGTTCATTGGTTTGAGCTCTGCACCGGGCTTGCTGCTGTCAGCATGGAGCCCACTTCAGATCTTCTGTCCCCTTCTCTCTCACTGCCGCACCCCCACTCGTGCTCTCTCTTGTCTCTCTCAAAATAAATAAACAAACTTAAAAAACAGGAAAGAACAGTAGATTAAGATTTAAAATAAGGTTAATCTTAAGGTATACGATTGATAAGAAGGACTCCTGGAAGCCAGCACCCCCTTGCACTAAAGACTGAGACTTACTCTGGTGCTTCAGTAAAGACACACAGGCCATAGGGAAAGGAGCGGTGGGGGTTTGGAGGCACGCATATGCGCGTTCCTTATGCTTTCTCGCTGTCATGAGGGGCTACACAGAGCTCATTCTCTCTCTAGCAACAAAAATGCAGCAACGTGTTCGCAACATTTCTGCCCAGGGAAGTACATGAGAAACTCAATGCCCACACCCGTTTTTGGGTGTGGTCACATAGGCACCCTCTGCCTCGCATGGACCAAAAGCCCAGGTACCCAGGAGGAAGACTGGTGTGCGGCATAAACCACGCTGTTTGCACAGGCTGTGCAGGCACAGTGAGCCAGTCTTACCAGCTGGGGAGCTGTGGGAGCCTTCCTCAAGTCCAGGCCCCAGACACCAGCCACAGGGCACCCTCCCAAGCAGAATAGTGGTCTCAGGCCTGTCCTGGTATGTGGTCATCTTCAATTTTCATTAAATTACTATGGGATAATCAAAATTAAATGTCTACATTTTAGAAATTCCTACTTCCTCCGTCTCTCAGACTCACCAACTGTGTCTAGACCCCAAGCTCCCCCTGCCCTTCTCACCCCCACTCATTTGTCAAGCTCTTGCCCTCTGAGAAATCACTTAGTCCCCTGGTTTTAATATTACCCTTATTCTTAGGATTATTTGATAAAAATACATTTCTTTTAAATTTAAGCAAAAGTTTTAGAATATTTTTCAAACTGGAAAAATAGTATTTTTATCCTTATCATGTTACGGTTTGGGTATATGGCCTATTTTAGATGCTTCTTAATAAAGCTGTGATCTTTTACGACATATACAGCAGATTTTGATTTATTTTTGTATTATGTATTTATTTATTTAGATTAAAAATCGTTTTTTATTTATTTAGAGAGAGTGTGCACACAAGCAGGGGAGGGGCAGAAAGAGAATCCCAAGCAGACTTCACATTGTCAGTGCAGAGCCTGATGCAGGGCTTGAACTCACAAAACTTGAGATCATTATCTGAGCTGAAATCAAGAGTTGGACCCTTAACCAACTGAAGACCCATGTGTCCCAGATTTTGATTAAAAAATATATTTTTGAAAGTAATCTTTACACCCAACATGGAGCTTGAACTCACAACCCTGAGATCAAGAGTCACATGTTCCACTGACTGAGCCAGCCAGGAGCCCCTCCAGCAGATTTTGAATAGTGTTTTTCTCTCCCACTTGACATTCTTTCAAGAACGATTTTTCATATTGCTAGGTGGCTTTCATAGCCACTTTTTTAACGATGCCTTCAAAATATTCTATTGAGTTCACGTACCTTAATTTACTTACTCGTTCCTTGTTGCTGGACATTTGGGTGGTTTCCAAAGTTTTGCTATTTTGCCAAGAGCTGCGATAAATGTATTTATATGTATCATGTTTTCCTCTTTAGTGATATTTCTTTCTTCAAAGTAAAATTACTGCATCAAAGAATGTGGCTTCATTTAATAGCTCTTAATATTTATAGCCAACTTGCTTTTCAAAAGGATGGCACCCACTTCCAAAGCCATCAGCAACATAATGGTACCAATTTCACTCTTTCAACAGATATTGTTTTACTATAACAGTAATAAATTATAATAGAGATTTTACTGTAATAAGTTATATAATAAAACATTTTTATTAGAAATAAAATTTAATAAATTTATTGTAATAATTAGAAGTTATTAGAACTTATTATTTTAGTTTAAGTAGCAGAATAATAGAACCTAATTTTAATTTGCATTTGTTTGCCAAAATGAGTGATTACCAATTAAGCAAATGCTTTCTCTTGAATTTGTCAGATTTTTTTTTAAGTTTATTTATTTATTTTGAGAGAGAGAGCATGCACTCATGTGTACAAGTGGGGGAGGGACAGAGAGAGAGGGAGAGAGAGAATCCCAAGCAGGGATCCATGCTGTCAGTGCAGAGCCCAATGCGCGGCTTGATTCCACGAACTGTAAGATCATGACCTGAACCTAAACCAAGAGTCGGATCCAACTGACTGAGGCACCCAGGCACCCCAGAATTTGTTTACTTGGGGACACAGCATGAGCAAGACAGATGAAGTCCCTGCCTTCATGGAGTCTATTTTCAAGTGCAGGATGCAGAAGAGAAAACACAAAAAAGCCAATAACCCAACAATTCAGGAGGTGATAAGTTCTATGGAAGAAAATGAAGAGGGTAGTGAAGAAAAGGAGTATCTGATAGACAGTTGTGATTTATGTTGATGGACAGGAATGACTTCTGCCATTACATTTGAGCAGAGGAAATGAGGGGAGCAAGCCATGGGAATAACTTTGGAGAAGAGAATTCCAGGCAAAGGGAACAGGAAGTGCCCTGAGGCAGAAACTTGTTATGGTTGCTGGAGGAAGATGTTAAAGTTCACCCAATATGTTCTTATGCTGAGGGGGAAGGAGAGAGGGAATGGCTAATAAGTGTGGTATCCAGGGAAGCAGGGGAGCCTGTGATTTAGAACTCAGGTTGTGTGATTATTCTTAAACAGAAGGGGAAATACTGAAAAAGGATAAGGGGTTAATGATAGAAGCCAGTTTGTTTATTGGGTAAGGGCATGGGGTCTGGGATTTGAATGAGTCCCCATGTCTTGGCCTTTGTTTGCTTTGTGCTAAGGGAATCAAGGTCATTAGCTGAGTATATGGAAGAGGACACTCTAAAGATTTGAATGAAGACACAAAGATTTGAGGATATAGCTGTTATGGGGCCTGCTAGAAGAATGTGACTATAGTCCTATAGAATGATTCCTGGGTAGCAGTAGGGATCTGACTGAATTTGGGGACCACAAACTCCCAGTACTAAACATGTGCATTGCCTTGACTTGTGTATGTAAGTAGAGAGGGTTGGTTACCTGGTTCATGTGGGTTGGGCTTCTCCTGGCTGGGGCAGAGGAAGGCTAAGGGAGTGATGGAGGTAAGGATATTGATGAGTGGTTGAAGTGAGAAACCATGTCATTAGGAAAGGGTGTGTACAGTGAAAAGATTTTACGATACAGACTCTAAAAAATACTGGCACTTCCTCAGAGAAGAAGGAGCTCATTTACATAGAATGAGATGAATAAGCTTGGCAAATGTAGGTCCTATGGTTATGTGTGATTTGCTGACCAGTAATAAAAACAAATGCTTCCTGAGCACTTACTTTGTGCCGGGCACTATTCTAGCCTTTTACATACATTATCTTATGGAATATTCCAAAAAACATAAGGTAGGTTCTACCATAATCACCACTTTTCAGATTGAGAATCAAAGATTTCCCAGAACTAAGATCCAAACCCAGGAATTTTGGTGCTGGCATCTACATCTATACTTATTACTAGATGGTACCAACTCTATCTTATCCCTTACCCAACCTCTGACCTGCTTCTTTTTCTTTTTCTTTTTTTAATGTTTTATTTATTTCTGAGAGAGAGAGAGAAACAGCGTGAGCAGGGGAGGGTCAGAGAGAGAGAGACACACACACACAGAATCCGAAGCAGGCTCCAGGCTCTGAGCTAGCCATCAGCGCAGAGCCCGATGCAGGGCTTGAACCCACGAACTGTGTGTCATGGCCTATGCCGAAGTCGGACACTTAACTGACTGAGCCACCCAGGCACCGCAGACCCTCCTCTTTTTCATAATTGACTCAAGACTAGGGATAGAGATTGGTAGTTGGGTGAAGTTCTGAGTTGGGAGTAAAGTTCTTATTTTATACTTTATTCAATGATAAAGAAGTTTTAATAGTTTATTTCAGAATATCAGAATGTTCCTATGTAAATGGTGTCAAAATGTCATGTGCCCTGCAGCAGTGGAGTGGAGGTGAAGGTCATTGGTGATGAGGAGATAAATGAGTCGTGAAGCTGACGTTTGCAATAGATGGTCCATGAGCACTTTAGAAGAGTTTCAAGATGAGTGATGGTGAGGCTTGGAAAGGAACTGGAGACTGTGGCCAACTAACAGGGTCTATTATTGCATGGGCTTATTGTCCAGCTAGGTGGTAATTTGCTGACTATCTACATCATCATCATCTCCCTCTCTCTCTCTCTCCTCTCTCTATTGTCCTACAGATTTGATCATAGTGCCCCAATCATTATTAGTTTATATTTGTTAAATCTCATTCTTGAGAAACATGAAATCTCGCAGGAGGGGAGAGGAATATCTGAAATTAATTAGGGGCTGACTATGGCTTGTTGCCAAAGGTGAGGAGAGAAGGAAGGCTGACTAGAGCAGATTGATATGAAATAAAGGAAATTTCATGGACAGAGAGGCTGCTGATAAGCTTTTGGAGGTATTTTTTCCACTGTTGGAGAAGTAAGATTAATTTTGCTCTACCTGAGCTGATCAAGTCGATTTCCTATCTTTAATGCATTCTTTTACATGCCTGGCCAGGATTAATGTGAGGGGTGTGGCGGTGCATTGTTGGAGGCCAAACCCAATCTAGAGGCTGAAATCTATGGCATTACTACTGGTACTGATATGGTCTTAAGAATTAGATAAACAGGGGCACCTGGGTGGCTTAGTTGGTTAAGTGTCCAATTTCAGCTCCGGTCATGATCTCATGGTTCATGACATTGAGCCCTGTGTTAGGCTCTGTGCTGACAGCTCAGAGGCTGGAGCCTGCTTTGGATTGTGTCTCCCTCTCTCTCTGCACACACCGTGCTCATGCTCTGTCTGTCTCTCTCAAAAAAAATAAACATTAAAAAAAAGGAACCAGATAAACAAATATGACACTGTTTTGTTTTTTGGGTTTTTTTTTTTTTTTATAGGACCTTTGTGTAAATGGTGCTCAGATACTAAATTTTAAAAGCTCATTAGTAGAGGAAGCAGTGAATGAGCTAATAAATATGTTGCTGGATGTGGAAGTTCTATCCAAAGAAGAAAGTGACAAAGCGTCTAATGTAAATAGTACTGATTCAAAAAACGAAAGTTCAGGTAAGAGATGGGGTAATGGAAGGGTCTTACTTGTCCAAGACATTACTGAAAACTAAAATTTCATTAAAAAAATTTTTTTAAACATTTATTTATTTTTGAGAGGCAGAGAGACAGAGCATAAGCAGGGGAGGGGCAGAGAGAGAGAAGGAGACACAGGATCCGAAGCAGCCTTCGGGCTCTGAGCTGTTAGCACAGAGCTCAACTCGGGGTTCGAACTCATGAACCATGAGATCATGACCTGAGCCGAAGTCGGCCGCTCAATCGACTGAGCCACCCAGGCACACTTAAAATTTCATTTTCTACATAGCAGTTACTTTCACACTTTTGTAAACACTCTCCCAATTTTATAAGGACATTTATAAATCTGAAATTATGATTCCGAGCCTATTGCCATTGGTCCCATTATTTTTTGTTGAACTCTACAAGCATGTACCTCATCAGAGTAGGATGGAGGACGGATTGGAATTCCCATTGGAGTACCTCTGTCTATACTAAAGCAAACCTTTCATGGGTCAGATGAGGACGCTGACAGGCAGAGAAGGAAAGTGAATCCCCTAAGTCGTTACGGCTGTTGACAGAAAAGAGAGCATCAGAACTCAGGTCACTGAGGCCCGATCTCGCTTTTTGAGCCATAGCTCCGACCTCTCCTGTTCCCTCACGCTGTGGAGGAGAGAGGCCCATGCAGTGCCCTCGTTTCCTCTTCCTGTTCTTTGCTGGGCTCACTTTCTAGGAAATCTGATGTCTAAGTGTTATGGAACTTGCATGTAATTTATCTTCTCTCTATAACTGCAATAGATGGTTCTCTTTCTCTCCATCTCTCTCCATCTTCTCATCTGGTAACAGCAAAGAGAGAAGGGAATTTCGACACCTTGACGTCATCCCTTAAGGCCCCCGCAGGCCTCCTGCCTCTGGCGACAATCCTGAGAAAGAAGAGGGAGACGGAGATATTAGAAGAGGAAGCCTGCGGGTTACTCTCCCATTTCAACCATCTAAATATGGATGCGCTTCTGAAAGTTACAAGAAACGCCCTGGAGGCCATTCGCAAGCGCATTCATTCCTGCAACATGGTGAACTTCCGGGGTAATAATTCCACACGGTTTACCTACTGGCGGGTCAGGCATGATTGCTGCTTGTGTGTGTGTATATTCTTGGTATTTTTAAATAATTAAAAAAATCCACCATTTATTAACAGGCTCCTTGTAAGTTTATACTTTATGAACTTTGATTATCCCAACAATTCTGTGAAGTAGGTCTTATTAACCCATACTTTCCAAAACAGAAAATGTTCTTCCTATACTTGTATCGATTTGCTACTTTCCAGCTGGTTTGTTCATTCTTAATACAATCATCCTCTCCTCAGCACAATTCAGAAACACGTTGCATTCCCAGATGAGCCACAAAAATCCACCAAATCTAAAGACATTCTGAAATTAAATTTTGAATTAAAAATTAAAATAAAATATTAATTAGAATAGAAAAATAATAGGGCAATAAACCCTTTTTATTTATTTTGAATAGTGGCATTTAAGGGGAAATCTCTCTAATAATTAAAAGTAGATGAGTAAAAGTGGATAAAGTGAAGGAATTTTTTGATTGGTAGCATGGTTTATTATGCTTTATTTCACTTTGGAATGGAAGATAGGTCTTTTATTGAACACAGGGGTGTTATTAGAACTTATCAAGCATTGGTTGATATGCTGAATATTAAATCACATGTGTTTCCCAACTGTATGTATTGCAGGTATTTCCAACTATATAAATGTACAGACACACACCCACATTTATATATCTATGCTATACTGATAGTTATACCTACACACAACTTTAAAAGTTATAACTGATGAGTTTATATCTATAAAGAGTTATATAGATATAAATGGTGAGTTATACCTTATTTCTTCTCCACTTTTTAACTGCTCCCAGGTTGAATTATACACACTGTGGTAGAAAGTGTATATGTTTTATTTGGAATTCCAAACTGGTTATGTGTTGTAATTTTGCCTTATTCTGACAGTTATTCTAGTTCTTTATGCCTTGCTTCCTTATTTTACATTTAACATTTAATTTGTTAGCATGGTGGTATGTGGACAGCATCCTTATCAGTATTTTGGATAACAGTTTACATATATAAGCCTGGTCCCACATAGTGGATGTCCATGATGGAGGGTGCACCAGTAGATTGCATCAGTAGAAAATGTGTCCGTTCCATCGAACTGCTGTTATATTGGGCAAAATGAGTTCCTCCATTAGTTTTCATTCATCTACCAAATATTTGTCTGATTATATGTCTATTATGTATTGTTCTATATGCTTTAATTTTTCCAGCTTAAAATGAAATAAAATCCATTTTAAATAAAAAATAGTAAAGCTTCCCTCTTTTGTGTTAATTCAGACAGTAACAGTACATCTAAGAGGAAGCAGAACAGTGTGCCCATTTTCCGGGCGGGCATCACTCTGGCCATTCCCAACATTGCCATGGCCCCTGCCCTGGAAGACATACAGCAGACGCTGAACAAAGCCGTGGAGTGCATCGTCAATGTCACCAAGGGGATTAGACAGTGGAGCAGTGAGCTGTTATCTAAGGTGGGTGTGGGATAAAGGAATCATTTCATATGGAAGACTTTATGGATGGGACTGAGCTGAAGAATATCCTTTCAATTTGTAGAAAAAGATGCAGGAAAGGAAAATGGCTGCTTTGCAGAATAATCAAGACAGTGATTCTGATGCTGAAATTGGAGAAAACGAACCTCAAGGTAAATGTTCCTTTAGTTCTATTTAACCTGTCATTGGAAACTAACATTGATGGAGCTAAAATGTATTTTCCCTCCGTGAAATTCTTAAATCAGTGTTGATTGGAATATAAGTTTATAAGCCGAGTTTTAAGTTAATATAATATAAAGATCCATGTATTTTAACATCCCCATTATAAATGGTGTATATTTACTGTACACATTACAGATATGGCTGCCTCGCTGATTTCTGGTTCAGAGTAATGAAAAGAACAGATGGGACAAGGAGGACTTTAGTCTCACAGTTTAAAGAGAAACTTTTCATAATCATAATGAATATTTTCTGACATATGTGTCCTGTTGCACTAATGTGTTGTGATTTTTGCTGTATAGCCCATGGTTTTCGTTTATGTTCTGTAAAATTAGAGAGCATATGATATACAGTTGCTAATGATATTAAATGTTGCCTTTAGTCCTGGAAACTCTTTCTAAAGCAGCTCTGCAAAAGGGGGACACCATGGAATTTTCAATTATTGTTTACATCCCTGCGTAATAAACCAGCTAACCATGACAAGAAACTGAAGCGGGTGCCTCTGAAATAGTCTGTTACTGAGAAGGATAAAGACAGCTTAGGACAATGTTGTCCACAACTTACAATATTATTTATTTAAGCTAAAAAAATCATGTTATTGTGTTAAGTTCAATTTTTTATATTATTTGGAAGCATTGCTTTACTTCTTAGAACAGTTTAAAATACAAAATTTTCTAAACTCGCAATATTCTCACTCGTGGATTATGTCTGAAACGAAGAAGAAAAAATGCTTAATGAAAAGTTGCCTATATGTGTTTATCATGACAAAAGAGTTAAAAAAAGCTGCATTAAAAAATAATAGCTTTGGGATATAACTTACATATAATGTATCCTTTTATTTATTTTTAAGAATTTATTCTTTTGAAGTGTGAAAAAATTCAATAGTTTCTGCTATATTCACAGAATTGAATGCCCATCAACACTATTTAATTTTAGAACATTTTTATCACTCCCCACCCCCCTCCCCCCAGTCCCTGGCAACCACTGATCTACTTTGTGTCTTTTTTTCTTTTTAAATAGTTTGTTGTCAAGTTGGTTTCCATATAACACCCAGTGCTCATCCCCACTATTTCCTGTCTTTATGGATTTACCTAACTCTGGACATTTCATATAAATGGAATCATATATGTGGTCTTCTGTGACTTTTTTAGCATAATACTTTCTTTTTCTTAAAATTTTTAAATGTTTATTTATTATTTTGAGAGAGAGAGAGACAGAGCATGAGCAGGGGAGGGACAGAGAAAGAGGGAGACAGAATCCGAAGCAGGCTCCAGACTCTGAGCTGTCAGCACAGAGACTCACATGGGGCTTGAACCCACGGACTGAGAGATCATGACCTGAGCTTAAGTTGGACGATTTACTGACTGAGCCCCTAGCATAGTATTTTCAAGGTTCATCCATGTTGTACCAAAATGTCAGTACTTCATTTCTTTTTCTTACTGAGTCATATTCCATTGTATGAACATGCCATGTTTTTCCTCATGCATTGGTTAGTTGATGAACATTTGGGTTATTTCTACTTTTGGACACTTACGTATAATATTTCTGTGAATATCTGTGTAAAGTTTTTGTGCGGACATGTTTTATTTTCATTTCCATTGTCTGTACTGAGGAGTGGCATTGCTGATTCCACAGGGTAACTTGATGTGTAACATTCTGAGGACATGTCAGACTGTTTTCCAGAGCAGTCAAGTCATTTTACATCCCCCTGCCCCCCACAGTGTATGAGGGGTTCACAAATGCCCCTGCCTCCTCGCCAGCACTTTCTGCTTTGGGTATAGCCATTCTTGTGGATGTAAGGTGGCATCTCACTGGGGTTTAGATTTGCCCTCTCCTAATGACTAATGATGTTGAACATCTTACATGTTTTTTGGCCATTTGTATATCTGGTTTGGAGAAATGTCTATTCAATTTTTTTGTCCATGTTTTTAAATATTGGATCATTTTTATTGTTGAGTTGTAAGAGTTATTTATCTACCTCAATACACTCAGGTAATTCACAAATATTTTCTCTCATTCTGTGGGGTTGTCTTTCACTTTCTTAATGGTACCTTTGAAAGTACCATTTTTGAAAGTTTTAATTTGATTAAGTCCAATTTATTTATTTATTTACTTACTTAATGTTTATTTATGAGACAGAGAGACACAGCATGAGTAGGGGAGGATCAGAGAGAGAGGGAGATAACAGAATCTGAAATAGGCTCCAGGCTCTGAGCTGGCTGTCAGCACAGAGCCCAATGCAGGGCTGGAACCCACGAACCACGAGATCATGACCTGAGCTGAAGTTGAACACTTAACCGACTGAGCCACCCAGGCACCCATGATTAAGTCCAATTTAGCTGCGTTTCTTTTGGTGGTTTTGATTTTATATTTAAGAAAGGGTTGTGGGGGTGGGGCACTGAGGTGGCTTAGCCTGTTAAGCATCCAATGCCTTGCTTTGAGCTCTGTGCTGATAGAGGTTGGGAATCTTTCTCTCCCTCTCTCTCTGCCCTTCCCTCACTTATGTGCTCTCTCTCTCTCTCTCTCTCAAAATAAATAAATAAACTTAAAAGAAAAAAAGAAACAAGGGCACCTGGGTAGCTCAGTCAGTTCAGCCTCCAACTTCAGCTCAGGTCATTATCTCGTGGTTTGTGGGTTCGAGCCCCGTGTTGGGCTCTGTGCTGGCAGCTCAGAACCTGGAGCCTGCTTTGGATTTTGTGTCTCCCTCTCTCTGTGCCCCTCCCCTGCTTGTACTTTCACACACTCTCTCTCAAAAATAAATAAAAACACTTAAAAAAAAAAGAAACAGTTTTGGGGCGCCTGCCTGGTTTGGTCAGTGGAGCATATGATTCTTGGTCTCCAGGTAATGAGTTCGAGCCCCATGTTGGGTACAGAGATTGCTGCTTCACCTAAAGTCATGAAGGATCACTGCTATATTTTTTAAAACATGTTTTATAGTTTTAACTCTTAGGTTTCATCCTGTGATCCATTTTGAGTGAAACAAGGTTCCAAGTTCGTGTTTTGCTTGCGGATATTCACTTGTGACAGTACCATTTGTTGAAAAGACTATTTTTTCCCAACTGCCTTTCCTTGGGGCCCTTGTTAAGAATCAACTGACCATAAATGTAAGAGTAAGCATTTATTTCTGCACCCTTGCTTTTATTTCATTGATCTTCTGTCCGTCATTATTCCAGCATTAGCCTGTCTTGATTACTGTAGCTCCAAAGTAAGTTTTGAAGTTGGAAAATGACTCTTCCAACATTTCCCTTTTTCAAGATCATTGATGACTATTCTGGGTCTCTTCTATTTCCATGTGAATTTTAGAATCAGCTTGTGAATGTCTACAAAAAAGGCAGCTGCTATTTTTATAGGTATTGCGCTGAATTACGGAGTATTTAAATGAAATTTGAAAGGATTCAAATGATGCGAAGTATGTTCTCCTGCCATATTGTAAAAATCAGTTATAGGAGATTCGGGAAATTCCCAAATACATAACAATTAAATAACACACTCTGAAATAACCAAAGAGCCAAAGAAGAAATTACAAAAGAAACTAAGTACTTTTAAGATGAAAGCAAAAGAAAACACAAAATATCAAAACTTATGAAATGTAGTTAACATAACACTTGGGAGAAATTTTATAATCTTAAACATCGATATTAAAAAGAAGTACCTCAAATCAATAACCTAGCCTTCTATCTTAAGAAAACTCTCTTTAATATTACTTTTTTTTTCTAGAGACTGTAATCTGTTGAGCCCCTCTTGTGAAGAATTCTCATTTCATATATGTTTGCGTTGGACTCTTTTCTATTTATATTTCATTATTGGTATTCTCTATTTTGTGAGACATGGTTCTCACACTTTTCTTTAATTCTTTTTTTTTAAGTTTATTTATTTATTTTGAGAGAGAGAGAAGCAGAGGGAGAGGGAGAGAGCCAATCCCAAGCAGGCTCTGCACTATCAATGCAGAGCCCAACTCGGGGCTCAGACTCAGGAACTGTAAGATCATGACCTGAGCCAAAATCAAGAATCCAAGGCTTAACCGACTGAGCCACCCAGGTGCCCCTCCTTTAACTCTTTAGTTAGGATTTCCTATCGTTCCTTGAACACATTTGTAACAGCTGATACACACATTTTTGTCTAGTCATTCCAGTAGTTGGGTTTTCTCATGTATAGTTTTTCTTGACCGCTGTTGCTCCTGTGTGTGGGCACTGCATTCTGTATCTTTGCATGGCTTACCATTCTCATTTTTGTTGAAAACGATATTTTAAAGACTATAATGTGGCAGCTCTGAAAATCGGTGTGTCTCCCCGCACCGAGTCTGTTGTTCTCCAGTGTTTCTTTTTTGACTTTTTGGATTCTCCTGGCCTGATTCTGTAGTTTCTCTCTCCTGTGGTATGCACACTGGAGTCTCTGGCTAGTTTCAGGGTCAGCTGATGATTGCCCAGAGGTTTCCTTAACCCTCGGAACCAGTAACTCTTACACCCTTTGTCTCAGGATGGTATGCTTGCTGCAGCACCTGAAAGCTCAGCAAGTTTCCAGAACTGCCTTTGCCTTTATTTACTGATGGTGCAAGACCCCAAGTTCAGCTGAAGTAAAAGATGAGGGCATGTTAGGTCTTCCCTGGGCAAGTGCACAGTGCTGTACATATGCAGGACTTTCTAGAGCCCCGGGGGAGCACCACATTACAACACCCTCTGTGGGCTTCTCATTCCTCAGATCTTTCATTATTTTGGCCAACCGCTTGTTTGCCTCAACGAATACCATTGTCTCAGGCATCTGTGAAGTTAATTGTTGATGGTTGTTTTTTTCTAATAAATGCTTTGGTAATAGGGATTTTTTTTTTTTAACAGTTAGTGAATTCTGAGTCAAGTCAAATAAAGATAAACTCTGAATGGTGCTTTTTCAGAAGGACATCATGATGAATCAAATAGTCACAATTCTCTGGGGTTTCTTGAGGGGCTCCAGTGCCAGGCTGGCTCCTGGGTGATGCTAAGGTGTGGCTGTGTGTTTCAAGGTGAGCACATTGCCAGGGAGTGGGGAGTAGATCTAGGGAAGTTAAAACACCTTGAAATTCACTATTGTTACTAAGATTTTAGCATTTTTTCTTTTTTTATACTTAAAACTTTTTAAAATATTTATTTATTTTTGAGAGAGAGACAGCGTGCGTGCAGGAGGGGCAGAGAGAGAGGGAGACACAGAACCCGAAGCAGGGTCCAGGCTCGAGCTGTCAGCACAGAGTCTGATGTGGGGCACCTGAGGTGGAGCTTGAACTCATGGACTGAAAGATCATGACCTGAGCCGAAGTTGGATTCTCAACCGACTGAGCCACCAGGCACTCCTTAGCTATTTTTTTTTCTTAAATAAAGAAGCACTGCTTGGATTGTTGCAAGCTTTGGTTAATGTCCAGAGTTCTGAAAAATTGATATTGACAAGTTTTCAATTGCTTTTTACAAAGAAGTAAATTGTCAGAGGCCCTTACTTTACAGAAATGTCTTCCTTACAGAACTTCCCTCGTCTTTTTAAAGCATGTTCCCTATGCTGTTGATATAATTTTCTCTCTCTCCCTCCTTTCTCTTTTTTTTGCTTTTAGATACCTTTGAGATAGCATCTGTAAACTTACCCATTCCTGTGCAAACCAGGAACTATTATAAGAATGTGTCTGATAACAAAGAGATTGTGAAATTAGTCTCCGTGCTTAGCACAATCATCAATTCTACCAAAAAGGTATGCTGAGAGGACTTGTCACCAGAGCCCTTTGCTTTACAGTATGTACCTGTGTGAAGTTGAATATCACAAGCTTATGTCCTACATGTAGCCTGGGTCTCACCCATGGTGCCTTTGGTGAGGACCTGTGAAATCTTGGATATGATCAGCAAATGTTTGTTTACCTAAAACTTCTTCTTTCTAGGTTGCAAGGTAAAAATGAACCATTATTCCTATGTTTTATGTTGTGTTCTGTTGAATGCTTTAAGTCTATGTACTTACTGATTTAGTACAAATAAACCTAACTGTTAAAAAGTTTGAGGGGGCACCTGGATGGCTCAGTCAGTTAAGTGTCTGCCTCTTGGTTTCGGCTCAGTCATGATCTCACAGTTCGTGGGTTCAAGCCCCACATTGGGCTCTGCGGCCGGCAGCATGGAGGCTGCTGGGGGTTCTCTCTCTCTCCCTCTCTCTCTTCCCTTCCCTCACTCACACTGTCTCTCTCAAAATAAATATAGAAACTTAAAAAATAAAAAAACTTGATATATTTCATACCACAAGTGAGTACTAGTCAGTACTGCCTAGTATCATTTGGAACAGAATAAGGTTTATACTTAATTTTTCATATTTGTGTAGGTAGGTAAATCTCATAAACTATCCAATGAAAATGTACGTGTATTACCACGTGGAAATAAGGTCATAGGGAGAATAAAGCACACAGTAGTGTTATCAATTCAAACTTGTACTTGAAAGAGGTGACATTAGGGTTAAGTTTTCTTCTAACCTGCTCCTCTCTCGACTCCCCCTTTTCTATTCAGGCCAATCCATTTTTGTCAAAAGGATTCAGGACCCCAAAGTCAGCTTCTGCTTACAAACAGCATATATTCACACCACCACAAATACCTGTTGACTCTTTAAAAATTCTCTCCCTGTTGAGGGGGTAGTTGTCACTCAGTAAACACATCTTTTCTATTACTTAGTTCTGATAGAATGAGCTTCACTTGCTTGAAAACAGTTTGAAGGCCGCCATTGCTGTAACCATGTGAAGAAATATTATTAAGTTTAATTTTAATGTGTTCCTGAGGGAATTAGAAGCTTTTGCATTTATGCATTTTCAATATTCCTTTCTTAATATATTGAAGGTCCTATATTTAATTTTTCCCTAGGGACAGTGTTCACATAATTCAATTTAACAAATATTTATCTAGTGCTTAGTTTCTCAAGCGCCGTATGAATGCTAAAGGTAAGTATTTTATGGTGATGATAAACATTCAGATATATTTCCAAATGTTGCAGTAAACATGGAAAATACAATAAAATAAATCAATAATGAAGCTCATTACTTTCTCTGAATATAAGCAGCCACTGTTATGAAAATCTAAGGGTAATCATAGTCGCTGAAATTAGCATACTGCTAGCAACAAAATGCTTATCTTTGTGTTATTTCTGTCGCATTTGCTTTTATACTATACGAAGGAAGTGTGTAAATCTTAGGCACTTAGAATAACTTGGACTTTGTCCAGACTGACGAGATGGACATAGTGTTTCTGGAAGAATAAATACACACTTAGTCATCATACTAGGCATGGTCAGCTCTCTATAGCCCAAGACCCTTCTGGGTGATTCTGGCTCAACTCTGGAAAATCTTATGATCCCAGCCCTTTTCTTCTTGCCATTACCGACTGGATCAGATTGTAAACCTGACCTACATTCAGCAGACCCGTAGGCTAGCCATCAACTTACAACATTGCCTGGCTTGAAAACTAGAGCTGGATGCAACAATTGAAATGACCTTGGCAATAAAATAAAATAAAATAAAATAAAATAAAATAAAATAAAAGTAGCTTCAGTGCTATACACGCAGTTCATGCAATTTTTCCTTGAAGTCCTAGGTTCCCTCCACTTAAAAAACTTCCAGCTTAATAAAGAGTGACACTGTCAGAAAAGATAAATGAGAGTATAAACTTACTTAGTTAGATTATATTCTTAACATTATAAGGTCTAGGATGTTTAAAGGGTCAGGATTCTGGAATTTCTACCCATATGTTGGCATCTTTGGTAATCTATAATTCATTCTCCAAGTCATCCTATACTTGTCAATGTCTAAAATTCATTCTGGGTGTGCATGTCAACATCTCATCCCAAGCCAGGTGATCAGTTTGGTTGGGATAAATAGGGGCATGCTTAGCTTCCCATATTTTAATGAGAGGGAAGTCTCAACAGCTATTAGACCTGAGGCATGGGGGACACTTTTGCTGCATGCAGGGATTGGAGTGAAGCTACTTGGCTGAGTACAGGTTGGTAAAATTTACTTAAGTGACTGGGCCACTTAGATGCTGATGGTAATGCTATCTTTTTTCAAATAATGGCATTTTGAATTTTATCTCACTTAAAACACTTTTTTTCTCATGCAGATATGACTCTGAAATTATAATATAAGCCAATCGAAAAAGTGGATTCCCAGGAGATAGAAGCATTAGAAACGAGGAACAAATCTTTAATTATTTGTAGATGGTGATTATCTATTATATAAATCCGAGGGGCTAATCTGAAAAAAACAATATGTCTCAATGAGAGTCAGATAAGAGTTAATTGAAAGGAAATTATAGGCATTTCTGCCGTAATACAGTAAACATATTCCTGAAAATCCTGTTTTGCAAAGTTGCACATCTAATATATCACAGATTATGAGAAAAACAGGATTGAGGTAGACACACAAAAAGTTTGTCTTTTTGTGGAAAGTTTGTAACCGAGTAGTTACAAAACAGAGACAATCGTAGTAAAATATTAACCCATTTAAAAATGGTATTGTGGGGCGCCTGGGTGGCTCAGTTGGTTAACTGTCTGCCTTCAGCTCAGGTTGTGATCTCACAGCTCATGAGTTCAAGTTCAAGCCCTGCATCAGGCTCTGTGCTGACAGCTCAGAGCCTGGAGCCTGCTTCAGATTCTGTATCTCCCTCTCTCTCTGCCCTTCCCGTGTTCTCTCTCTCTCTCTCAAATATAAATAAACATTAAAAAATTTATAAATATGGTATTGTAAGTAAAACAGTTTACTATCAAAAGGTAACAGAACTTGGTAAAAGGTGGGTGTGAGAAACAGTTGAAATGAGGATAAGATATACAGATTATCTTATCTGCACAGGCTGGACTGTGCAGAGAACATTCTCAAAACAAAGCGGTGACCAAAGTGGCCCCAAAGGGAAAAGTGGTGGAAGGGGCATGTCACATACAATTGTATCCCTCCATGGAAGGCTGCTTTAGCTGGTACAGAAAAGCATGCTGGGAAAAATAGCATTTGATAATGTGACCTCCTCATTGTGCTGACATCCTTCTCTAGTTACCAAGTGTGAATGAGCCAGTTCGTCTTACAGAAGCAGACTTTGTAGCAAACAGGACTGTGTATTGAAAAATCAATTTTTAAAACTTATATGCCATCCATAGCCAGTTATAAAAATAGTAGAAAAGAGATCCTGCTTGCAATAATCACATCGCTGAGAAATACCTAGGATAAAGAGTGTGTGGGGTCTCTTTGAAGATTCCCATAATACTTACCATGTAATTAAAAAAAAAAAAAGGAAGATCTGGAAACATATACAGTGTTCCTGGATGGGAAGATTTAATTTTGTACAGATGTCTTTTCTAATCCAATGAGTTTATACATTTTATGTAGTTCTGTGTAATCTGCCAGGTGGGGTTTGGTGCAGGATATATTATGTTTGCCCATCTGGATCTTAGCTCCACCCTCTGACCTTACAGAACAAATTAATAGTTTTCCATTGAGGCTTCCAATAGATTTGACCAATGACAGAGTCGTAGCAGAGATCTGGGGCTGGGGGACGGGGCATGGTTCGGGGGAAGAGAGTGACCTTTAGCATAATTTTTCCCATAGCATCCTTGTTGTGACATGATTTTGAACTGTGTTTCTTTTTTTTTAATTTTTAAAAATTTATTTACTTTTGAGACAGACAGAGAGAGAGAAAGAGCATGAGCAGGGGAGCACAGAGAGAAAAGGAGACACAGAATCCGAAGCAGGTTCCAGGCTCTGAGCTGTCAGCACAGAACCCAAAGTGGGGGTCCAACTCACAAATCGTGAGATCATGACCTGAGCCAAAGCGCAACACTTAACTGACTGAACCACCCAGGTGCCCATGAACTGTGGGTTTTGAATGAAGACCCAGCTCCAGTCAAGAAGGTCTTGTCCACAAAAGTCTTCATGGACTCTTTTTTTCTAGTTTCTAGAAACTGTCCCCTTCTCCTTTTGGCTAGGAAGGCTAACACTGCATTGTTAATACTCCTGAGTTACTATGTCCCTATTGTATCTAGTTCCAATTTTGTGACATTTCCAAATATTTAAACAGCTCACTGAGTAAACATATTATTTTATTTTAAGTTTGCTTATTTATTTTGAGAGAGAGAGAGAGAGAGAGGAAGAGTCAGCAGGGAGGTGCAGAGAGAGGTAGAGAATCTCAAGCAGGCTCAGAGCCCAATGCGGGACTCAAACTCATGAACCATGAGATCATGACCTGAGCTGAAATCAAGAGCCAGACGCTTCACTGACTGAGCCCCCCAGGTGCCCCACTAATTAAACATTTGCTAAATCCATGGGAACCACCAACAGTTGAGCAATATTCACTTATACCATGATACCATTTCCACATCTTCTCAACATAAATCTGTTATTTGTATTCTAGGAAGTTATTACATCTATGGATTGCTTCAAACGCTACAATCATATTTGGCAAAAAGAGAAAGAAGAAACAATTATGATGTTTATTACAAAAAACCCCTTGCTTTCTGAATTTGAATCTCAGATTCACTATTTCCAAAAGCTGGAGCAGGAAATTAATGCTGAGCCAGAGTACATCTGTGTGGGTCCCATTGCTCTGTACACAGGTTGGTTCATTTTCTTTCAGACAGTCATCAAAATTCAACAGTATTGTTCTGTCTCTTTACCTAGATTAGTATGCCAGAGAGTTCGAGCCATCTTAAAGATTGACTTTCCTTTTATGATCTTCAAGTTTTAAGACCAATTTGTAGATTTGTTTTTAATTCCCTTCTGCATAATTATATATTCTAGACTATTTTGAACACTTTGCTGCTAAACTTTGAAAATAAATGCTATTTCAGAGGAAGGGAATGAGTGAGTTGTATTTGCAATTAAAATGTACCCTTCCTTTAATAATTATAAACATTTGAGGCTTATCTCCAACGGGTTTGATATGTACTTTTTAAAAGCATTTTTGAAATATGTTTTGAATTGGTGTAAGGCAAGATTTATAAAATGAATAAACAATGAGTAGGAAACTTGATTTTCTTCCAGTTTGATTTTTGTTATGCGCTACAAGGCTGTAAGTTGCAAAGTGTTTATTATTGGTGAACAGCCATGCTCTGTTTTTTTCAAACTGGTTCAAGTTTTTCAAACAGAACTGTGGACATTTGGGTTTTACAGCCGACTTGAAGTTCATTCTGACTGCTGAGACAAAGGCCTGGACAGTTGTCATTGGCCGTCACTGTAACAAAAAGTACAGGAGTGACATGGAAAACATTTTTACACTTGTTGAAGAATTCAATAAGAAACTGAATCGTCAAATTAAAGACCTAGATGATGTTCGGATTGCTATGGCAGCCCTGAAGGAAATCAGGGAGCAGCAAATCTCCATTGACTTTCAAGTAGGACCTATTGAGGTAACTGATAATCCTTTGTTCATTATGGAAATATCTCCTCATGTTGAGTGATATTAGCTGAAGTATTGACTAGCTCTGGACTGTAGGGACTATAGTTACAAATGGATGCTTAACCTAAGAATAATTTCAGTACTGATAATACCTCACCTTATAGGGTACCTTCTATGGGCCAGTTCTAGAGCTTTGGATGACATCTAAGTCCCTAACTGCAGAGCCTGAGATGAGGATTTCTGTACAAGTGATCTACAGATATGTGCTTATGGGAGAAGGGAGCGTGCGGGAAGTATGAACCATGAGGTCAGGTCAGGGATGGGGGAGCTAAGTGAGGGTGTGATCTTAGCTGTAGACAGATTGCTAAGTGGGGGTGTGATCTCAGCTGTAGAAAGATTTCCCATGGGTGCTCTGGAGCATGAGTTATACCACACGGTTGGTCCCACCTTGAGGTAAGGAAGACTGCTCTTTGTACCCCCACGTCAGTTGGTTATTGACCATCATCGCCCCAAGAGGAGACTCCTATTTAGCTGAGGACAGTTTTCCAGGGAAAGAGGCAGCTGCCATCCCTACAGACAACACTCTTAGCAAGCAGGATGGGAATACCAGCTGGAAAACAGGACGTGGATGGGACAGTAGGGGAGGAAAAATTCATCCTCTACCCTTCAGAATTCTTCCAGCTAGTTTAAGACTTAAATTGACATGAGACCTGCTAAGAGGAGAAAAACCAAAATTTTACTATGTGTACACAGTTGACCAATAATGAAATTGAGACCTAAAGAAATGACCAAGGCAGGCTGTTTTTATGCTTTTCAGGTAAAGAGACAATAAACCCATGAGAAATTGACAGGACAAAGAAAACTGAACTTTGGGAGCTTCAGTTAGTAAGGAATTCTAAATAGGATTTGGGTTGTGGTAGTAAAGTAGTATAAAGAACCATGGGTTGTTATATAACCTTTTCAGCTCTAAATATCCTATCTTTGGTGATAAGGATGCTTCTTTACCTCCTGGTTCTGAGAGGGTGCCTTTCACACAGGTTTCTTTCCTGTTTTCCGGAGACAAAGTCAGGTGAAGCGTCAGGGTGTTCTTTTTGCATTGGCTGTTTCTTAAGTGACTTTTATTAAAAATAATGTGGCAAAGTAGTACATTTTGGTCCCTATAGGTACTAACAGTGTCCATTCATGTATTAATTCTGTATTAACATGTTTAATCCTTACCAAACACCTATTTTAATATAAAGAAACCAAGGGTCAAAGAAATTATGCAGTTTGATTAGTGTTACACATTACTTTTGTAATTACAGTGTATCATATTTTCTCTTCTGTGTGAATATGTTTGCCTAGGAATGGGTTACTGTATTGTTCTTTTGAATGAAATCAGTATAATTATAGCATTAAAATGATTCCAGAAAAAGCCCCACCATTTTAGCATAACTTAAATGTCTGGACTTAAATTCTTAAAAATCTTTTTTTATTGTTTATTTATTTTTAGACAGAGACAGAGAGAGTGAGCAGGAGAAAGGTAAAGAGAGAGAGAGAGAGAGAGAGAGAGAGAGAGAGAGAATGAGAGACAGAGAGAGAACCCCAAGCAGGCTCTGTGCTATCAGTGTGGAGCCCCATGCAGGGCTCAAACTCATGAACCATGAGATCATGACCTGAGCTGAAACCAAGAGTTGGACGCTTAACTGAATGAGCCACCCAGGCATCCCTGGACTTAAATTCTGATGGTGAGGATTAGACACTATTCTCACATTTTCTACGTCCCTCTTTGAATTTTGGAAAATTTAAAAAACCATAAAAATGGTTCAGATGAGTATATGTTTGCACCTTTGCTATATTGGGTCAGGAAAATCATGTGGCCCACTGTGCCCTTCTTGGGAATTGAAACATAAGATAAAGAGTCCCTGCTTTGTGTGGAACCAGGAGCATCCCTGGGCATTTGAAGGGAAGGTCCAGTAAGTGACACCCTTGTTTCCCCCATCTGAGATTTCAGACAAAACTGTAATCAAGTAGTCAAGGTCAAAATACAACCTTTGTTCTTGATAGAACTTATTTGGAAGACATGGCTTAGTGTACAACTCCCATATTCCCATTACCAACCCAAATCCATGCACACCCACTACTTGTGAAGACTACATCCCAGAATTGTTGAACTTACTCATGAATCAGAGGCAGAATTGTAAAGCTGTATTACCCTGCTTCACTCTATTTTTAAAAATTTTTTAAATGTTTTATTTATTTTTGAGAGAGAGAGGGAGAGCGAGCCAGTGCGCATGAGTGGGGGAGGGGCAGAGAGAGAGGGAGACACAGAATCTGAAGCAGGCTCCAGGCTCGGAGCTGTCAGCACAGAGCCCAACATGGGACTTGAACTCACGAGCCCTGAGATTATGACCTGAGTGGAAATTGGATACTTAACCAAGCCATCCAGGAGCCCTACTCTGCTTCACTCTATTGACGCTGGAGGGCAGACCAGTGGGTTGCTTTCAAGGAGGAAAAAGAAAGAGGAAGAAAGGCACTGGGCTAGGCTTGCCCTAATCAACAGTCTTTTCCCCAAATTAATGATCATGGATTCGTTCCACCTATATATAGAGAACTAATGCTGCAGAGGAGAGCAGAGATATTTAAGGAAAATCCTTTCTCATGAAAACCAAACTCTGCCTTATTTTAATCTTTTGGCCAAGAGAATAGTCTAGGATTTTGCATCTTGAGGTCAGTGACTTGGCTCAGGCCTTGATGCACCAGTACCCTCGTGTGTCTTACTAATGGAACTTCTTACCAACAAAATGAAATGGGATAGAGTTAAAACCCCAATTTATTTTATTATCCTAATATTAGCAGTGAGGTTATTTTATGTTTTTCATTTTAGAGTCTTGAAATACAACCCAAGGGCCTAAATAAAAATACCTTTTATTTGTATAATGATTTATAGTTTTTGAAATTCATTTAAAATGATATTTGTGGATAGTCATGAAAATCCTGTGAAGCAGCCAGGGAATTTTCTCATTTTACAAAAGAGGAAACTGAAGCTTAGGGGCTCAGTTGCTCATTTAAGCTTTTATGATTTGCAAGAAGAATAGAACTCTCTGGGTAATTTCTCTATCAAACTGATCTTTTTCATTCTATCGCTTTAATAAATGAGTGTGTAGATTTATGCATCTGACTGGCAGAAATTAAATTCTCCTTCTTTTGTGTAGGAATCCTACGCCCTGCTTAACAAATACGGTCTTCTGATAACCAAAGAGGAGATGGACAAAGTTGATGCCCTGCGTTATTCTTGGGAGAAGCTTCTGGCACGTGCCAGTGAAGTTCAGAACGAATTAGTCTCACTGCAGCCCAGTTTCAGGAAGGAGCTAATTAGTACCGTGGAGGTCTTCCTCCAAGACTGTCACCACTTCTACTCAGACTATGATTTGGTACAACTCTGGTTTTGCTTATTTGTATTTTTGAGGATGGGTGAATAGAGCATGCAGAGTGCTTAAAGATTCTATGTCAAGTTTAATGAATTTCCCTAGCAATGGGAATTTTATTTCCATGAGAGCAATCCAGGAAATGAGGAATTTAAAAGTGCAATCCATATTATATCATTGGTCTGTTCCTGAAGTTGTTTGATAGCTTTCTAAATTTGCGTAGACAAGTACTGTTCACATATGGTTATATCAGTCATCCTTCTGCAGCTTTCCCTAGTACCACAAACACTGTAGAGTCACCAGCGTGTGCCAGGCACTGCCCTTGGTGCTGAAGACACAAACGTGGACAAGACAGATGGAGTTCCTGTTTTAGTCCTTCATTTATGAGTTTTAGTACAGACTCTTCTACTGGGAGTATGTTGTATAATAAGACCCACTTCTAGCCAATTATAATATACTAGAGAAAGGAAATATGTAGAGGGTACAGTTTGTACCTATTAAATAGATTCACACAAAACCACAAAGTTAATGAAGTTATGAGATTGGATCCATGCACTAACTTCATAGATGAAGCAGCACAGAAATCCACGTATTGAAGGCGTTCTAATGTAGGAAAGCCTGATTGGAATGTTAAGATTATGGGTCACTTTGCAAATAAATATTAGAGTGGTAAAATCTGTTAGTTTTGTGGCATTGGTGTTTTAGTTCAAAACCGGACATTAAATGTGCTTCCTATAGAGTGCTCCTTTTCCTGGTCACCTAAGAAATGAATAGTACTCATTTTGAATGCTCAGAATTTCCTGAAATGTAGAAATTGTGGTAAAAACCAAGGCTTCTTAGACTTGAAAATATTTCCAAACGAGTCACTTTCCTGAGTCCTTTTCTACAATTAAATAACGAAGTTTCCTAGTTTCCTATCATTGATGTGAGACGAATGAAAGCTAGCTTTGATGTGCACATACTTGGAGCTCATGAAATTTGTATGCAACACTTCCTTTTATTTTATGTTTAACTTTTTGTTTCAGAATGGTCCGATGGCTAGTGGCTTGAAACCCCAGGAAGCCAGTGATAGGCTTATCATGTTTCAGGTAATCATAGAGACCTACACAACCAAAGCCTTAACATGTTCTAGACACATACATTTCCCCCCCTTAATATAGAAAAGCTTATTGTGGAATATTTTTAAAAATTGTGATTTGGGATGATTATAATTGGAAATAGTGTGTATGTAATAAACTGTAGTTATTTACTATTATTTACATGTGCTCTGAAATCATACATGTTTATTTGCCAGTTTTTAAATTTACATGTTCATTCATGTGTAAATCATCTTGCCGAGGTCTCACTTGTGTTTTTTTTAGAATCAATTTGATAATATCTATCGGAAATACATCACCTATACTGGAGGAGAAGAGCTCTTTGGACTGTCAGTTACTCAGTATCCTCAGCTTCTTGAAATAAAGAAGCAATTAAATCTTCTACAGAAAATATACACTCTGTACAACAGCGTCATAGAAACTGTAAATAGCTATCATGAGATGCTTTGGTCAGAAGTTAATATTGAAAAAATCAACGGCGAACTTTCAGAGTTCCAGAGCAGGTGAGAAATTAAATGTTTAGCACGACCCGAGCCATTGAATCTCAAATGCTTTCTTCTTTGATAGGCTGTCAAGTTCTCTTTTCACCCCTAGATGTTTTGAAAGTGCATCGTGCTGCATTGCTGTTGTCCGTTGACATTACCCTTGTCAGACTCTATTTATTAATTACTCCAGTGTGTCCATGGTGAGACAAACGTGTCCTTTAAACCCAGATGAATCTCATCAGGGGCTCTTCTGCATCTCGGAGGGAGCTGATCTCTCTTTATATTACACTTATCAAACATTTAATGTTTATGGGAGATGACTTCCTGTAATAAAAGCAAGAGCCCTATGATTCTTTTTTTTTTTTTAATATTTTTATTTATTTCTAGGAGAGAGAGAGAGAGACAGCGTGAGCAGGGGAGGGTCAGAGAGAGAGGGAGTCACAGACTGAAACAGGCTCCAGGCTCTGAGCTGGCAGTCAGCACAGAGCCCGATGCGGGGCTCGAACCCATGAACCGAGAGATCATGACCCAAGCGAAAGTCGGACGCTCAACCAACTAAGCCACCCAGGCGCCCCGCAAGAGCCCTATGATTCTTAATTGTTGAACCCAAAGAAAATACAGGGTCATTTGTTGTATTTTTCAGTTGACAGCCTGATACACTCTGCTGTGCTTTGTACCTGGTATACATGTTTGTAGAACTGAATTGAATTGGGAGGCACCTCTGTCATTTATGCCTTTTACCTAGCTAATTTTTATGAGGGAATTGAACAAAAAAAATGTCCCAACTGGAAGGAGAAATTTTCTCTAATGTAAAAGTATGTTATATTAACAGATATCATTTGAATCATGAGATTTGAAAGTGGGGTAGGTATTTGAAATGACTGTTTCTGATAGAATGCTAGCAGACAAGTTTGGGCTGGAGACACCCAGGCTCATCTTTGAATGACCATTCGTGGTGCCTCCCTTCGCAGGTGTCGGAAGCTGCCCCGGGCCTTGAAGGACTGGCAGGCTTTCTTGGATCTGAAGAAGACCATTGATGATTTCAGCGAGTGTTGCCCACTCCTGGAGCACATGGCCAGTAAGGCCATGATGAACAGGCACTGGGAAAGGATAGCTGCTCTCACTGGGCATAATCTGGATGTGGGGAATGAAACTTTTAAGTTAAGAAATATCATGGAGGCACCTCTTCTGAAATACAAAGAGGAAATAGAGGTACAGTTCATAGGAGAGCATGATATGGGGGGAGATTGGAAGGTCTCATGGGATTTATTTTGATAGTATTCCTACATTATGGAATATTTGACCTGTAAACCCCATTAGGTCAATCAAAACTCTTTTCTGGGCATTCAGCTTTTCATTCCTTCACACATGTTTATGTGACAGGTTCTGTGTTCAGTCCTGGGGATATACAGATGCTTTCCTGCATTCCTCAATCATTAAATAATTTGTATAGTTAAATAATTATACAAATATGGGTATAGTTACAAAATGTGGTAAATACCATTGAAATAAAATTCTCTGCTATATGATAGCCCATAGTAATGGGCTTGACCTGTTTGGGGGTGAGGAGGTGATAAAGGTAGACAAAGTTGGGGTACTTGCCCGTGACTTCTGGGGAAGTGAGTGTGCTCATGTGGTGAGGCTGAGACGTTTGGAAAGGGCAAAGAAGACAATGTCAGGCAGGTGAAACAGCATGTGTGAAGTTCTGAAGCATATTTGGGAATCAGAGGAATGCCAGGGTGGTGAGAGTGTGTTATTGATTTTGGTCTTTGGACCAATGGAGAGCCATCTGGGAGATATATTTTGAGCAGACATGACATGGTTAGATTTACATTTTGCAGAGATCACTGTGGTCACTGTATGGAGAAAGGATTGGGGGAGGGCAAGTGAGAATGATGGGAAAACCAACTAGGGGATTATATGAATATCCCAGACAAGAGACAATGGTGTATTGGACAAGGGGCAGGTAGTGAAGCTGGAGAGAGGCGGAAAGATTGACGAGATCTTTAGAAGGTAGAGGGGCGTAGAATTTGGTGAGAGAGGGACCATGGTAGGAGAAACAATCTAAGATAAACTTTAGATTTCCTGCTGAGAGATCTAGGTGGATGATGGTGCTTATTGCGGAGATAGGGAATTACTGGAAGGGAATCAGTCGAGTGACTAGGTGCAAAGAGCTTGATTTGGGGCATGAGTTTGATATTTCAAGAATATGTATGGGGTTCCCTTGATTAGATCCAAGCACAGAGGCTCAGTAGGCAAATGGACGTGGGTCTTACTAGGAGATATAAAAGATTACAGACTGTGTGGGCATAGATGAGCTCATGCAGAGAGGGAGTGCAGCATGAGATGAGAAGAGGCAAGGACAGGGCTTGACTAATGGTCCAGGAAAAAGCATGGCTGCAGAGGAGACTAGGAAAGTGGAAACCTGAAAGAAGTCAGGTTTCTCTTAATTTCCTTCTCTCATACTGCATTGATTTGGCTCTAGAGTTAAATCAGAGACACAGTGAATTTCGAGTCTTTGGTTAGAGTTTCAAAATTTAAAAGGTTATTGCACATGTTTTTTTTTTTAACCAAATGGAGATATAATTGACATATAACATTGCGTAAATTGAAGGTATACAACATAGTGACTTGATGCATTTATATTGTGGCACGATAGCCATTGGAGTGTTAGCTAACACCTCTGTTATGCCACATAATGATCATTTCTTCTGGTGCTGGTAGCAATTAAGCTCTAGTTTATAAGAAAGTTTAATATTTATAATACAGTGTTATTGTCTATAATCACCATACTATGTGTTAGATTTCTAAGACTTATTTGTGTACTGGTTGTCTTAAACATCTCTCCTGTTCCCCCTTCCCTGGCCTCTGGTAACTACCATTCTACTCTCTGTTCTTTTGAGTTTGTTTTTTCAGATTCCACATATAAGAGATATGATATCGTATTTTTCTTTGTCTGACTTATTTCACTTAGCCTAATGCCCTCAAGGTCTACTCATGTTGTTGCAAATGGCAGGATTCTTTCTCATGATGTTCCATTGTTGCATATCTTTTCTATTGTCTTTCTTACTGGAAGAGTTTGGTGGGAAATTTTTACAAATTAAGGTTCTGTTACTTAGTATTATATCTTCATCTCTTTCCCTAAATCTTTATCTATATCTATCTCATCTATATCTATACACCATTTGTTATATTGTATTTTAAAGCTGGGGAAGAAAGTACTTATAGATACATATGAAGCAAATAGTGAGGCTAGGACCTCTGCTGAATCTGGATTGTTCAAGAAGGATGTGTGACTTTCATGTGATAAAACTAGGGCTTGCAATTTTAATAGGACATCTGTATCAGTGCAGTGAAAGAGAGAGACATTGAGCAAAAGCTGAAGCAAGTGATGAACGAATGGGACAGCAAAACATTTACATTTGGCAGCTTTAAATCCCGTGGAGAGCTCCTCTTACGGGGAGACAGCACCTCGGAAATCATCGCCAGCATGGAGGACAGCCTGATGGTGCTAGGTTCCCTGCTGAGCAACAGGTAGGAAGTCCGTCCATCTTTCCCCTGAGATCTGGGAACCATCGTCACAAACATTTTAAGGGAAATTCATATTAAACAATGCAGCAATGGCCCCCATACAGTTTATTTGACATTAAAAATCCTTGTTTTAATGTTAGCCCTTGGCCCAGTGTGTGTAATGCTGTTTTTATTTCATTATCCTCCACTTGTGGGATGTGTCTGAGACCGTCAACTGGACAAAATAATGCAACACGTAATTAGCCACTTGGATCTTGTGGAACATTTCAGCTTTGCAGCTGACAAGCCTCACCGCACAGCTGACAGCTTGACGGGCTCGGAGTCCAGGGGAAATTAGGCTGAGCTTCAGAATAATCGTTCTACTTGGGAAATCGTGCCAACATCTGTGGACTAGAAACTCTTGGTTGTATACATACTCTAATGAGATGACAGATTAAGATAGAGAATGAATTTAATTCGTAAAGAGAAGTAAAACGGCACAGACCGATACGAGTCTAACACTTCTGTTTGACAGTTAATCACAAAACCATCACGCTTTGCACACAACACGCCTTAGACTCATGAACTTAACATTTCCTTGGTTCATTGCTTCCCTTTGCCCTTCCTGAAATAATTTTTTGTTCGCCAGGATCTTCTCAAATATATGGTAATTGTGTAGCACGTGAGTATCATTGAGATAGGAGTTTACTGCATCCTGTCTTTCATATGTCAGTCTCTTCTGTGTGTAATGTATATTACAGCCTCCTAAATGCTGACCATATTTTTCATTTTAGGTACAATATGCCTTTCAAGGCCCAGATTCAAAAATGGGTGCAGTACCTTTCCAACTCAACAGACATCATCGAGAACTGGATGATGGTGCAGAACTTGTGGATTTACTTAGAGGCTGTCTTTGTGGGAGGAGACATTGCTAAGCAGCTTCCCAAGGTTTCAGAATTTTCCTTTTGGTTTCATCAGGGTTTTAACCCAGAGAATTATCTAATAACTTTAAAAATGCAATAACATTTCAACTTCTCTTGAGCCACACGCTCCCTAATGTTATTGTTGTCACTGTTGAACTGCTTTATAAGGAGAGAGCAGTTGTGGAAAAGTAAGGGTGTGAATGCTATGAAACCGTGAAGTTTTGTAGGAAACAGAGGGTTAAGAAAAAAAAGAAATGCCTGCATAATTGATACACTTCAGGTAATTTGAAAGTAGAATTTGGAACAGTATAGAATTATGGAATAGTTATCTCAACAATGGTAGGATAATTTGTTCTGTTACTACTGACAGTTTAAAACAACTCACGGTATATAATTCACCCAATTATATCTGTACTGGGAAACCGGGGGTGGGGATGGAAACAGACAGAAAAAAGAAGCTCCAGAACAAAAAGGCCTTCTCAAGATTGTGGAGCATGTTTTTTCTCATCACATTTAATCAGGGGGAATATGGAGGGTAGTATTTTGAAATTTTTATAAAAAAACATTTTTTACAAAATCAAGGATTCCTATTCAATGACCTTAAATCATCTGCAGAATTATAATGTTTAAATGATACATTTGAGTTTTAGAATCACGGTTATGATGAGCATTTTTTTTTTTTTTTTTTGCTCAGTCTTCCGAGCTGTGAGGTGGTGAGTTTTCAGTTTCATTACAGAGGACAGATCTGTTAGCCGATGCATTTATTACCTACCAGGGAAATGTATCCACACACTGAAATTTTAAGTATTTATTTGTTTATTTCTGCTTTCATACTTGGGCATGTTTTTCTGCTTGCTGGGTGGTGGAGAATCTCAAATTGGGACCTATTAGCGGCAACGTTCACATTCAATATTGAAGGAGCTGAGTGAGGTGTCGTGCCCTCATATTTGATAGTACATGCTTATCGGTAAACTATAGAAAGTTCTAGGGAAGAATGGAAACCTTATTTTTACTCTCACAAAGTGGTCTGTGCATTTTCAATTTTTTTTCTGAAAAGAATCTATGTTTAAACATTAAATATATATATACTGTAATTAGTTTTTGTATCTTATCTTTAAATGTTTTCTTTTCTAGATATACAAACAATTCAGTGCTCAGTGTAGAAAACTTGAAAAACATAAGATTCACTTCACTTAGGGATAACTGGCAAAAACACTTGGGAGCGCTTTTCTCTCCCAAGCTGTCTCATATTGTATTTTCGTTTCTGTATCTGTCTTCTGCTTTTGGTTAACATAATGGGGGGACCTTATTTAAGAAAGGGGGTGGGATGGTGCAAAAGGAGAATCGAAATAGAACACGTGTGACATTCAGGCATGTAGCGTTGGGATATCCAGACTGGGGAGAAATCTGGCCTCAGCAGAAGGTATGTGAGATGCGCTTTCCTTGAGATCACAGACGTGTCCAAGTGGGCTTTGTTACCTCGTTCTTGTAGGAAGCCAAGCGCTTTTCCAATATCGATAAATCTTGGGTGAAGATTATGACTCGGGCTCATGAAATGCCAAATGTGGTACAGTGTTGTGTTGGAGATGAGACCATGGGGCAGCTGTTACCACACTTGCTGGACCAGTTGGAAATGTGCCAGAAATCCCTCACTGGGTAAGTCTACTGGTTCAGGGAAGGCTCCCTTAGCGTCCTAGAGATGAAAAGGATCAGAGGGACTAGACAGCATTAGCCATATTGATTTTCTTTTGCTATAACGTAATTCATGTCTGATGTTGCATAGATAAAACTGGTAGTTCAGAGCATCATATTATCTCCAAGCCCTTGCTGGATTTGTCTTGATGTTGGAATAATAGGACTCAGGGCTTCTTCCATCACTGGGACGAGGTCTTGCAAACATTCTCATATAGTCCTTGCTTTTTAAAATGGATACAGCTACTTTTCTGATTGTCTTTTTGGATAAGCATCTGAAGAGTCAAAATATTTCATTATATGCAACCAAGAACAATATGCACAGTGTAATGTACACAAGTAGTCAAGATTATTTAGAAATGAGAGCCTCATATATCTAGCAGTGTACACACACACACACCACACACACACACACACACACACACACACACACACACACACACACTTATGTATAGGAGGCTGGGTGAATTCCAAGAGTAACATATTTTTCTTTTCTTTCCCTTTGGCAAATCAAGATCAAATCATGTAAGCAGAAATATGTTAAATAGTATTAAATATTCCAAAAACAGTTAACTATACATGGTTTTCTGTATTTTTATTTTTATTAAAGTATCATTGACATACAACATTACACTAGTTTCAAGTATACAATATAGTGATTTGAGATTTGTATATATTGCAAAATGATGACCACCATAAGTCTAGTTAACATCCATTGCCAATGCATAGTTACAACTTACTTTTCTTAATGGGAAATTTCAAGATCTACTTTCTTAGCAGCTTTCAAATATGACATAGAGTATTATCAACTATAATTACCATACTGTCAAATATATCCCCATGACTTATTTATTTTATAGCTGGAACATACATGGTTTTAAATATCTCTTCTTTTTAAAAATTTTTTTCATTACTTTTTATTTTAAGGAGAGAGAGAGACATGTTGAGGGGAGAGGGATGGAGGGGGGAGAGAGAGAGAGACAATCCCAAGCAAACTCCACATTCAGCACAGATCCTCATGGGGGGGTCAATCCCATAATCCTGGGATCATGACCTGAGATAAAATCAAGAGTTGGCTGCTCAATCGACTGAGCTACCCAGGTGTTCCTAAATATCTCTCCTTCTAATCTTCTTAGAGTAGTCAGTATGCATGGAGAAATTTAGGATAAACTATTGGCTATGTACTGGTCAGAGTTCTCTGAGAAACAGAATCAGTAGGGTGCATACACATACGGTTGGGGGTGGAGAGAGAGAGTGAGGGACTGAGGGAGAGAGATATGATTGAGGAGGCTGACAGGTTCTCTCTCTGTCTCTCTCTATACCTCCCCTATGTTCTCTCTCTCTCACAAAGTAAATAAACATTAAAAAGTTTTTTTATTTGAAAAGAAAAAAAGAAGAATTTTTGTTTTCAAATGGTTGATGCCATGCCATTCTTTTTAACTATAATGATTTTTTTTATGTTTTATTTTATTTCATTATTTATTCTGAGTCAGAGACAGATGAGTGGGGGAGGGGCAGAGAGAGAGGAGGAGAGAGAATCCCAAGCAGGTGCCATGCTGTCAGCACAGAGCCAGACGTGGGGCTTGAACTCATGAAACTGTAAGATCGTGACCTGAGCTGAAGCCAAGAGTTGAATGCTTACCTGACTGAGCCACCCAGGCGCCCCCTAACCATAATGATTCTTTAGCATGACCAGCTGTGTAGTGGTCACCTCTGAAGGTTCTTGGATAGAGACCTGCCTTGATGGGCATGCTGTCTCCCACCAGACTTGGGCCAGAGAGAAGGTTGAAAGGGATTAGAAGTGCTCCACACTCGCAGGGCTCCCTTCACAATGGAAAGGCTGAGGGGCATGAATCACCGGGACATCATGCAGGGCTCCGTTACCCTTGAGAAACTTGCTAAGGAATCATATCACTGGTCTCCCTGCAGCTGGTGTGTTACTCTTCTTTGCTTCCTCCTGTCCCATCCGCCACTATAGATAACACTCAGGTACACACACATACCCCTCTTTTTCTCTTCTCTTTTTCATCCCTTTTTATCATGCTCCACTGTAACACTCTACTCTTTGATGTTATTTTATAACTCCTGAGAGGAAAAAGGCTGCCCTAAAATTATTCACAGGTTTTACTGAGCTTTTCTTGGCTTTTGATTCCGTTATCAAGAGGTTATAGGTCAAGGTGTGTAGTGCAGGTATAAACACTGAGTACTAATGTTTACACAAAACTAACACTCTCTCCAGCTGCTGAGGATGTGCATCAGTAGGAATGGATTTCATAGGGGTTGGGAATAAATTGTCTTGTCTACTCTGTCGCACAGATTTGGTTGTCACATTCCACATGCCTCCTTTTATACTTGAACTAGAAAGACAACATTACCTCATTCATCATCGGCATTAGACTAGTCTTACTGTGAAGGGTGCAATAAGTAAGGGGGAATAAAAGATAAGAATTTTTATTCTTGCTGATAAGACTAAGGAATAAGGGGTGGGGCATCTGAGTGGCTCGGTTAGTTGAGCATCCAACTCTTTTTTTTGTTTGTTTTTGTTTTTGTTTTTTTCTTAAACAGTTTACTGTCAAGTTGGTTTACATATAACACCCAGCGCTCATCCCAACAAGTGCCCTCCTTCATGCCCATCACCCCCCTTCCCCTCCCCCCCACCCCCATCAGCCCTCAGTTTGTTCTCAGTATTCAAGTGTCTCATGGTTTGCCCATATGGTTTTTATCCTTTCTCTTGTTGATTGATGTATCACATTGATTGATTGACAAATATTGAACCACCTTTTTGTAGAGAAGTTTTGCATCCATGTTCTTCATGGTTTGACCACTATACTTTTTTTTCCCTCTCTTAATATTTTTTTTATAGTTTATTGTCAAGTTGGCTTCCATATAACACCCAGTGCTCATCCCCACAAGTGCCCTCCTCCATGCCCATCACCCCCTTCCCCTCTCCCCCAGCCCCCTCAGCCCTCGGTTTGTTCTCAGCGTTCAAGAGTCTCTCATGGTTTGCCTCCCTCCCTCTCCCCAACTATTTTTCCCTTTCCCCTCTCCCGTGGTCCTTTGTTAAGTTTCTCCTGTTATACCCCTGATTTCTCTTCACTTCACTTTTTATAAATGATATTCCACCCTTCTACTTCAATCTGCATGTGTTTTCAGGTCTTAAACGAGTCTATTGTAGGCAGCATATAGATGGGTCTTGCTTTGTTATTCTACATACTGAGGCTTTTGATGGTAGCATATAGTCTGTTTACATTCAAATTAAGTATTGATACATATGTACTTATTGTTATTTTGTTATTTGTTTTATTTTATTTTTATTTTTGTAGTTCTTTATTGTTCTTCTCTTGCTCTTGCTCATGGCTTGTTGTCTTTCTTGATGGATATACCTTGACTCCTTTCTCTTTGTTCTTTGCATATGTTTTACTGGAATTTAGTTTGTGGTTACCATTAAATATTTAACATACACTTAAGTTTGAACATTCTAAAAGCACTCAATTTTTACTCTTCTCCCATTTACATTTTATTTTATTTTATTTTTTTACAAATAGTTTATTGTCAAGTTGGATTCCATATAACACCCAGTGCTCATCCCCACAAGTGCCTTCCTCCATGCTCATCTCTCCCCTTCCTCCCTCACACCCATCAGTCTTCAGTTTGTTCTCCGCATTCAAGAGTCTCTCATGGTTCGCCCCTCTCCCTCTCCCCCACTATTTCCCCCCTTCTTCTCCCCCATGGTCCTCTGTTAAGTTCCTCCTAATCCTCCTATACGTGCAAACATATGGTATTTGTCCTTCTCTGCCTGACTTATTTTGAGTGCCCAACTCTTGATTTGGGCTCAGGTCACGATCTCACGGTTTGTGAGATTGAGTCCCTCGTTGGACTCTGTGCTGATAGCATGGAGCCTGCTTGGGATTCGCTCTCTCTCCCTCTCTCTGCCTGCCTCTCCCCCACTCACAAACTCTTTGTCTCTCAAAATAAATAAACATTAAAGAAAAGAACAAGGAATTCTTTATTCTCAATAAAGAATAAAGATCTAGCTTCTACAAATAAGATGGATTAGGATATTTAAAGTGAGCCTATCTAAAGTAAGGAAAGTAAAAAGCTAAAAACAAACAACACAAAACACTATGAGCACAGGGGCGCCTGGGGGGCTCAGTTGGTTAAGCATCCAACTTTGACTCAGGTCATGATGTGAAGGTTTGTGACTTCAAGCCCTGCGTCAGGCCCTGCGCTGACAGCTCAGAGCCTGGAGCCTGCTTCAGAATCTGTCACTGTGTCTCTCTGTCCCTCTCCTGCTCATGCTCTCTCTCTCTCTCTCTCTCAAAAATAAATAAATGTTAAAAAACCAAATAAAACTATGAGCATAAAAAGTCGAATTTAAGAAAATGAGGGAGATGTAAACAGAAACTCTTTGGGCAGCCTTATCCTGCCCCCTCTTTGAGGCCAGATTTTGTACTTTTTCACATGCCCAAAGTGAGCGAATCCAAATTGCCAAAGCAATAGTTTGTAGTGTGTATTTTCCTGAGTGTTCCACGCGACTTCAGGAGGAAGATTATACCACATACAGAAAACCCATCCATTTCTGTCACTTTAGAGGTGCCATTTCCACCAGGAGCACCTCTCTTAGCATAGTCTACCCTTCTGTTTCCTTCCTTTCTTTGCCTCTTTCAGCCTCTGAAGAAAGCCCTGTCTTTTGTCTGAAGGAATTTAGCTCTTGCCCTCAAGCTGGGCACCCCACTCACCAAAACACAAGTCCAGCAGTTGACTAAATATGGATGGCCAAGCGTCCCCCATGCTTCTTCAGGGCACTGGCTGGCTCCAGCTTCTGGTCCATGACCTTCCTATAAAGAGAATCTGCTTCTATGAAATAAAACTATTTCCCTCATGATTTTACACAGGAAGCAAGTAACAATACACATGACAAGGAAGGAATAGAACTTTTTAAGAAAGACAGCACTTAAAAAGGTTTTCTGGTAAGGTTTCAAAAAGAAATTACATTGAAAACGGTAATACTTATATTGAAGAAAATGAAGGTACAGAGGCATTAATATGAAAATAACAGGGGCACCTGGGTGGCTCAGTCAGTTAAGTGGCTGTCTTCAGCTCAGGTCATGATCTCATGGTCCATGAATTTGAGCCCCACATTGGGCTCTGTGCTGACAGCTCAGAGCCTGGAGCCTGCTTCGGATTCTGTGTCTCCCTCTCTTTCTGCCCCTGCCCCAATCATGCTCTGTCTCTCTTGCTTCCAAAAATAAATACACATAAAAAAAAATAAAAAAGAAAATAACAGGAAAAATATATCCGTAACACAAAGAAACACCAAAAGTAAAGCAAATATAGAAACAAAAGCACAGTTGAAAATTCCCCAAGTTTCAGTAGTTTCTGGAGGCAGAGAATAGTGCCAGGGCCCCTTCACAGTATATTCAGAGCTGGATTTTGCTTTCTGCTTTGGTAATGGATTCAACGCATTTTTTAAGATGCAATTCCAAGAATGAGATGCAGCCTTTAGCTGACACAGCACTGTACTTACAAACGAGACCAACCCCCTTCAAAACTCCCTGAGTGTGATTGCTCCTGTCCTCCACCAAGAAAGTACAAGCTTTTCCAGATTAACTCAAGTGTATGCATTACACTTGCGAAAGATGAAGAAACTCTGCTATCAATTCTGGAAAAAATATTTGTTTTTCATCCGAATATGGAATACCACTTGGCAGGATTCGTAAGAACCACAGAACAAAAACACTGAACGGTATGTGGGAAAATTCGATTGTCTCACAATCCTTCCCCCTTCTCGTCATCCAGATGAGTTTATTTCTCGAAGGAGCTGCTTTGTGTGTGTTTATTAAGTTTCTCTTCCTCTCCACTTAGGTACTTGGAGAAAAAACGTCTTTGCTTTCCTCGGTTCTTCTTTGTCTCGGACCCCGCCCTTCTGGAGATCCTGGGGCAGGCATCAGACACACACACTATACAAGCCCACTTGCTGAACGTGTTTGACAACATCAAAACTGTCAAGTTCCATGAAAAGGTTTGCCTAATTCTAATCGCTGGCCAGCAATTGCCATATCTTAACCTTCCACCGCCTTTATGAAATAGCTCTCTGCTGCTGTGTTTGCAAAGGGTTACTCCCAGATAGTGGTTAAAAACAAACTTTTGGGCCCAATTTGCCTTTGGAATTATGTGATTCCTTACTATCCAAAGTGTAAATTTGGGTAACAGTTTAAATATGATTAGGGATGCATTGGGTGTAGCATTCATGGTTTTACATGCCAAGTTAGCTTTTGCGAGATTCAACAAAACAAAGAAACCAACTGCTCAGAAAATAGTCCCTTGAAACAGAATCGCTGCAGTGATTTGATTGTTTTAATCAGGTTTCAGAAGTATTTGGCATGACCGTCTTCCCTGTTTCTCATCATGCTTGATTGAAACTTTTTTTTTAAACACTCCTTACAAGTTTCTAGAATCATGGAGTTGTGGGGGACCCAGGAGAAGCCAGTCAACATAAGGGAGATTGCATTTGCGGAGCAGCGAGAAGATACTTCCTGATCCATCTCTTCACCCCAAATTCCCTGGGAAAGGGGCCTTTCCGTTCTGACAGTGTGTTCGGTCATCATCTGAGGCTTCCTGGAAACCCTTAGTGCCATTCACGTATTCATCCTAGTGTGCTTCTGTTCAGCCACTTCTGTGTGGTTACCTCGAGGACGTGGACACTTCCGGGATCGCACTTGGGTCGGGTCTATCTAGGGTGCAGCTGGTGCAGTGGTGGAGTTACTTCATTGGAAGCAATCAAAAGCCAGTCACTTAAGTTCATGTCCCGGGCTTTGAGTCAAGAATTTATCATTATACTGAAGTCGTTTTTATGCCGTGCAACATTCATGAGAAATCTGGCCATTTGATGGCTGATAATTCTTGCCTCGCTTTGCTAGTACTGTGCACAGATACTGTGGGAGTGCTGTCAGGGAGCCATAGCCTGGTATAAGGCTATCAGGGAGGGCTTCCCGCAGGACAGTATGGTACTTGAAGTGATATTTTGAAGGTAAGTGAAATCTAGCCAGGCAGGTGGAAAAGGGGTGTGTGATCTGGTCAGAAGGAGAGGCAGGTGCAAAGGTCTGAAAGGTGTGGGCAGCCTGGGGGGTCAAGAGTGTGGCCGTGTGAGGCATTGGATCGGTTTCCTAGGGCTGCTGGATTGACAACAGAAATTTCTTCTCCCACCGTTCTGGAAGCTAGAAGCCTGCACTATGACTCCAGCAGACTTGGTTCTTGCTGGAGGCTCTGAAGGGGGTTCATTCTTTGCGTCTCTCCTAGTTTCCGGTGGCAGTTGGCAACCTGGGATGTACCTTGACATACATATGTCATGTTGGTATCTGCTTTTGTCTTCATTTGATGTTTTCCCTGTGTGTCTGTGTCTCTGTGTCTAAATTCCCTTCCTCTTACAAAAACACTAGTTATTTAATCAGGGTCCACCTTCATCTTAACTTGATGATGTTTACAAAGACCCTATTTCCAAATAAGCTTCCATTCACAGGTGCTGGGCTTAGGACTTTGACATGTATTTTGGGGGTACAAATTTTTTTCTTTTCTTTATTTTTCTTTATTATTCTTTCTTTCTTTCTTTCTTTTTAGCTACACATTTTTTAAATTAAATTTTTTTTAACATTTATTTATTTTTGAGAGTCAGAGCATGAACAGAGGAGGAACAGAGACAGAGGGGAACACAGAATCCAAAGCAGGTTCCAGACTCTGCACTGTCTGCACAGAACCCAACATGGGGCTTGAACTCTCAGGCTGCTAGATCATGACCTAAGCTTAACCAACTGAACCGCCCATGTGCCCCTAATTTTTTTTTAATGTTTATTCTTCAGAGAGAGAGAGAGAGAGAATGGGGGAGGGGCAGAGAGAGAGGGAGACAGAATCCAAAGCAGGCTCCAGGCTCTGAGCCGTCAGCACAGAGCTGGATGCGGGGCTTGAACTCGTGAACTTTGAGATCATAACCTGAGCTGAAGTCACATGCTTAACTGATTGAGACACACAGGCATTCCTGGGGGGTACACATTTTAACCCTAATAGGCAGTGATGACAAAGGGAAAAGGGGGAGAAGGAGACATGGAACCCAGTCAGGATGGAAAAGGCTGAGCTGCTACAACTCAGCCTTGATGAAGGAGAAATGGGGAGAGAGGAAAGGAAGACAATGTGGATTTAGTGGGTCAAAACCATTATTTCTCGTAGATCTTCTGGATGTGTGGGTTGAAAGAGGGACTGAATTATGCAGTAAGTTCTTCCTGATGCTTTGCTTACATCCTTCTGCACTAGGACTTCATGGTTCTAGAGTGCAGCTACTCACGGTCTCATTGCACAGTGGGGATCAATTAAACTTCCTCATTTTTAGCTACTATTCATAGCAACTACATCTTAAAATCAACAGCATTGCTTTTTTGTTGGCTTCTCTTGCTATAACATTTCTACAGCCAGGAGCAGATCCGGTTTTTGTGGGTCCTAACTCTGGTGAAGTTATTAATCCACAACTATAGTCAGGACTTGGAAGGGGTCCATGGAAGTGACAGGCTGTGGATCTTCAGTTTCATTAGCTTCTTAGTAGACCTCCTTCTACGACACAGGGGGATTCATTGACACGGTACTAAATTGGAGCCGAAGGAAACAATATTCCACTTACTAAAGAACAATAACGCAACAAACATTGTGTTTACTTGATTGGTTGCCTGATTTCATTGTATGTTATGAACAGCCTGTGAAGTGAATAGGGAAGCAGCAAAGGCATGGTTTTTAATGACTAGTTATGAGCAAGACATTTAGTCTCAGAGATGTGTCCTCTTCCAGTGCGTGGTCTACCAACAGCAGAGCGCCTTTTGAACCTGTCTTTTAGCAAATAGCATGCTATCCTCACGATGCCATGCTGTGTGGAAACTGAGGTGAGAAGACCAGAGCAGGAGCTGGGTTTGAATTAGAAAACGTCAGGCAGCCTGGGTGGTTCCGTCGGTGAAGCGTCCAACTTCAGCTGAGGTCATGATCTCATGGTTTGTGAGTTCAAACCCCTGCACTGAGTTCTATGCTGTCAGCTCAGCGCAGAGCCCACTTCAGATCCTCTGTCCCCCTCTCTCTCCCCCAATAAATAAATATGTACATACATACATACATAAACAAACATTAAAAAAAAGAAAACGTTATGTGCCACCAGGAGCTTCCGTGGTGAGTGCAATCAGTACAGATGTGGAATTACATGGTAAGGTGTTTGCATTGATCATATTGACCTGGTCATTGCTCATGTTGACTCGACAAGCTTGTGGTGTGGATGACAGGCTCTTACAGTGTCCCATTTCATTTGAGGAAACTAGACGTTTTTTGATCATCATACCTATATTGAGAATTTTCTGTTAGAAAGTCAGTTTTTGCCTTTCAGGTACAGACTGTTTGGAATTGATTTATCCTATTCAAAACATATCCCCTTTTTGATTTCATGGGTAGCTTTTTTTTTTTTTTTTTTTGGCTTGAAATTGATTTTGTGTCATATTTTGCCTTTTATTTTATAATCTATAGCTTAACTTCCTTCAGGAGGATAACACTGACAAGAAGGCAGTGGAGGAATTCATTCTTTATGTGACTATAGCTTTTTTTTTTTTTTTTTTTGGCTACTACTGTAGATCTATGATCGAATTCTGTCAATCTCTTCTCGAGAGGGCGAGACGGTTGACTTGGATAAACCTGTGATGGCTGAGGGCAATGTGGAAGTTTGGCTTAATTCTCTCTTGGAGGAATCTCAGTCCTCATTACATCTTGTGATTCGCCAGGCAGCTGCAAATATTCAAGAACCAGGTTTCCAGCTGATTGAATTTCTTTCTTCCTTCCCTGCTCAGGTCAGTGTATTAAATTGGAAAGTATTTTTTACAGAATAGCCATATTAGATCTCAGACATTGCCTATTGTAAACGACACAAGTGACTATAGTTTAACTCTGGACCCATATTAAGATTTTCATAAGGATTTCTTAATATAGATAAGCTTGAAGGTTTCAGCTACAGATTATTTGGTTATATATATATGTATAAATATAAATAATATCTTACATATGTGTTTTATAGATACATTTTCTTTATATTTTCTTTAACTTAAAAGGTTTTTTTTTCCTGCTGAATCTCTTTAGTAAATAAATCATAAAAAAGTACTGAGTGCATACTTAGCCAGAAAGACAAGAAATGTATTTCAGCATTAAAATCTACAAACTGATGTTCTCTTAGCCATTAAAATCAGTAAAGATTTTGTGGGTATCTACTGCGTGTAAACCCTGCTAGTTTGAGGGAAACCGGTTTAAGCCTGTTATTTCCCTTCTAGTAACTTAAAATCTATCTAGGAAGAAATATGACTTAAACAGTAAATGATTTAAACTTCTAAGGAAAAAAATTGTGGACATATCATGAGGCTGTCCATGTGTAATTGCCAGGTGAATAGTAGGAATAGTTTCCATCGGTTTCCAAACAATGAATAGAGTTGCTATAACCCAGGATGCCCTTCTATTTGCATAATAATCACCACTATTCACTATATTGTGATTTCTATTTAAATAAATTAATATGCCATCCACACTCGTAAAGCCTTCTTTGTTTCCATAAGGTTGGATTATTAGGAATTCAAATGATATGGACACGGGATTCAGAAGAAGCCCTCAGAAATGCCAAGTTTGATAAAAAAATCATGCAGAAAACCAACCAGTCTTTTCTGGAGCTGTTGAATACATTGATAGGCATCACGACAAAGGATCTGAGTTCCATGGAGCGAGTTAAATACGAGACTCTGATTACTATCCATGTGCACCAAAGAGATATCTTTGATGACCTGGTAAATGCTTTATAAATACTATGGCATCTACAGAAAAGCAAATCCGAGGCACCGTCTGTGTTTAGTCACTGGTATTAGTTTGAATGAATTCAAAGAAAAGGTTAGATTCAGGCAAAGGGTCATCTTCCCGACGAGAACTTGTTTGTCATATTTTCAGCCTTCAACCAAAATTTCAGTCATATTTTGATGGTTTCTGGTTAAGATGTCATTGATCAATTAGACTTTATTTTAATTTCTTTATGTGATCAGCTTGAAAACTAAACTGCCATGGAACATCCTGGAAAAGCCTTCACTGGGCTTGTGCTCCTGTTAGGTATTAAAGATCACCAGTATGGAAATGATAAGTAACACTGTGCTTTCTCTGAGGCTTTTGGATAAGTCACATCTTTAACAAGCTTTGTTACATTTTACATCATTGGTTGCAAATGGCCTTTCCTAATACGGCTGGCTGGTGACATTCAGGTGCCATGCAGATTTTTGCCTTTCAAGAGAAAGCAGAGTAGCAAAGGCAGTTTAGGAGTTACAGAAAATAAGAGATGTGTAAAGAAATGAAATTTATCCTCTGCTACGAAATAGAACATTAGATAAGAGGCAAGAAACTCTTCTCAATAATTTTCTGGATCATGTCTCACCCCATTATGTAAAAAAGATTATAAAAGATTGGTTCTGATGTAATGGAGAGAAGAACAGCTTATTCAAGCTATTGTGGTCTAATCTCTCTTAATAGTTAAGCGCACTGTTTGCCTCTCTGAGAAATAAAGGGCTCCGGATAATTTTAGATTTGTTATTTGTCAAAGACAATGATTAAAATGGCTTAAAATTTTGATTAAAAAATTTAGACAAAAGCATTGCTGGTCAATAACCTGCCATTTAGATGTTAGAAATTTTGGTCTGCTGCAAAACCTAGGAAGAAAAATGAATGGATTAACCGCCCCCCCACCCCCAACATTGTACTTTATCATAATCACAAGAGATGTCTTTTTCCTAATGACATTATTTGATTCTATCCTTGTGTGCCAAAACATGTTTTTCATAGGTTGTACTTTATGGTTAGGGCTGTGGTTTGGGCATTTATGGGTACGATTTGAGAAGTGAATATCTATTAAAATATGTCATGCTGTTTACATTGGTGGGCAAGGGTTCCTCTTGAATTTTCCTATTCTCGTATCATCTAAAGTGTCCTTTTTGCTGATCCATAAACGAACGGCTTGGATGGTGATGTAGTTGACATCTCCAAACCAACTGGGCTGTCTTTGCGTTCTATTTACATCCCATTATGATCTACGTGAATGCTAATGTGCATATTTAATAACTGGTTCTCATCTCCGCTTTAACATCTACCTTTTGCATTTCAGTGTCACATGCATATCAAGAGCCCTACAGACTTCGAGTGGCTGAAACAGTGCAGATTTTATTTTAACGAAGATTCCGACAAGATGATGATCCACATCACAGATGTGGCTTTCATATACCAGAATGAATTTTTAGGCTGCACTGACAGGCTTGTCATAACTCCTCTCACAGACAGGTGATGGAAGGGTTCTGTGATTCCACAACCTCTTTCCCTCCGCCCACTCCCCAGCATTTGTATTCTCTGGAGTCGCTCGGGGATTTCTGCTTCATGTCTCTTTAGGGTTTATAGGCTCTTTTATACCAAAGTGTTTGAAATTCGGTATTTTTAGCTTTACACATGGGTCTTCACATGGGATTTGGGTTTTTGTGATGGAAACGCTTTGCTTCCTTTGTCTTCAGTCTTAGGCTATGTTTAAAGGACGTCAGTGGACATCAGATGGCCAAGAAAAGGAATTAATTGCCATTTCAATAGGTGCAAATCGCAGCTGGCCTTGAAGGTTGCTTTGGGGACAGTGGCACCTGCTGTTATTAGAGATGATTAAGATGGATTTTTAGCAGGAAAGAAATTGAGTGTCGATATAGGTGAAAAGTGATGGGGAGGACACTGGCCAGGACATCTGGAGTTCTCTGTCGTCCTCTGCTTCTTATGTAGGAACTTGTTAGCCAGAGGCGCCTTGCACCTTCCCTAGACTCAGTTTCCTCATCTATAAGATGAACCAGTTTGTCTCCAAGAGTCGGTCCTCCGTTCATATTCTGTAATTCAGTTAGTCCACTTTGAACTTCGTGGCATCAACTAATTGCATCTGTGCTCCGTTCAGGGATGCGCTGCATACTTATTTTGGACAAAATGGCTGAGTGTTAAAATCAGTATTTGGCCTAAGTAGAGGCTGAAGCTGAATATCATTCATTTCCATGGAATGAACCTCTGGTCTGTTAGATGAAAAATATTGTCACACAAGGGACCCTGGGTGGCTCAGTCGGTTAAGCGTCCGACTTTGGCCCAGGTCATGATCTAATGGTTTGTGAGTGTGAGCCCCGTGTCTGGCTCTGTGCTCACAGCTTGGAGCCTGGAGCCTGCTTCAGATTCCGTCTCCATCTCTCTCTGCCCTCCCTCACTTGCACTCTGTCTCTCTCTCAAAAATAAACATAAAAAAAAAAGAAAAATACTGTCAGACAAAACATAGATGTTTGATGTAAGCACATTACTCACTTGCTGCTCGATTGTTCTTTTGCTCATGCCGGATGCTAAATGAAATGCTGATGTTCAACTGAGAGACTTTATTATCACTTTCCTCCTCTTCATTGTCTTTTGATTCCTTCTTATGCCTGGACTGGAGGTGATTTACACTGGATGCTCATGGATGTCCTTTCAGAGTGTTTGTCTTTGTTTTGAAGCTCAGAGGTGGAAAATCATAAAACATGACCAATTCCTCGAGACGCTTGTGGCTCAGGCAGTGACTTCGCACCTTCTGTCTTCTCAGACTGCCAGCGCCCCACTCCCTTTCTAGCGAAGACCGCCTTTCCTGTCCTTTGGGGAAGGTGCTGTCACAGGAGGGGCTGTGCTCTCACTCCCAGCTCTTGTGCAGTCCACTCTCCAGATGCATGGCCTGTGCTGCCCAAATCACCGCCAGCAATTTCCTCTCTGGGACAGCATCAGTTTTCACTCCCAGGTGGATTATTCTCATCAACTTGCAAATACGCTGTCATTGGTACCAGAAAGAAACACCTGCTGTGAAGCCTCAGGGTTTCTTCCTATTCCTGTGCTCTCTCATCAGAACTCCTTGCAAGCACCTATTTCTCTTTGCCTATTTTATGTTGAATTCACTCCACTTAGGCTCTTGGTATTAGCTTCCTATTGATCCCGTGACAGGTCACTACAGATTTAGAAGGTGAAACAACACAATGATTTTATAGTCTGTGTGTCAGAAGTCTGACGCTCGTCAGCATGGCTGACTTCCCCCTAGAGCCTGAGAGGAAGAAGAATGCACTTCCTGTGCTTGCGGGACGTTGGCAAAATTCCTTTCTTGGCGGTGGAGGACGCGAGGCCCGGTGTCCCTGCGGACTGTCAGCCGAAGGCCGATCCCTGCACTTTTCCTTGGTCCATCCTCACAGCCAGCAGCGATGGGTTGAGACCGTTTCACGCATCAACCCTCTCCTCTGTCTTCGGTCCTGTGTCTGACCTCGTCTTCCGCCTCCCTTCTCTCCTCTGAAGGACTTGTGAGACTAGATTGGTCCCAGCACGTAATCCAGGGTTTTCTCCCATCACGAGACCTTGGGCGTTATAGCCTCAAAGCCCCGCTAGTCATTCGAGGTAACCTGTTCACAGGTTCCAGGGATTCGAATGTGGAGCTGCCCCTCATACTCTCTCCCTTCTCTGGAAGCTACAGTGCAGACTTTCATGTTGCTACGTGCACTAGTCATTTCTTGTTCTTGTCTTTCCTGACCCGTGAGGGAGCTCAGGTGTGCACAGGTGAGCACTCTCTCCTTTTTGATCCACTGTCTTCACCAGGCTCCCAAGACACCACAGTCTCCTGGCTCTGTACTGTTCCAGCTGTCCCTCCCTATCCGTGTTCTGGATCCCCTTCACCTTCCAGATCTCATCCCAGAATGTGCCGGAAGCCTTGTCCCCCTCCGCCCAGTGCTCAGCTGATCTGTCAGCGTCATCCAGATGTCTCCCCGGTCTGCACCCAGCCAGGGCATCTCCCCTGGATTCCAGACACATATGTCCACTTACCTGCACCACGTATCCGCCCGCATGCTTGTGGGGAATTCACACTTAACAAGTTTGATCTCCCCCCACAAATGCACCCTCCTGTAGTCTTAGCAAATGGCAGTTCCATCCTTGGGTCACTGAAGCCCAAATCCTTGGAGCATCCTTGATGCCTTCCTTTTTCTCTTGCTTTATCATCCCCTCTATCATCAGGTTTGCTCAGCACCCGTTCCCAGAGTTCATCTGGGATGTGACCACTTTTCACACGTTTGCTGTTATCATGCTGCTCCAAACCACTGTAATCTCTAGCCTGGATTTTCGCAATAGTATTTTAACTGGTCTCCCTGCTTCTGCCATTCCCCTCCCTCCCTTATAGTCTAGTCTCAGTTCAGACACTAGAAGTCATATTCTGTCATCTCTTTGCCTCAGTCCTGCCACTTTCTATCTCACCCAGAATAAAGTGGCTGTAAGTGGCGTGGCATGATGTGGCCCCAGCTATTTTTCTGTTTCTTCTTCCTCATTCATCTCCAGCCACTTGCTCATTGGCTGTTCCTTGTACAGCACACTCTTGCCTCAGGGCCCTTGCACTTACCGTTCCCTTGACCTAGAACTCTTTTCCCCTTCACTACTGGCGTGGCTTGCATCCTCACCTTCAGGGCTCTGTTCGAATGTGACCTCAGAGGGGTCTTGAGACCCGCCACATGAGGCAGAGACCCCCACACTCCCTAGCCCTCCTGACCAGCTTCATTGTTTCTGTTCCCTATTTTTAAATAATGTTTCCTTCCATTAGGATGTCAGCTAAAGAGCTGGCATGGACTTCCTGTGACTTCTTTACTGCTCCTAGAAGAGTGCTGTCCCGTTATAGGTGCTAAGTAAGCATTTCCAGAATGAATGAAAGAAATGTTAATTTCTGAAAGATTTTATCACAAAGATGAAAAAATTAAATTGTGCAGAAGGACATAAAGTCGAAAGTGTGAGAGTAATTTTTTCTTAAAAAACACTTCACAGTTTATTTTCTCTCCTAGAAATTTCAAAAGCTGGCATGTCAAAATTCTCTTTAATTTTTACATGTAGGTATCAGGTTCTACAAACTTCTCTGCATCTTAATTCTTTCACTGTATTCATTGTCTTGTAGATCTTGCTATGTCAAAAATCTTGAGAACTTAACATTTTTTAAAATGTTTATTTATTTTTGAGAGAGAAAGAGACAGAGAGAACATGTGAACAGGGGAGGGGCAGAGAGAGAGAAGAAGTCACAGAATCTGAAGCAGATTCCAGGCTCTGAGCTGTCCGCACAGAGCCTGACACAAGGTTTGAACTCATGGACTGCGAGAACATGACCTGAGCCAAGGTTGGTCAGTTAACCGACTGAGCCACCCAGGTGCCCCGGAGAACTTGAGAACTTGAGAAATAAGAAGCATAGTAGGGGTCTGTAAGTATACAATTGGAAATGATTCCAGGGTTTGTTTCTTTGTTTCAGCCTGTCTTCCCTAAAACGTTCATTTGCCTATTTTTCTTGAACTATCTTGATTATGGGAGAAGTGAGTTACTTTTTTTTTTTTTTTGCTGGTCACTGAGATTCCACTATAAGATTTACTGCCACTTTTCAGGAGAATTACTCACTAAAGTTAATCCTTACAAAAATCAAAGGCCAGAGACATTGACATCTTGCCAGTGTTTTTCTGACTGCCCCATGGAAAGTCAACAATGTTGGTGGTGATAGTCTCTGGGAAGCTCCACATCACGTGGCGGGGGGGGCTGCCAATATTCCAGATGATAAAAGAGTTATTCTAATTCACTAAAAACATATAGTGCCTTTCTCTGAAAGCTCATGGTGTTTTTCAGGGCCATTCCTTCCTTCCTCTATGGGCACAAGCAAAGAAGATGGGAATCATTCTTACTGCACTGTCCCTCAGGCAGAGGGCAGCAGAAATTGAAGGCTGGTAGAAGCTTCTCATCTGCTTGATAAGAAATGTAGATGGGTCTAAACAGAACAACATATGCCTTCCTATAAAGTATTCTCACAGCTTCCTGAGTCCTACTTGTGTGTTGACTACTGGACTTGGTCCTCAATAACTGCATAGTCTTGGCTCAGACACCTAACCTCTCTGATTCCCTCCTTTGGGAATCACTGTGTAGACTAGATGTGACAGATGTAGGTACTGAGGGCCTGGCACTCAGTAAATGTTAGTCATTATGATTGTTGCTATGACTGTGATCATTCTCCAACATCAGTAACACATTCTTTATCAATGTTTCCTTTTTTTTTTTTTTTTTTTTTGAGAGAGAGAGAGAGAGCATGAGAGTGACAGTGTGAGTGGAATGGGGCAGAAGGAGAGGGAGAGAGAGAATCTTAATCAGGTTCCATGCCCAGCACAGAGCCCTATGTGAGGCTTGAGCTCATGACCCGGAGATCGTGATCTGAGCCGAAATCAAGAGTTGGATGCCTAACCGACTAAGCCACCCAGGTGCCCCTCAATGTTTCCTCTTGTTCCTCCCTAAGCTTGTCCTATAATCAGAGTCTATAACTAAACAAGAAAAGAAACAAGGAAAAATATGTTCCTGATATCTGTACCATCATTACCTTAGGAAGTTTTTCAGCATTTTAGAATCAATACTGCTTAAGAATAGGAGTCAAAAGCAATTCTGGTTTCCATGTGATGAAATGCATGTTGGTGACAGATTTGGTAAATTGCATACCATAATAAGACCCAGGTCATGAGGTTGGTCACTGTTGGTTTAGCATGGTGGTCACATTCCGCATCTCTTTCTTTCTCTCTCTGTCTCTTTTTCTAAACCTCTTGGTGTGATAGAAAGGAATTCTATTTTTTTATTTTTACTTTATTATTTTTTAATTAGGCCACATGCCCAACTTGGCGTTTGAACTTAAAACCCTGAGATTTAGAGTCTCATGTTCTACCTACTGAGCCAGCTGCTCCCCACCCCCACCCCCATTCTGCATCTCTAATTCCAGTAGCTATTGGGATCGGAGGAGCCAGATAGGAGTGTATGACTGGACTGGCACAAACCATTTGTTTAACAAATGTTCATAGAATACTAGGTGCCAGGGTTTAAGGCAAGTATTTGGAAGTACAAATGTGAACTTGACCCAGTTCCTGAGACCAGAGACTTTACAGTAGTCTAGTGGAGAGACAGAAAACTGCAGGACAGGCCGCTAAATCACATTAGAGTCCACATCGTGTTCCCGAGTGATGACATTTTTGAAATCAGCAAAGAGACTGGAAAGGAAAGCAGGAAAGAAGGGGAGAGAAGTGCACATGCATGTAGAATACCCGAGATGGTCAAGTAAACATGAACATGAAGATTTTCTGGCAGATGCAGGCTTGTCTCTGAAAGGCAGATCCTACAGGAGCCTGGATGCCAACAAAGCAGGTGGACGGAAGCCCCACCCCACTGAGGAAGTAAGGGATAAAGGACCTGGCTCGCTCATTCATTTTTCACATAAATAGGATCACTTCTTTTAGGCAGCCTCACAACTTACTACTGCTTCAGTTCAGATATAAACCCAACGATCCCAGTTATAAAGAGGGTTTGCAAGACAGAGTAGTTGGGTGGCCAGAGTTCCCAGAGATTTATTCCTTACCCTGGCAAGGTGGACATGTTCTAGAGCCAGGCAGCTGAGGGCTGGCTGCCAGATAAGTAGGCTTGGGTCTCGGCTCTGCTACCGAGAGAAATATTTCCATCTCTGTGAGCCTTTCTCCTGATCTGCAAAATGGGAAAAACAATAGTAGCTTCCCTGCAGGATTCTCTGGGCTTAAGTGAGATAATGTAGGTGGAGCACATCATGTTAGCCATTATTAGAGACTACTCTACAAGGGATAATGAAAGTGCAAGACAGGAAATAAAACTTTGAATTAAAAGACAAAATCAGAGTGAGCTTGGGTGTCCTCCTGTGTGGTCTTCTCCATATCCAGGCTCCATATACATTCAGGGCTAAGTCATTTACTTGCCTTTTTAAGAACCTACTTCCAGTGAAATACAGACCTTAGAGGACCTCTGGTGGGTGTGCTTGCTGTTTCCTCCCACCTTTCACACTGGACAATCACTTTATTTCCTTTGAAAATGTTTTCAAGTCCAAATGAATGCTTTATAGAGTTCAGATGTAGGAAAGCCCTAAACTTGATCACTTTGTAGATTACCTCCTTTGACAACCCAGGGTGATGCTGGGAAATCGAGTGATTCGTTAGTGAGTTATCAGGTTATTTTTTTCCTTCCCAGGCACTCTTGTATTTCCTCATTGGAATTTTTTATTTGTTAATATCATGCAGTGAGAGACAGTAGAAGGTATGTGCAGGTGCAGTAGAAACTCCCAGAAATAGATGGAAGTTGAGATTATTTAGCAATGTGTAATTTAAATCTCATGTGATCATTTGTATCCAAGTTCATCAAATTATTGACTCTTAGAGTCCCAAAAGGGGACTAATCTAATGGTTCCCAATCTGTTTCATAGAACACTATTCTTTAGATGTTGGTAGGTTTCTGTGAAAAAAGTTGCCATTAATAAGTTTTGGAAGTGCTGTGTACTATTTTTCATACTTGGAGAATCTCACTACACATTATCATGAGAAAGCCCATTGAACCTTTTTAAGAGTTTTCAAACTGATTTGACCATAGGCCACCCCCTCTTGTTTCTCTAACACATGTTAATATCCATAAGGAAAGTGTATATTAGGGTATGGTTTTGGAAAAGCTATGTAGGGACAATGGCTTAAATTTTCCATTTTTAAGTCTTACGTGGGTTTCATTTTACTGTGACGTCCCAAAGTGTCGTCTAGGTGCAGGGGGTATGGTTCTGGTGATGTCTCTCTTCTTCCAGGTGTTATATCACGCTGGCTCAAGCTCTGGGAATGAGCATGGGAGGAGCTCCCACTGGGCCCGCGGGAACGGGCAAAACAGAAACTACGAAAGATATGGGTCGGTGTCTGGGGAAGTATGTAGTGGTTTTCAATTGTTCTGACCAGATGGACTTCCGAGGACTTGGACGGATTTTTAAAGGTGAGGGTTATATTTTGTATTGGATGAGACATTTAAAGATAAGGTGGAATATCCAGTTAAGATTATTTTTCAACAACTGCCTATGTATTTCAGTGTCATTTTTCAACTTTGTACAACTTTTTGGAAAATCTGAATCTTAACTGTTGCTGTGTGCATCACATGTCAACATCACTTGCCATCGTAATGTTTCTTTATCCGTGCAGGTTGGCTGTTGACAGATAGAGTGCCACATTGTAAGTTATTTTGGGGCCACTTTATGCATGATCTATTTGTTCAAGTTTATTTTTGAACAGACTTATCTCTGGCTTGTCTTGGCAGCTGCAAAATGCCCTTTTCCTTGGCTTTCTGAAATTATATACTAATTGGATTTTCTATTTAATTTCCCTTCGAAGGACTAGCACAGTCTGGATCCTGGGGTTGTTTTGATGAATTTAACCGTATCGATTTACCAGTTCTGTCAGTGGCAGCCCAGCAAATTTCCATTATTCTGACATGTAAAAAGGAACGCAAGAAGTCTTTTATTTTTACCGATGGAGATAATGTGACTATGAACCCTGAATTCGGACTTTTCCTGACCATGGTAAGGAACCATAGGAAGAGCTGCTGAATTTCAGCCTTGATCTCACACCTTTCATGCATTTCCCTCGTCTTAGGTCCCTTATTTTTGATGAATGGAAGTTGGAATGGTAATTTGAACTCCTGTGTGAAAGCCTTTGGTGTTAAACAAAGCTCATGTTAATAACCTGTGATATAGTCTCTCCAGTTAAAAGAAGAGTGAGATATGTAAATGAGTTCTCTGGTTGTCAGTCCAGATTTGTTGTGTGGACGTAATAAGTCTTTGAGTGCTGTGCTGATGTGTGTGTTGCCCCGTGACCATGTCATTCATCGTGGGGTCATATTTTCTGTACAGAATCCTGGCTATGCAGGACGGCAGGAGCTTCCTGAAAACTTGAAGATTAACTTCCGCTCGGTGGCCATGATGGTGCCTGACCGACAGATTATCATCAGGGTGAAGTTGGCTAGTTGCGGCTTCATTGACAACATCGTTTTGGCCAGGAAGTTTTTCACTCTCTACAAGCTGTGTGAGGAGCAGCTTTCTAAGCAGGTGTGACATTCTGAAAGTCTCTCTGGACTTATGCATACTTATTCTATTCAGTGAGATTTGCTCATTTTGAAAAATTGTAGACGGGGGTTGTTGACAGATTACCTTACAGATACAGAGTTCAAAGTTATATTGTTATGAAGTTAATTTTATTTGCACAGTTTATTTCTTAATAGTTTATTGTCAAGCTGGTTTCCATATAACATCCACTGCTTGTCCCCACAAGTGCTCTCCTCCATGTTCATCACCCCCCTCCCCCTCCTGGACACCCCCATCAGTCCTCAGTTTGTTCTCAGCGTTCAAGAGTCTCTCATGGTTTGCCTCTCTCCCTCTCCCCCACTGTTTTTCCCCCCTTCTTCTCCCCTACAGTCCTCTGTTAAGTTCCTCCTAATCCTCCTATATGTGCAAACATATGGTATCTGTCCTTCTCTGCCTGACTTATTTCGCTCAGCATAACACCCTCAAGTTCCATCCATGTTGCTACACATGGCCAGGTTTTATTCTTTCTCATTGCCATGTAGTATCCCATTGTATAGATAAACCACATCTTCTTGATCCATTGGTCAGTTGATGGACACTTAGGCTCTTTCCATGTTTTGGCTATTGTTGAGAGTGCTGCTGTGAACACTGGGGTCCATGTGCCCCCATGCATCAGCACTCCTGTATCCCTTGGGTAAATTCCTAGCAGTGCTATTGCTGAGTCCTAGGGGAGTTCTACTGTTAATTTTTTGAGGAATCTCCACACTGTTTTCCAGAGGGGCTGCACCAGTTTACATTCCCACCAACAGTGTAGGAGGGTGCTCATTTCTCCACATCCTCGCCAGCATCCAGAGTCCTTTGATTTGCTCATTTTAGCCACTCTGACTGGCATGAGGTGGTATCTCAGTGTGGTTTTGATTTGTATTTCCCTGATGAGAGGGATGCTGAGCATCATTTCATGTGTCTGTTGGCCATCTGGATGTCCTCTTTGGAGAAGTGTCTGTTCATATCATCTGCCCATTTCTTCACTGGATTGTTTGGTTTTTTTGGGTGTGGGGTTTGGTGAGTTCCTTATGGATTTTGGATACTAGCCTTTTATCCAATATGTCATTTGCAACTATCTTTTCCCATTCTGTTGGTTGTCTATTAGTTTTATGGATTGTTTCCTTTGCCGTGCAGAATATTTTAATCTTGATGAGGTCCCAGTAGTTCATTTTTGCTCTTGATTCCCTTGCCTTTGAGGATGTGTCAAGTAAGAAGTTGCTGCGGTGGAGGTCAAGGAGGTTGTTTCCTGCTTTCTCCTCTAGGGTGTTGATGGTTTCCTGTCTCACGTTCAGGTTCTTTATCCATTTTGAGTTTATTTTTGTGTATGGTGTGAGAAAGTGGTCTAGTTTCATTCCTCTGCATGTTGCTGTCCAGTTCTCCCAGTACCATCTGTTAAAGAGGCTGTCTTTTTTCCATTGGATACTCTTTTCTGCTTTGTCAAAGATTAGTTGGCTGTACACTTTTGGGTCCAATTGTGAGTTCTCAATTCTGTTCCATTGGTCTATGTGTCTGTTTTTGTGCCAATACCATACTGTCTTGATGATGACAGCTTCGTAGTAGAGGCTAAAGTCTGGGATGGTGATGCCTCCCGTTTTGATTTTCTTATTTGCACAGTTTTCTTAAGTACATTTAAATAAATTAATATATACAGCATAAAAATGAAATAAGTACTATATGAGCCGATTTAAGAGCCAAAGAATTGTAAATATTAGTATTTGCACTTTATCCCACCTGTACATTAATCATATGTGTTGTGTGTTCTCATGGTTTTCAGGAACCTCTCAATCATTTACTCTTCTTACTTCCAGTATCTCCCACATATTGAGCCAAGCTTTGCCAATTGTCTATTTTATCCATGGTAACTTCTTTGCTAAGTTTTCCATACTGTTTAGAGTAGCAGGTTCTGACATCATGCAGCTTTGCAGTTAAGAGGCATGAAATTAATCATATATTACTTTTTTAATTTTTTAATTTATTTTTTAATCATATATTACTTTTGTGTTAGTTATCTGTTGCTGTGTGACAGTGGTTCCACAAATTTACTGATTGAAAACAATACATAATTTATTATTTCATGGTTTCTGTAGGTCAAGAGTCCCGGTACATCTTGGCTGGGTCCTCTGCTTAGAGGGTAACAAGGTATCGGTCAAGTCTTGGCCCCCTGATTGACTGGGAAAGGATTTACTTCTAAGCTCACCCAGGTTGTTGGCAGAATTCTGTTCCTTAAGGTTCTAAGACTGAGGGATTCCATTTCTTGCTGACTGTCAGCTGGAGAAGGCCACCTTGGCTCCTGCAGGCTGAATGCCATTCTTTGCCACATGGGAGTCCCCAACGTGGCCACTTGCCTTCACAATGTCAGCAAGGCAAAAAGGTTCTGGCAAGATGAGTGCTACAGTCTTATATTAGGATTCTCCAGAGAAACAGAATCAATAGGATATACGTGTATTTACCTGTAAGGAAATTTATTATAAGGTATTGGCTCACAGTTATGGAGGTAGAGAAGTTCCATGATCTGTTGTTTGTAAGCTGAGGACTAGCTGGTGGTTTAGCTTGAAGGGTTGATGGTATAGATTCTAGTCCAAGTCTGAAGGCCAGACAACTGGGAACATTCATGACAGGAGAAGGTTAATATCCCAGCCCAGGCATAGGGCAGAGTGAGCCTTTCTCCATCTTTTTGTTCTCTTGGGGCCCTCAGTGTTTGGATGGTGCCCTCCTATGTGGGGGAGGGCTATCTTCTTTACTCAGTCCACCAGTTCAAGTGCTAATCTCTTCCAGAAACTCCATTAGAGACACACCCACAAATAACCTCAATCCACTCTCTGGACATCCTGTGACCCAGTCAAATTGACACATCTTATGTAGTGTGACCACATAAAAACACACACAATCACATATGGCCTGTCGTCATTGTTGTATTGTATTGGTTAAAGCAAGTCACAGGTCCCACCACACCCAAGGGGAAAAGATCACACAAAGACACAGACGCCAGGAGGTGGGGGTCATTCTACAAATTCCTGGGACATATAAATAAAAGTTACTGAAAGCATACGCTAAATAATAACACACTGCAATAGACATAAAACTGTAACACAAATAAAATCTCCTAACATATACAGTACTTTGATTCCTCTCCACTCTGGCCTCCATTCCAAACTTCTTTGACTCTAGATTATTTTTTTTTCATACCCCCAAGATCAATTAAATTATATTCCCACTCAAAACACTCTTTGTTTCTTCTGCTTACAGCAGCCTTTACTTACCCATTCTTCTTTTTTCCTCTGTGAAAGAAATATTTTTCCATGCTGTTTCTTGCATGTAGAAAACTCCCACATCACTGACTCCTGTCTCCTTCTTCTATACTATTTCATTTCTACTTTCTTCATGCCCACAGTCCTGCTCATAGGTTGGTGTAAGACAAAATGCATTAATGTACACAAAACAGTTGGCCCCGTGCTGATTTCTGGGTGACCATTCTGTGAATCTCACTTCATGCCCAGAGATTTAACTGAGTCCAGTTCGGAGAAATTTTCCTTAACTAGTTCCACACACCAGCACTTTCCAGTCATTGTTACTTTTTGTCAAGTTTGCTCATATTTTTATCATTTAGCTCTATTAGAATTTAAACTCCTTGAAGGCGGGAACTCAATCTGAATACATTTATGTGCTCTGTCCTCCAAATGATTATTCTGAATTGATGCATACTGCTCTGAGTTACCTTAGCCCCTCATTGAGTTTTTTTCCCAGGTGGGAAAACATATATAACATTAAATTTGCCATCTGAACCACTTGTAAGTGTACAGTTCAGCAGTATTCAGGATATTTACAATGCCATGAAACTGACCTCCATAACGTTTTCATCTTGCAAACTCTGTACCCTTTAAATAGAAATTCCTCAAAAAAATAAATAAATAAATAAATAAATAAATAAATAAATAGAAATTCCTCTCTTGCTCTTCCCTCAGCCTGTGAAACCACCAGTCTACTTGTTGTTGCTATGCATTTTCCTACTTTAGATACCTCATGTAAATGAGATTGTAAGCATTAATCTTTTCTGACTGGCTTATTTTGCTTAGCAAAATGTCCTTCAGGCTTACCTGTGGCGTAGGATCCAACAGGATGTGCTTCCTTTTAATGACTGAATAGCATTCTATTGTACGTAGAGGCCACATTTTATTTTTCTGTTCATCTGAAAATGGGCATTTGGGTTGCTGCTGTCTCTTGGCTGTTGTGAATACTGTTGCGGTGATTATGGGTGTGCACTATGTCTTTACCATCCCGCTTTCAATTATTTGGATATATATTCAGAAGTTGGATTTCTGCATCCTGTGGTAGTTCTGTTTTCAATTTTTTGAGTGACTGCCATAATGTTTTCCATAGTGGTTAGAGAATTAGTTTTTAATTATTCACTTTATAGGTGATGAAATTTGGTATGATTGAGCTCTTACAAATACATATCAAGGGAATAACAAAGCTGGGGCTTGGCTTTCTGATTTGTCCTTACTTTTCCTCGCCCTAGGTGATTCTAGAATAGGACTCCTTTTCTTCCTTCTTAATACCTCTGTCTTTTTACGTATCAGTGTGTATATATACATATATATATACTCCTGGTTCCGAGTTTTTCCTATGGATGACTGATTAAGAAGAGACTCAGGGAGACATATATACTCTCAGAGGAAATTTATTCCTCTCTCCCTGTCAAGATATATATATATTAGTTCTAAGCAAAGGGCTTAAGTTAATGATTGTCCGTGAAAGACCTCTTTGGGATATTCTCAAATTGTTCTGAAAAATATATTGATAAAAATTTATTGCTTCACTAACTACAATTTTTTCTAAAGGAAAATTAGCATTAATTCATTGTGAATAGGTCTTTTGTCACGTTTGTATAGTTTTCATGCGCACGTTACTATCGAAAATAAGCCCAGTGTACCTATGATCTTCAGGTACATTATGATTTTGGTCTGCGGAACATTCTGTCAGTTCTGCGAACACTGGGCGCCGCAAAAAGAGCCAACCCCACAGATACGGAGTCAACAATAGTCATGCGTGTTCTGCGAGACATGAATCTTTCTAAACTGGTAAGATTCACAGATGGAAATGTTCCACCCACTTAAATATCATTTCAGCTAAGTAAGCACAATTGAGATTTAGAAATATTTATTTAACATACTCATTAAAATGCTTAATTATCAGCTAAAGTGCTGGAGAGCATAACTTTAGACTTTTTCAGAAGTTACTTTTGTGGTTAACTCATATCTAGCTTAACATATGCTTATTTCAATAGAATTGAAATGGATTTTTAAAAATCCCCATGTTGAGTTTCTAAATACCTTGAAATACTTTTGGGACTTAGAGCTAAAATCTCACCTTCTTTAAAGTCTGTAGAACCCAGCAGGAAATTATATGTAAGTATAACAAGTGTGTAGTAATTTCACACTCTTTCATTTCATAGGAGAGACAGAAAATCTATTGTTCAGTGTCAGTGAATCTACGTACAGGGTGACAGAATATTTTATTTCAAAATAAAAGTGTACAACAAATTACAATTCATGAATTTGTTACTATCTCTTATTTAGATTATAATTTTTAAAATTTAAATTAGAAAATGTAGGTTACGTAGTAACTCCCTGAATTGGTTATTTTATGGAGAGGTTGTCATGTAGGCAATATTTTCTTTTCTTTCATCTCCTTCCTTCATTTTCCTCTTCTTCCTCCCTTTATTCCCCCCTTAGTCTTTTAAAATGATTTTTCATTTATGGGAAACAAGAGGAAAATATTCCTCAACTTCAACGAAAGGGATATTTTATTTATTAACAGTTATGATAAAATAATTTGGTATGTTCAGCATTTTCAGTTCATCTGTGCATTGTTACAATTGTGCCAAGTTAGTTGGTCCTTTCTCCTTCTTTTCTCTATTAGATTGATGAGGATGAACCCTTATTTTTGAGTTTGATTGAAGATCTCTTCCCAAATATTCTTCTGGACAAAGCAGGTTATCCGGAACTGGAAATGGCGATTAGTAGACAGGTAATGTATTTCTCGGGACATCCGGGACCGTCTGTGTCTCTTTTGTCTGAACTTCATGGGTGTCAGGTGGAGCTGATGAATTCCAAATCCGTGGTTTCAAGAACAACACCCAAGAGCATGGCTACAGTTTTAAGAGAGGCTGTTACGTACTACTGACAGAGTTTCCCCAGGCAGACGTTTCCCTACCGTCCTACAAGCACGTCTAGTTGGCCACATGCTACTGGCCTCATTATTGATGGAAACCATTTAACACCAGATTCTGAAATGAAGCATGATAAGTGAGCGGGGTGCGTGGGGCTCAGCTGGCTGCCTTGCTCGACCGGCTTTGTCTGTGGCCCTGGTGTTTCCACGTGGCTTTGATCTCTGGAGTCCTGCCCCTAAGTGTCGCCCACAGTGATCTCAGGTGGCTCCTCAACTATCATTCTTTTCTCCCAGGCCCAGGATCACTTGTGACTTTTACCTGAGGCTCTGGGGATCTCATGTTATGTGACTCATTAGGTGTTTGGATTTCCTATGACACTTGGTGCAGCTTTACATTTTTCTAGTTTCCCTAGGAATGAAAACGAGTCGTGTAAACCTTGTGCTAAAGAAGAGTTTGGGGGAAAAAAAGTATTATAAAAACGGTGATTAGCTCACATTAATAAAGTACATTCCAATCCATTGAAAGTATTTGTTAACAAAAATAAAATATTATAGTTTCAATGGGTATTTTCCTTCTAAAAATCAAGGTATAACAATCCGTTAAGAGTGTTCACTCTGCAAATGGTGCCTTCGTCATATGGCTGAATCAATTGTAGGATTTCCTTAAAAACTTAGTATAAAGTAATTTATAAGGTGACTGGACATTAACATAATTTGCAGCATATAGAAAATCTGAAGACCATACATACAGCATAAAATTATACATGACTATTATCTAACAATTGTTGAAGTAAAAATAAAAGCATCATTTATAGTGGATTTAAGCATAGCATGAAGGTTGAGAGCACGGACCATGGAGCTAAGTTTCTAGGGCTCAGATTCCCAGTCTGTAACCTTATGAGTAATAATCTTGGGTAAATTGCTTCGTCTCTCTGTGCCTCAGTTTACTTCTCTGTTAAAGATAGATATTAATAGTACTAATCTTGTAGTGTTGTTATGAATATTGAACTTAGAAGAGTGTTTGGCAGAATAACTTTCATGCATGTGTTCAACAGATAGAAACTACTTGGTAGATTTATAGCGAGTTTGAGTTTTATATGCAATTTCAGTCCACTTGGTGTGCTGCAATGTTTTCCAGTTTTTACATGTCATCTTTTATTATTATTATTATTTTTACAAATAGTTTATTGTCAAATTAGTTTCCACATAACACTCAGTGCTCATCCCCAAAGTGCCCTCCTTCATGCCCATCCCCCCCTCCCCCCCACATCCATCAGTCCTCAGTTTTTGTCAGCATTCAAGAGTCTCTCATGGTTTGCCTCTCTCCCTTTCCCCCACCATTTCCGCCCTTCTTCTCCCCCTTGTTCCTCCGTCAAGTTCCTCCTAATCCTCCTATACGTGCAAACATATGGTATTTGTCCTTCTCTGCCTGACTTATTTCGCTCAGCATAACACCCTCAAGGTCCATCCATGTTGCTACACATGGCCAGATTTCATTGTTTCTCATTGCCATGTAGTATTCCATGGTATAGATAAACCACATCTTCTTGATCCATTCATCTGTTGATGGACACTTAGGCTCTTTCCATGTTTTAGCTATTGTGGAGAGTGCTGCTATGAACATTGGGGTACATGTGCTCCTATGCCTCAGCATTTCTGTATCCCTTGGGTAAATTCCTAGCAGTGCTATTGCTGGGTCATAAGGGAGTTCTATTGTTAGTTTCCTGAGGAACCTCCACACTGTTTTCCAGAGGGGCTGTACCAGTTTACATTCCCACCAACAGTGTAGGAGGGTGCCCGTTTCTCCACATCCTCGCCAGCATCTAGAGTTCTCTGATTTGCTCATTTTAGCCACTCTGACTGGCGTGAGGTGGTATCTCAGTGTGGTTTTGATTTGTATTTCCCTGATGAGGAGGGATGCTGAGCATCGTTTCATGTGTCTGTTGGCCATCTGGATGTCCTCTTTGGAGAAGTGTCTGTTCATGTCTTCTGCCCATTTCTTCACTGGGTTGTTTGTTTTTCGGGCGTGTAGTTTGGTGAGTTCCTTATAGATTCTGGATATTAACCCTTTATCTGATATGTCATTTGCAACTATCTTTTCCCATTCCGTTGGTTGCCTATTAATTTTCTGGGTTGTTTCCTTGGCTGTGCAGAAGCTTTTAATCTTGATGAGGTCCCAACAGTTTATTTTTGCTCTTGATTCCCTTGCTTTTGGGGATGTGTCAAGTAAGAAGTTGCTGCGGTGGAGGTCAAGGAGGTTGTTTCCTGCTTTCTCCTCTAGGGTGTTGATAGTTTCCTGTCTCACGTTCAGGTCCTTTATCCATTTTGAGTTGATTTTTGTGCATGGTGTGAGAAAATGATCTAGTTTCATTCTTCTGCATGTTGCTGTCCAGTTCTCCCAACACCATCTGTTAAAAAGGCTGTCTTTTTTCCATTGGATATTCTTTCCTGCTTTGTCAAAGATCAGTTGGCTGTATACTTTTGGGTCCACTTCTGAGTTCTCAATTCTGTTCCATTGGTCTATGTGTCTGTTTTTGTGCCAATACCATACTGTCTTGAGGATGACAGCTTTGTAGTAGAGGCTGAAGTCTGGGATGGTGATACCTCCCGTTTTGGTTTTATTTTTCAGTATTACTTTGGCTATTCGGGGTCTTTTGTGGTTCCATACAAATTTTTGGATAGTTTGTTCTAGTTTTGAGAAGTATGCTGGTGCAATTTTGATTGGAATTGCATTGAATGTGTAGAGTGCTTTAGGTAGTAATGACATCTTAACTATATTTATTCTTCCTATCCATGAGCATGGAATGTTTTTCCATTTCTTTGTGTCTTCTTCAATTTCCTTCATAAGTTTTCTATAGTTTTCATCATACAGATCTCTTGTATCCTTGGTTAGGTTTATTCCGAGGTATTTTATGGTTTTTTGTGCAATTGTGAATGGGATCAGTTTCTTGATTTCTCTTTCTGTTGCTTCATTATTGGTGTATAAAAATGCAACCGATTTCTGTACGTTGATTTTGTACCCTGCAACTTGGCTGAATTCTTGGATCAGTTCTAGTAGGCTTCTGGTGGAGTCTGTCGGGTTTTCTATGTAGAGTATCATGTCATCTGCGAAGAGTGAAAGTTTGACTTCCTCTTTGCCAATTCTGATGCCTTTGATTTCCTTTTGTTGTCTGATGGCTGATGCTAGGACTTCCAGCACTATGTTAAACAACAGTGGTGAGAGTGGACATCCCTGTCGTGTTCCTGATCTCAGGGGGAAAGCTCTCAGTTTTTCCCCGTTGAGGATGATGTTAGCTGAAGGCTTCTCATAGATGGCTTTGATGATGTTTAAGTAGGTTCCTTCTATCCCAACTTTCTCGAGAGTCTTTATTAAGAAGGGATGCTGTATTTTGTCAAATGCTTTTTCTGCATCTATTGACAGGATCATATGGTTTTTATCTTTTCTTTTATTGATATGATGTATCACATTGATTGATTTGCGAATGTTGAACCAGCCCTGTAACCCAGGAATGAATCCCACTTGATCTTGGTGGATGATTCTTTTGATATGCTGCTGGATTCGATTTGCAAGGATCTTGTTGAGAATTTTTGCATCCGTATTCATCAAGGATATTGGCCTATAGTTCTCTTTTTTTGCTGGATCTCTGTCTGGCTTGGGAATCAGAGTGATGCTGGCTTCATAAAATGAGTCCGGGAGTTTTCCTTCGACTTCTATTTTTTGGAATAGCTTGAGAAGAATTGGGATTAATTCTGTTTTAAATGTCTGGTAGAATTCCCCAGGGAAACCATCAGGTCCAGGGCTCTTATTTGTTGGGAGATTTTTGATCACTGATTCGATTTCTTCACTCGTTATGGGTCTGTTCAGGTTTTCTATTTCTTCCCGTGTGAATTTTGGTAGTGAGTGTGTGTTTAGGAATTTGTCCATTTCTTCTAAGTTGTCCAATTTGTTGGCATATAATTTTTCATAGTATTCCCTGATAATTGCTTGTATTTCTGAGGGGTTGGTTGTAATAAGTCCATTTTCATTCATAATTTTGTCTATTTGGGTGCTCTCTCTTTTCTTTTTGATAAGCCTGGCTAGAGGTTTGTCAATTTTGTTTACTTTTTCAAAAAACCAACTCTTGGTTTCATTGATCTGTTCAATTGTTTCTTTGGTCTCTATGTTGTTTATTTCTGCTCTAATTTTTACTATTTCTCTTCTTCTACTGGGTTTAGGGCGTTCTTGTTGCTCTGCCTCTAGCTCCTTTAGGTGAGCTGTTAGATTTTGGACTTGTGCTTTTTCTAATCTCTTGAAATAGGCCTGGAGAGCAATGTACTTTCCTCTTAGGACTGCCTTGGCCGCATCCCATAGATTTTGAATTGTTGTGTTTTCATTTTCATTTGTTTCCATATATTTTTTAATTTCCTCTCTAATTGCCTGATTGGCCCATTCATTCTTTAGAAGGGTGTTCTTTAACCTCCATGTTTTTGGCGGTTTTCCAGACTTCTTCCTGTAATTGATTTCAAGTTTCAAAGCATTGTGATCTGACAGTGTGCATGGTATGATCTCTATTCTTTTATATTTATTGAGGGCTGCTTTATGTCCCAGTATGTGATCTATCTTGGAGAATGTGCCATGCGCACTTGAGAAGAAAGTAAATTCCCTGGCCTCAGGATGTAAAGTTCTAAATATATCCGTCAGATCCATCTGGTCCAATGTGTCTTTCAAGTCCATTATTTCTTTAGTGATTTTCTGTCTGGTTGACCTATCCATTGCTGTAAGCGGAGTATTAAAGTCCCCTGCTATTAGCACATTCTTATCTATAAGCTTGTTTCTGTTTGTGATTAATTGTTTTAGATATTTAGGTGCTCCCATATTCGGTGCGTAGACATTTATGATTGTTAGTTCTTCCTGATGGATGGACCCTGTAATTATTATGTAGTGCCCTTCTTCATCTCTTGTGATTGTCTTTAATTTAAAGTCCAGTTTGTCTGATATAAGTATCGCTACTCCGGCTTTCTTTTGATTTCCTGTAGCATGATATATATTTCTCCATCCCCTTACTTTTAATCTGAAGGTATCTTCCCGTCTAAAATGAGTTTCTTGTAGACAGCATATTGATGGATTTTGTTTTTTAATCCATTCTGCTACCCTATGTCTTTTGATTGGAGCATTCAGCCCATTTACATTCAGTGTTATTATTGAAATATGTGGGTTTAGAGTCTTTGTATCTTTTGTAGGGTTCATGTTTGTGGTGGTGTCTCTGGTATCTTTGTTCCTTGCAACCTTTCCTTCAGAGCATCCCCCTCAGGATTTCTTGTAGGGCTGGCTTCGTGGTGACAAATTCTTTCAATTTCTGTTTATTTGGAAAGGTTTTTATCTCTCCTTCTATTTTGAATGACAGGCTTGCTGGATAGAGGATTCTTGGCTGCATATTTTTACTGTTCATCACATTGAAGATTTCCTGCCATTCCTTTCTAGCCTGCCAAGTTTCAGTAGATAGGTCTGTCACCACTCTGATAGGTTTCCCTTTGTATGTTAGGGCCCTTTTCTCCCTAGCTGCTTTCAAAATTCTCTCTTTGTCCTTGTATTTGGCCATTTTCACTATGATATGTCGTGCAGAAGATCGATTCAGGTTACGTCTGAGGGGAGTCCTCTGAGCCTCTTGTACTTCCACATTTACTTCCTTCCCCAGGTCGGGGAAGTTCTCTGCTATAATTTGTTCCAGGACTCCTTCAGCACCTTTCCCTCTCTCTTCCTCTTCTGGGATTCCTATGATACGGATATTGTTGCGTTTGACCGTATCGCTGAGCTCTCGAATTCTTCTTTCCTGTTCCTGGATCAGTTTGTCTCTTTTTTTGTCAGCTTCTTGTTTTTCTATAATGGTGTCTTCTAAATCACTTATTCTCCTTTCTGCCTCTTCAATCCGTGCATTGGAGGCCTCTAATTTATTATGGATCTCATTTATCGCATTTTTTAATTCTTCATGCCTATTTTTATTTTCCATTCTGTCTGTAGCCATAGTTTCTTTGATGTCCCCTATGTTTTTTTCAAGCCCAGCTATTAATTTTACCATTATTATTCTAAAATCTTGTTCAGTGATGCTGCTGATATCTGTTTTGAGCAGTTCATTAGCTGTCATTTCTTCTTGGAGTTTCTTTGGAGGAGAGCTCTTTCGTTTCGTCATTTTAGTTAGCTTTCCGGCTCTTGTTGGTTTTAAAGACCTGTTATGCTCTCTGTTTCTATGAGCGCTGCTATATCCAAAAAGACTCTTTGACTTTCCAGGGCCTATCCTTTCAGAGAGTGTTTTTTGAATGGTATCTCTTGGTCTCTCTTGTTGGGACCTTGGTTATTTTATTTTCCTATTCGTAGTGATATTTGGGACTCTCCACCTTGTGTACTCTAGCTTGTTTCTTGAGGTAGCCCTGGAAAAGAAAACAGACAGACAAACACACAGGGAGCAGGAGCACACAAATGCACAGGCTAATTCAACTAACATGCAAAGCAAGAGGGAAAACGAAAAAGTTAGGAGAAAAGAAGGAGGAGGGAGGGCAAATAATATGGAGTATAAAATACATAAAAGGGTCAAAAAGGGGAAAAGAAAAGGAAAAAGAAGAAAACCGATGGACAAAGCACAGTTTAAAGCATATACCTGGATTTCCCAGCTACAGTTAAATAGCCGTGTGTATGCAGTGCTTGTTGAAGAGCAGAGAGAAAGAGAGAGAAGGCAGGGTGGGGATGAGGCAGAATTGGAAATAGAATGAACAGGCAGAAGGGTAAGAAGCTTTTTTCAAAGAGGTAAAGGGTAGAATGTGGTTGGATAGGTGAGAGAAGGGTGCTGGAATTATCCAGAGAAACTATATAGTCTAGTTACTCCTGAGAGAAAGAACTGAAAATGTCGGTAGGTGTAGAATTTACATTTACAGAATGGACTCGTTGTGATTGTTTCAACAAGCTGGTGACCAGAGTTAATCAGGTCAGTGTTCTGGGGAAAAAGAGAGAGAAAAGAGAAAGAAGAAGAAAAAAAGAAAGAGGAAAAAAAAGAAAAAAAAAGAAAAAAGGGAGGAGGGCACCTCTCAGGCAGGGATGGGCGTGGCGGGATCCCATGCCTCAGGCGGGAGCTCTGCCTTGGCGCTTGTGGGGAGGAGAGTGACGGTGCTCCAGTCCCTTCTTGAGCCAAGCGCTGCACCTCGCTATTTTGGGCGTGTAAACTCCCCGTACCAGGGGCGCAGTCGAAGTTGGTTGCACTCTTCAACCCAGGCCAGTCCCAATCTCCAAATCCCAGTCCGCGCGCCCCGCTGAAATTGCCTTAGACATAGCTTCCCAGGCACCCCCTTCGGGGCAATTCCAGGCCTCCTGCCGAGCTCTGGGGGTGGAGTCAGAATCGCTGCTTCCTTCTCTGGGTCGGGCTGGCGCGCATGCCGGGCGCACTGAGCCCGAGCCTGCTGGAGTGAGGAAAACCTGGTCCCTCTATGGCTCGTCACCCGAAACACGAACTCACAGGCAGATTTCCCAGTTTTTAGCTCTTTGCCTTCCCTCTCGAGTCCCAGCCAGCCAGGAGCGCGGACGCCCGGTGTCGCGCGGCTCTTTCAGGGGCCCCAGCCGCCGGGGAGCTACAATGGCGGCAGGCGCGCCACTGCTCTGAAGTCTAGCCGCCAGGAGCCCGCTCAAAGCAGCAGTTTGTGTGCTCAGCACCCCCCCCCCCGATCCCCCCCAGGACCTGTTGGTCTGAGGGGACCTGGCGTGCAGGTATTTGGCAAGTACGGTCTTTCTATGCACCGAGCGGAGGTTTTCCCCCCCCGAGCGGAGATTTTTCTGTTTTGGACTCTCTCCTTTTCCCCTCTCACTCCCCGTAGAGGGTAGAGGGGGATCGCCTCCCACCCTGGAGTCTCTGATCCCGGCCCAATTTTATCTTCCCCGGTTCGCACTCACGTTAGAAGGCTCTCTCAGTGGATTCTGCGTCCTTTTTCTCCCAATCTCTCAGGTTTTGTAAGGTTTCCAATGGCTTCAGATCTTTTCTGTGTGATGTATGGGCGCAAGTGCAAGTATGGAGCTTCTTACTTCTCTGCCATCTTGCCCCCTTCTCTTACATGTCACCTTTTAAATTAAACATTTAAAGTACATTTTGATAAATGAGTCTTTATTCTAAAGTTGCTCCTAAGACATATATTCAAGGATATATTAATATAAAGGTATTCCATTTCCAAAGGCAAATGCAGAGGTTTCTTATTACCTTGGGATAGCATTTTGAATATTCAACCTGCTTTTTGTCTTTGTGTATATATATATTTTTTTATGCAATGTATATATATTTAAAAATGTTTTACTTTAAGTAAACTCCATACTACACATGGGGCTCAAACTCATAACGTTGAGATCTAGAGTCACATGCTCCACTGACTGGGCCTCCAGGCACTCCCGCAATATATTTTTTATTGTGGTAAAATACATAACATAAAATTTACCATTTTCACCATTTTTAAGTGTACTCTTCAGTGGCATTAAGTACATTCACATTATTGTGCAAAACATCATCACCATCTATCTTCAGAACTTTTCTCACCTTCCCAAACTGAAACTCTATACCCACTAATAGTAGCTATCTTTTCTCACCCCTGCCCTTCAGTGTCCATGCTTATTTTGAGTACAATGGAAAGTCCAGATTGCTGTTGATGTTGCTCAATGTGGGCTTTGGTTATGTTTTCAGGTTGAAGAAGCTGGTTTAATTAACCATCCTCCATGGAAACTGAAAGTCATCCAGCTGTTTGAGACGCAGAGAGTGCGGCATGGAATGATGACCCTGGGGCCTAGTGGGGCGGGGAAGACCACCTGTATCCACACCTTGATGAAAGCCATGACAGGTAAGGGATTGGTAAAGTTGCATTGCTCTGGGCAACACATTTAAATAGCTGTGACACATTGGAATGCTCCAAGAGGGACATGCTTAACTGATTATTGGGTACATTTTAGAGATAGTGTGTTATAATAATGAACTAGAAGGAAAAATTCTTTCCAGCTTTATTGAGATATAATTGACATGTAGCATTGTGTAAGTTTAATGAGTACAGTGTATTGATTTGAAGCACTTGTATGCTGCAAAACGAGTACCTCCATTAGCTCTGACCCCCATCTTGCCACATAGTTACTTACCATTTCTTTTTTATGGTGAGAACATTTAAGATCTACTCACCCAGCAATATTCAATTATATGGAATAATGTAATTAACTATGATCACTATACTATCTGTATATTAGGCTATAATGTAAGTTAGATCCCCATACTTGTTAATCTTTTAACTGGAAGTCTGTACCCTTTGTCCAAAATCTCCCCATTTCCCTACACCTCTACCCCTGGTAACCACCATTCTACAATCTGCTTTTCAGAGTTTGATTGTTTTTTTAGATTCCATATATAAATGATGCCATACAGGATTTATCTCTCCCTGTGTGACTTACTTCATTCAGCATGATATTCTCAAGGTTCATCCCTGTCATCCTGTCATTGCAAATGGTAGGATGTCCTTCTTGCTTATGGCTGAATTATATAGATAGATAGATAGATAGATAGATAGATGCCACATTTCCTCAATAATTCGTCTATCGGGGCGCCTGGGTGGCTTAGTCGGTTAAGCGTCCGACTTTCACTTGGGTCATGATCTCGCGGTTCGTGGGTTCGGGCCCCGCATCGGGCTCTGTGCTGACTGCCAGCTCAGAGCCTGGAGCCTGTTTCAGTCTGTGACTCCCTCTGTCTGTGATCCTCCCCTGCTCACGCTGTCTCTCTGTCTCTCCTAGAAATAAATAAAAAATATTAAAAAAAAAATAATTCGTCTATCAATGGACATTTGAATTGTTTCCATATCTTGGCTTCTATGAATAATGCTGTAGGAAAACAAATTTTAAACAGTGAATTTATGTACTATATTATGTGTTTTACTTATGTTATGCCATTTAATTTTCACCATGATCTTGAGATGTGACTCTGACCATCATCATTTTGTACAAAAAAGTCAAGCGTCAAGTTCAGAAATGCTACAGGTTGTGAAGACGGTAAAATCAGGGTCCACTAACGAAAAACCCAGACCTTTCCCATTATAACATAGCACTTCCCAATAATTACTTAATACAATGTGCTACCTTCCAGTAAATAAAAAATAACACCTAACATCATCCTCATCATAAACTAATTTCCCACCAAGAATCAGATATATTTCTGGTGAAGTTCAAGAAATGCATTAAATTTCCAGACCTCCCTAAGCCTATATCTAAGTCCATACCTAGCCCAAGGTCATCTAAAGATTACGGGCATTGCCACATTTGTGATTATTCTTATATTTTCTGATTGGACATTGATGTTTTTCATACTAAAAGTACTGTGTAGGCAGCTCTTAGCCATGGCAGATTTGAGTTTCGAAATTTCACAGAACATTAGCTGTTGGAATGCATCCCACATGGTCCCACAGGGAAAAGATGCCTGGTTGGGTTTCCAGTCAGCTCTTGAAACCCCAATGCACTGATGTTGAGTTGTGGTTGTGGAGACTGTTCTATGTTGGATGTAGGGTCCTGCACATGCTGGATTTGGTCTCGGTATCCTCCGCTCAGGGGCAAAGTGAGTTCTGTACATCAAGATTCCAGCAGGGAGTCTTCACACTGAGACAGAATTGTGCTCTCAGCTCTCACTTACTTTTGCCAAAACTGAGAGCTCACACCTGCAAGACTTATCATGTGGTTTTCATGTGCTGTTGAGACTCTGTTTGGGGATTTTTATATAGCTTTAAAATGATGTGTTCTCTCAAATTATGCTTAGTAATACTTTTGTTGGTGTTGTGTAGGTGCCTTCATTTAACAATAAACTACAAATGCACCTGGTAAAATGAGCTGAACAAAATGAGTACTAAATATTAAACAATAGTGATACATTAAGTATAATATGTCTAAATTATGTAATCCATATGGCATCACTGGTTTTGGAGAAGTTCTTTGCAAAGATGAATTAATCATTAGGTTATTTGCTGTTGATTAACCTGTTCTTGGTTTTATTTATTTATTTATTATTTTTTCCCTTCTTTTGCTATTTATTTATTATTTATTTATTACAAATAGTTTATTGTCAAGTTGGTTTCCATATAACACCCAGTGCTCATCCCCACAAGTGCCCTCCTCCAAGCCCATCTCCCCCCCACTTGTGCTTGGTTTTAATATGTAGGGCAAACATTTGTTACCTTAAGCAATACATTGTTTCTTGCTGAAAACATTGATTACTCCAAAGATTGAGAAGGTAATTGCATTGAACTTATACTAGACCCGTGTATATTTGTTTCCTTATTGATCATGTATTTGTTTATCAAATGCCTTTAATGTTCTGTATATGAGGTGCTGCTAGGTTCTGTAGCAGATATGAGGATGTAGGCATGAAAACCAAAGGCCATGTCTTCAAGGAGCGGAGTAACCCAAATAGTTATAAGTCAATGTGGAATTGCTATGAGAAAGTTTGGACAGTTATGCTGTGAGAAGGCAAAGGGGATCAGAAGCCTTTCTAAGGAAATATAGGAAGGCTTACAGAGCATGTACTACTTCAGCTGAAGATTGAGGGTTGAGTAGCAGATGAATGTAAGGCATTCTTAGCAGAACGAAGAGCCTGTGCAGGTAGGAGAGCCTGCAAAGAGCATGGCATGCCCAGAAAGTGCTTTGGTAGGGACAAAATGTGATTTATGTGTGGGGTGGGAGTGGGGAAGATGAGGACGTATAGCACATGCTGCTGGTGCCCATCGCTATATCCCTTTGGCCCTTCCCTGGTACAGGTGCAGCTGTTGGTCAGTTTTTCCCACAAATGCCAGGGGTGTCTCCCACTTTTTCAGCATTATGATTTTCCTAGAATCTAGGGAACTGGTTCATCCTGGAAGAGAATGGCATTAATGCCCTTGAGGCAGTCATACTCTCAAACAGTGGTGGAGAATGGGTCGAAGGCAAGTGTCATACCTCCTCTTGTCCATTAGAGGAATGCTACATCTGTGGCCAACTCCCAAATGAGCCCATTATTGGGTTTCTCTCCTTTTCTTTCTCATTCTCTCTTTCCCTTGATTTCAAAAAGGAATTCAAATTAGTGCAATAGGGGTGGCATAAGGAGCTTTGTAAGTTAACCTACTTAGGTTTTATTTTACAGGTGATACAGGTGATGGAAAGCCATTGGGCTGGGGAGTGGTATGATCAACCCAGTGTCTAGAAGACCATTCTGTGGCCATGTAGAGAATAGACCATGGGAAAGGAGGGGCGGGACAGGAGTTCATAAGGAGGCAACAGCAGGAAAGGGTGCCTACTTTAGGGCAGAGTCCGTGAAGGTAGAGTGATCAGGACAGTCAAGAAATGCCTAGGAAGAGAATGAAAAGGAATTGGTTTAAATCAGCAAAACTAAAAGGCAACTGATAGAATGGGAGAAGATATTTGCAAATGATGTGTCAGATAAAGTGTTAGTATCCAAAACGTATAAAGAACTTATCAAACTCAACAGCCAAAAAAACAATAATCCAGTGAAGAAATGAGCAAAAAACATGAATAGACACTTCTCCAAAGAAGGCATCCAGATGGCTAACAGACACATGAAAACATGCTCAACATCGCTCTTCATCAGGGAAATACAAATCTAAACCACAATGAAATACCACCTCATACCCGTCAGAGTGGCTAACAATAACAACTCAGGCAACAACAGATGTTGGCAAGGATACAGAGAAAGAGGAACACTTTTGTACTGCTGGTTGGAATGCAAACTGGTGCAGCCACTCTGGGAAACAGTATGGAGGTTCCTCAAAAAATTAAAAACAGAACTACCCTACCACTCAGTAATTGCACTAGTAGGTATTTATCCAAGGGATACAGGTGTGCTGTTCCAAAGGGACATATGCACCAATGTTTATAGCAGTGCTATCAACAATAGTCAAAGTATGGAAAGAGCCCAAATGTCCATTGACAGATGAATGGATAAAGAAGATGTGGTGTATATATATACAATAGAGTATTACTTGGCAATCAAAAAGAATGAAATCTTGCCATTGCAACAATTTGGATGGAACTCGAGTGTATTATACTAAACAAAATTAGTCAAGAAAGACAAATATACGATTTCACTCGTGTGGAATTCAAGATACAAAATAGATGAACATAAGGGAAGGGAAGCAAAAATAATATAAAAACAGGGAGGGGGACCAACCATAAGAACCTCTTAAATACTAAGAACAAACTGAGGGTTGCTGGCGGGGTATTGGGTGGGGAGTTGGGCCACTGGATGATGGGCATTAAGGAGGACACTTGTTAGGATGAGCACGAGGTATTATATATAAGTGATAAATCACTAAATTCTATTTCTGAAATCATTATTACACTATATGTTAACTGACTTGGTTTTAAATAAAAAAAAATATAACTAGAAAAGGAGGAATTAGTTTAATCAACATTTTGAAAGTCAAGCATTTTTCTTTTTGGCATGATCTTATAAACACATTTTGGTATTTAATTTTTTTGGTCATAATTTAAAAAATTATTCCTCAACTGTAGTTGACATACAATGTTATATTAGTTTCAAGCATACAACATAGTGATTCAATAATTCAGTACAAAAAATGTTATGGTATTTTAAATTAACCCAATACAATTCTACCTACTGCCATAATGAAATAATTAAAAAAAATTTAATATGTATTTATTTTTGAGAGAGAGAGACAGACAGACATACAGCACATGCACAAAAGTTAGGGAGGGGCAGAGACAGAGGGAGGCACATGATCTGATGCAGGCTCCAGGCTCTGAGCTCTCAGCACAGAGCCTGACTCGGGGCTCGTACTCACGACCCCTGAGATCATGACCTGAGCCGAAGTCAGATGCTTAACCCACTGAGCCACCCGCCCCCAAAATGAAATAATTTTTGATAGTTTTTCTTGTATGGGCAACAGATCAAGTCGTTTTACCTATGATATTGTTATAGTCTTTTTGTTTTAATGCTTATTTATTTATTTTGAGAAAGAGAGAGAGAGTGTGCAGGGATGGGGCAGAGAGAGAGAGAGACAGAGAGACAGAAAGACAGTGAGACAGAGACAGAGAATCCCAAGCAGGCTCTGCAGCTGTCAGCACAGAGGCCATTGCAGGGCTGAAAATCACAAGCCGTGAGATCATGCCCTGAGTTGAAACCAAGAGTTGGACACTTAACTGATGGAGCCACCCAGGCGCTCTAATACTGTCATACTCGTTAAAAGTTTGCTGGCCTTTTGTAAAGTGTGATTAGTTAAAAAATATAATTTTGCCAGTCTTATGGATATTATTTATCGAAGAAGCTGAGTTGTGACTCAGTTTCATGTCAACAGTGTAAAATACGGCAAATTTCCCTGAGTCTTTTTGTGATTTAAAAAAAGAGAACTATGTTCTAATTTTCTAAATGGGTTTTAATGGATTTTAACACCTTTTCCAGTGTGCATAGTTATGTATGTTTGCCTGTGTTTGTCAGTCTTTCACGTAATATGTAATGTTTTAGTGCCTATTTTTATGGTTTTATACTTTAAACCTTATTTTTTGCTTTTCTGCTTTTCTGCCCCTTATGTACAGAATCTAGCCTTTTTAGGAATAGTTTTAAGGTTTGAAAGAGTCAAAGACTTTTTTCTTTTTTTTGAGATTGGCGATAAAAGAAAAGTCTTTGATTCCTGCAACATTAATTTTGCTTACTTTTCCCAAATAAGCAAGAACACAGCAAATTGAAGCCAGGAATGGAGAGAATGTGACATCTTCCAGGTGGCATTTCAGAGACCAGACTTAATCTAGTATACTATAAAGCAAAAGATTTTTGAGCTGTGAAATTTGAAAGGCTTCCAGATTACATTAATTCCTTTATCAGTGCCAACATGGTACCCTTCCTGGGCCCCCGTTATGTTTCCTGCAATTTTTTTTTACAGAAGATAGAAACAAAAGTTAGTCCATATAACAATGTTAATTTTGATAACTTGGAATGCAGTAAGACGTACATTTTCAGTGTAATTTTGCATTTTTCATATTTTGAACACCTGCCGGCAGTACATTGCAGTTAGTACCGTGTTACCTAATGATGGCTCCCTCTACAGCTGTGTTGTTTAAAATTTGGATTTACTTGGGACAGAATGTGGAAAACCACACCGGGAAATGAGGATGAATCCCAAAGCAATTACGGCCCCACAGATGTTTGGTCGACTTGACGTGGCCACAAATGATTGGACAGATGGGATATTTTCAACTCTTTGGAGGAAAACATTGAGAGCCAAGAAAGGTAGAAAATGAAGCAATATTTTTGACATGTACTTCTAAATAAAATCCTTGATGCCTATTTAGAATTAATAGAACAATTATATATTGTATTCTCTATATGATATTTAGCCAAGACTAAGAAGTCCTGAATCAGTATATTTGTCAATGCTGAAATTATTGATTAATATATTTAAAATCTCCCTCTCCCACTTTTTTTCTTTGTTATTGTTACAAAGGAAATGATTTTCCTTTTGGGTAAATGTTTGTGTATCCCTGTGATAGAATAAAACAGAAAGAAAAAACTGTTAAGGAAAATTGATAGTGTTAAATGAAGTGACTTTACCATAAATATTTCACTGAATCTTTTAAAAATGTTATCTTTATTTAAGTATACCCTATTTTTAGAATACTGATTCCCCTATAAAATCACAGGAGGAAACAGGCTTCTTTGGGAAGAAAATTGCATATATCAAAAATGAAATCTATATTGAACTAACAAATTATTCTGTTTAAATGCACACTGGTGTTTGCTGGTCCTGTGAACAAACTTGTTAAGTGTTAGTGATTCACTCTGAATACTCTCTTACTTATGGAGTCTCTAAATTGAACCCAATGTTTCTGGAATATAAGCTCAGATGGAAGAGGTAGTATCAACCTTCCTCTCATCATGTTTTCTTACTTTTGAATAAGTGGGAGAAAGGCACAGTGAATGCACTTGCAGAGAGAAGGAAGGATGCACGAGAAGGAAGAGATATTGGGGATATTCATGAATCATTGCTTTGGAACACTGTCTACTAAGAGATGTTTAAGGTGGGGCCACCCATTGAGGGAACGGAGCTCAGCAACCTAACATCAGTTGTCAAAAGAGACATGAAAATGTATAATTTCTAAAGTGTGCTGACATTAGACACTGTTATTGTTTTACTGGAAATAAATCAAATTTTGTCTCTGCCTTGTTCCAGTAATCCTAAGTGAACACATATCCAGCGCCCAATGCTACCTCAGAGAATGGGAGCTCAAAGCAGTGTTTTTTTTTCCCCTCTTTAAAAAAGGGAACATGCTTTTTCTAAGTGACTGCTGTTTATTTCATCTTTTCACTTAAATTCAGTCAAATGAGCATAATCAAGATTTTTTAAAGCATTTTATTTGATACATAATGTTTTACAGCTGTCGCATAGTAAATAAAGATTATGGTTCCAAACTTGGTCATGGGGTCAGTAAGAGAAAGTAGAGATTAAGTAATTAGGAGGAATTATTAAACCAGGTACCTAAATTTACAATGGCATTCCGTTGACCATTCCGCTGATGCTTGTCACTTTCTTTACTTCCAAATATCTCCTTAAGTGATTCCCATCAGTTTTGTTCCCAGTAGCCCCTTCAGGGGGCTCATGACCTCCAGCCTGTCAGATACAAACGGTCAGTTCTCAGGCTAGTCCGGCTCGCACAGGACCTGGCACAGTTGACCACTGCCCTTCTTGGGCTCTTCTGTCACTTGGCATCAGGGAAACTTTATCTGCTGGTTCTCCGTCCACTTCTGCCTCCTAAGAGGTCTGTCAGAGGGAGGAGGCTGCAAAAGAGACTCTGCCAGAAGTCTGACCATCGAAGTAGCTCTGTCCTCAGACCTGCTGTCTCTATCTGCTCATTTCTAGAAGAAACATACCCAGTGCATGGTTTCAAATGCCATCTCTAAGCCAATGGCTTCTACATTTTAATCTTCAGCCCTGACCTCTCCCTTGAATCCTCAGCTCAACAACGTTGTGGGGTGTGTGTAGGACATTTCAGATGTGACATGTACAAGCCAGAATCAGTCTGCCTGTCTTTCTGACAGCACTCACATTCCTTTTTCTCTTCTCCCCTTCTGGCTCTTCCTAGAACGGCCTGAACTTGTACTCACTTTGAGACCTTTGTACCTGTTATTCTTACTGCCTGGAAAATTCTACCTCTAGATCTTTATATCATTTCATTCTCCTGAAATATTTTATTGGCTGCCTTATCGAAAGCAATGCCCCAACCTCTTTTCTTCCTAATTTTTCTTATCTTACACATTATTTGCTTATTGGTTTGGTTATCATCTCTACCCCCTTCGAGTGTAAGCTCTGTCAAGGCAAGACATGGTCTTATTTTTACTGTAATAGCCCCAGACCCTAGAGCAGTGCTGATAGATAGAAGGTACTCAGTGACTATTTGTTTAATGAACAAGTGACTTTTTGCTTTGATTATGTGCTTTAAACAACTGCTATAGTAAGAACTGGAAAAGTCCTATGTGACAAAATAAGAATCATTTCTATCAAAGTTTTACTTAAAAATTAATGAAAATTACATGAAATTATAGTACTTCTTCAAGTATAGTAGTTACATGTATGTGTATGTATGTGTGTGTGTGTCCCTCCCCCCACCTTTGGTGGAATATTCTAGGGGAGCATATCTGGATAGTTCTTGATGGTCCAGTAGATGCCATCTGGATTGAAAACCTGAATTCTGTTTTGGATGATAACAAAACTCTAACCCTTGCCAATGGCGATCGGATTCCCATGGCTCCAAACTGCAAGATCATTTTTGAACCTCATAACATTGACAACGCGTCACCAGCTACTGTCTCGAGAAATGGAATGGTTTTCATGAGTTCTTCTATCCTCGACTGGAGTCCTGTTCTTGAGGTAAGAGAGGAGTCTTTCTTTTCTTTTCTTTTTTTTTTTTTTCATGTCCAGCCTTCAAAAATTATAATTTGTTGTCAAATTGGCTAGCATGCAGTGTGTAAGGTGTGCTCTTGGTTTTTGGGATAGATTGGTTCATCGCTTACATACAACACCCAGTGCTCATCCCAACAAGTGCCCTCTTCAATGCCCATCACCCATTTTCCCCTCTCACCGCCCCCCCCATCCACCCTCAGTTTGTTCTCTGAATTTAAGAATCTGTTATGTTTTGCCTCCCTCCCTCTCTGTTTGTAACTACTTTTTCCCCTTCCCTTCCCCCATGGTCCTCCGTTAAGTTTCTCAAGATCCACATGTGAGTAAACACATGTGGTATCTGTCTTTAACTGACTGATGTATTTCACTTAGCATAATACCCTCCAGTTCCATCCATATTGCTGCAAATGGCCAAATTTCATTCTTTCTCATTGCCAAGTAGTATTCCCTTGCATATATAAACCACATCTTTATCCATTCATCAGTTGATGGACATTAGGCTCTTTCCATAATTTGGCTGTTGTTGAAAGCGCTGCTATAAACATTTGGGTGCATGTGCCCCTGTGAATCAGCATGGAGTCTTTCTCTTGTGTACCCAAAGAGGAAAACAGATCTTTTAGTGCTCTGGTACAGCGTGTGCTAATTTTTCTACAGACCTGTGGTGTAATTGCATTTCATTGCTACTGTTTATGGCAGATCTTACATCCTCTGGGACACTGAAACCCTGATTGTCCCTTACAGGTGCCCTCAGCAGTCTGGTTTCCTCTGGGCTCCTTTGCATCTCCTTAGAACCGTGATTTCCACTGTGGGTTGTAGAGTAATTGCAAGGCCTAGCTGAATCAGTAATCCTGCCAAACTGAATAAGTGAAATTTAATCTTATCACTTTGGGAATTCATGACATTTTAAAAAGGTACTCATGCCCATAAAGTTTGGGAGCACTCATTGTACAATATTAGCTTGAAGAAAACAATTTATTAAAATTGCATATAAGGAATTTTGATGAGGTTCAATAGTCATAATATTTGTTTTAAGTTTGTTCTTGGAAATAATATTTCAGACAATATCTCTTCAATTCATGAAAAGCCGTATTATTTTCTTATCACCAGTACATTCTAGAGTGTATTGATTGTAATTAGATTATAATTAAATGCCTTGTATATTTAGATACTTTACTAAATAAATACTATAATATAGGGCAGAATGCTTATTAAGTTTTTAATGTTTATTTATTTTTGAGAGAGAGAGAGAGAGACAAAACATGAGTGGGGGAGGGGGAGAGAGAGGGAGGCATAGAATCTGAAGCAGACTCCAGGCTCTGAGCTGTCAGCACAGAACCTGATGTGGGATTCGAACTCACAAACCATGAGATCATGACCTGAGCTGAAGTTGGACACTTAACTGACAGAGCCACCCAGGCACCCCGGGGGCAGAATGCTTATTAGAATAGCCATGTGTGAAACCTCTTTTTGACATTGTTGGTTAAACTTATTATTTTATTTACATAATTTTTTGGAAATGATTTTGACTGAAAACTTACTAAATCATAATTTAAATTAAGATCAAAAGCTTATAAAATCATAATTTAAATTAAGTAGGTGTTTATTTTACATCATCATTAAATTATTATGCTTCTCTTTCTGTATCAGTATATCTTAGCTTTTAATAATATCATCTCAGGATTTACAGAACTCTGGCTTGCACAAGGGTTTCGGTGTGGTGAAGTGTGAAGATGTGAAAAAGGAGGGGATTAGATAGCAAAATGTTACTTATGTATAATTGGATGTGACACTAAACATGCTTCTAAAGATTTCTATTTCTGATCTCTCAATCAAATTATCCATCCATTTAGGGGAATACAGGGCAAAGGTTCTGAACCCTGGCTTTGCAAAAATAATCAGCAATGACAGTTTCTTAAAGTATAAACGAGTGGGTCATACCTCAGTCCTACCAGATCGGAATCTCTGGGGATGGAGGTTCAAAAGTTGGTTTTTGTTTTTGCGTTTGTTTTTGTTTTTAAAAGCAGTACAATAGATTCAGATTTGGTAACCACAGATATAACGGCAAGCTTCAAGTGAAAAAAAGTTATTTGTGTGATTTTCCTCAAATACTTCATATCCACAAAGACTTTAAAAAAATTTTTTTAACATTTGTTCATTTTTTGAGAGACAGAGAGACACAGTATAAGCAGGGGAAGGACAGAGAGAGAGAGGGAGACACAGAATCCGAAGCAGATTCCAGGTCATGAGCTGTCAGCACAGAACCCGACATGGGGCTCGAACTCACAAGATGTAAGATCATGACCTGAGCCGAAGTCAGACGCTTAACTGACTGAGCCACCCAGGTTCCCCCACAAAGACTTTTAAAAGCTACTCTGACACTACTACCTAATGAATATTAGACTTTGCTTTTTATGAAATAAGCTTCTATTATGTTCTATGTTGAGGCTGAATAAGGTTCTTACATTAATGCTACACTTACCTAATTTTTTATAATGCTTTTAAATAATGCAATTTTTTTTTCTCACAAATGATTAGCAAGAAGCAAGACTCACAAAGAATCAGATGGGAAGTGTTCAGAGAGCAGTACCCGGCAGCTCTAGGGAGTTATTAGAGGCAGGCACATGGAGAAGTTTTGTTCATAGGAATCTGTCAGCTCCTGGGAGCCAAGCTGATTTCTTGGCCTTGGGTTAGGACCTTTCTGCTTCCATCAACTTGAAGGTGCTGTGTTCTGTTGCTGTTGCTGTGGAATCCTGGTAAATTCATGAATTGATGAATCATTCGGAATCAACATTTTATTGCTTCTGCTCAGTGTCGAAGAATGAGCTGATCTCTTGAGGCCAAGGCAACTTGCCTCAGCTTCAGAGAATATTGTGTTATGTGGTATCTTGTTAGGGATCACATGCACTTTCTAACAGCAGGCTCTCCAAAGGACTCAATTCTCCATTTTCCTCTTTGATATTTTTCTACACTGGTTATTAGTTACATTAGAAGAAATAAAAGGAAACGGCTAATTTGATAAATCTTTGTTTCCCATTTAAAAAGATGTGTGTATAGAGTTCCTTTGTTCATCTTTTAGTCCTTTTCCTTTTCCTAAATTACTTCTCTATGTATGCCTCCTCATTTTCTTCTAGTGTATTTTAATTAAGACCGGAGACTTTTTCTCCATCTTTGCTTCAAGACATGTATAAGGTGGTAACGGAACACATAGGTTTGAATTCTGGACTTGACACCCACCGGCTGTGGGGTCCTGGGCACATCACTTGCACTCTTTGGGTTTCGGTTTTCTTCATTTTATATATATATATATATATATATATATATATATATATATATATATATATTTTTTTTTTTTTTAATGTTTATTCATTTTTGAATGACAGAGAGAAACAGAGTGCAAGCAGGGTAGAGGCAGAGAGAGAGGGAGACACAGAATTCAAAGCAGGCTCCAGGCTCTGAGCTGTCAGAACAGAGCCCGACATGGGGCTCAAACCCACGAACTGTGAGATCACGACCTGAGCCAAAGCTGGACCTTCAACTGATTGAGCCACCCAGGTGTTCCTGGGCTTCTGTTTTCTCATCTGTAAAAGGAGGATAATAATAGCTCCTACCTCCCAGAATTAAATGAGTTAATGCATGAAAGAACGTATTGCGAGGCCTGACACATTCTGTATGCAGTGTTATTAGATGTTATTATAGGCCATCAATATGTAAAAAATGTTTGTTCCAAAATGACCATTCTCCTGGCATGTTAATAAATTTATTAATGCATTAATCTGTGAATGGACAGAGTTTCCTTAAGAAGCGCTCCCCTCAGGAAGCCGAAATTCTTCGTCAGCTGTACATCAAGTCTTTTCCCGACCTGTATCGCTTCAGTGTTCAGAACGTAGAATACAAGATGGAGATGCTTGAAGCCTTTGTAATCATGCAGAGCATTAACATGCTTCAAGGGCTGATCCCTCCAAAGGTAAATCGCTCAACTTTCTAGAAATTTCTCTCTTATTAACTGAGCCATGTTGTGCAGAGAGTACAGTATTCAAAATTGGTTGTGTTAGAGCTATGCATGGGGGAATGTTTCAAACATGCCCCTGCATCTTTTGTGTTTTTCTCATTTCTCTTCTCCCCAAGTGAGCCACACGTTTGTAATTTAGTGGCAAGTTCACAGTCATCTAATAAACATCCAGATTTACTTTGGGGACTAACTTGGTATTTCCTGAGATAAATTCTGTATGTTTCCAGTTTTATTCATCTATTCCTTGTTCTTGGGGAAAACTATTGTCCCTTTTACATCTTTATTATTTTTATTGAAACCTCAAAGCAAAATTTAGGTTTGAGAATCAACTGATCAAAACAAGTTTCTTCCGTGCCCAGGAACAAGGTGTGGAGGTCACACCGGAGCACCTGGGGAGACTGTACGTCTTCTCCCTGATGTGGAGCATTGGGGCCGTGCTAGAGCTGGAGGGCCGACGCCGGATAGAGCACTGGCTGCGTTCTCAGGAAGCGCTGACCTCGGGTTTGCCGCCTCTAGCGGGGACCGATGACACCATGTTTGACTATTATGTCTCGTCCAGTGGTGAGTATGCTTGCTTCCGTTTGTACATAACACACGGGAGGTTTTTCCACGGGCTCCTATTTACACAGCTTTTATTTTTCTAAATGGTACTTAAAACACATGCTGTAATATTAAAATGGAAATTTTTATGTGTGACGAAACCTAATTTTTTCTTTTGCAAAAATGTATTTCATTTGTGTCCCAAATGCATATCTTCCCCTTATTAGGTATATTGTTTACTAAACTTTTAATGAATTAAAAACAAATTAGAAATAAAAAGTCTCCAAAGCAGGTAGATCTATTTCAGTCATTGATATAATATAATCAGCAATTTTCATAAAAATTACAAAGTGTGGAGTATATTTTTACCAAATATGTGCTTATCTATCTCTATATATACCTCGTTTGTTTATATGTGGTACATATATATAAAGTACATCTATATAAAACATATAAATAATATTTATATATCTTTTATTTTTGGTTTTATAATTACAGAAAGTATATAATGAAAAGCTTGTGCGATTAGATATTTTAAGTGGTTTTAGGGACATACTACTATCACTATTCTTTTTTTATTTTTTATTTTTACTTAAAATTTTTTTAAATGTTTATTTATTTTTGAGAGAGAGAAAGAGACAGAGTGTGCGTGGGGGAGGGGCAGAGAGGGAGGAGACAGAATCTGAAGCAGGCTCCAGGCCCTGAGCTGTCAGCACAGAGCTCAAACTCATGGACTGTGAGATGATGACCTGAGCTGAAGTTGGATGCCCAACCGACTGAGCCACCCAGGCACCCCAACAAAAATGTTTATTTTTGAGAGAGAGATAGAGAGCGAGTGGGGTAGGGACAGAGAGAGAGGAGAGAGGGAGAATCCCAAGCAGGCTCTGCACTCTCAGCACAGAACCCCATGAGGGGCTCAAACCTTTGAACTGTGAGATCATGACCTGAGCTAAAACCAAGAGTCCGACACTTAACCAACTGAGCCACCCAGGCTCCCCCTTATCATTGTATTCTTAATTTTTATTCAGACATAATTGAAAACTGACATATTTTAAAACTTGCCAAGACATTCTTAATATTTCCTAATATTACCACTTTGGAATTGTTCCTTGGGAAATTCTGACTCGGTTAACACAGACTTACATACTACTTAGATCTACCATTCTAATGATCTTATTTTATGGGGAGATTTTGAAAGATGCTTCATGAGATATCAAGAATGTCTGCTTGTGACGGGAATTAAATCATTAATAGGCATGCGAAGATGTAAATGTTCGGTGTTCACCTCAGGTCAATGGCTGCACTGGAACACATGTACGGAGGAATATGTGTATCCACCTGACATCACCCCAGAATATGGCTCCATCCTGGTACCAAATGTTGACAATGTGAGGACTGACTTTCTAATTAAAACCATCGCTAAACAGGGCAAGGTATGGCTCTTTAACTTCTATTAACAATAGCACATTTTTAAAATGTCCCTTGAAAACACAAGGCATCTTGCATTTATCTCAGAATGCTTTAGGTTGCTGTTTAGAGAACATGAAAATATGACCCAAATTGATATTGTTCTCTACTCACAGCATTAGAGTTGCCTGGTCCCAATTCATGATCAAGTAATTTGTTCTCACATGTTAGTTGAGAGAGAGTGAATTTTGACTCATTTGTCCAAAGAGACGTCCTTCTCTTCTGATGATTATGCTGATTTGCTGGGGCTGCCCATACACATCACCACGGGCTGGGGGAGTTAAACGACAGACCTTTCTTTCCTCTCAGTTCTGGAGGCGTAGAGTCCAAGGTTCAGGTGCTGGCAGGTTGATTTTCTCCTGAGGCCTCTCTTGTTGGCTTGCAGGTGGCTTTCATCTCTGTGGTCTTTATCCGCCTGCATCTCTATGTTTCCAGATTTCCTCCTCTTCTACAGAGGCTCCTTAGATTGAACTAGGGCCCACCGTCATGGCCTCATTTTAACCTCATCATCTCTTTAAAGGCCCTCTCTACAAATACAGTCAATTCTGAGGCACTGGGTGTTAGGGCTTCAATGTGTGAATTGGGGGGGGGGGCACAATTTAGCCTATAATCATTTTATTGCATTCCTTGGGTTTCTTTCTCAACTTCTCTTTTAGGCCGTGCTATTAATTGGGGAACAAGGAACGGCCAAAACAGTCATTATCAAAGGATTTATGTCAAAATATGATTCTGAAAGTCACATGATCAAGAGTCTGAATTTTTCTTCTGCAACCACCCCACTGATGTTTCAGGTACTGGCTCTTTGGTATTGCTCATTAAGATCGAGTTTGTGATAAACTTTGGAGGCTCTGCTCTGTTCACTGGGAAGCCTGTGCCCATTGAATTTCATCTGCACTTTTTCCCAGCCGTGATAAGTCCCTTACAAATGCGTTCAATTGTCTCTATTATTCACCTGCAATAGAATCTCTTCCTAGTTGGGTTATACTGTATAGTCTTAAATTTTGGAGAAATAAAAAGCATACATAGGGTGTTAAGAGGCTCAGTACTGTTTAAAATATGTAAAGAAAGGGGCACCTGGGTGGCTCGGTCAGTTAAGCATCCGACTTCGGCTCAGGTCATGACCTCATGGTTTGTGGGTTCGAGCCCCACGTCCGGCTCTGTACTGACAGCCAGCTCAGAGCCTGGAGCCTGTTTCAGATTCTGTGTCTCCCTCTCTCTCTGACCCTCCCCTGCTCACGCTGTCTCTCTCTCTCAGAAATAAATTAAAAACATTAAAAATTTTTGAAAAAACAATAAAATGTAAAGAAAGCCTGTGAACATGTAAAACCCAAAGCTGAAGGAATGTCATTTATTCCTTCATCAAAACCTGTGTCTTTTCCCTACTGTCTGCTTTTCTGTGGGTGTGACTATTATTCTAGCCTCTAGGCTGGATATACCGGTCATCTTTGATGTGTCTGTCTTGAATTCAGGGCTGAAAATGTAGCTATGGAAATATTTTTCATATCTCCTTCTTTCTCTTCATTCTCCCTGTCCACCTCTCCATAATTCATTTCCTCAGGATCCACACCAGAGTATTAGTGTGGAAAGATCCCCAGCTGGCCTAAGTCCAGTTCTCTTCCAGTTTTGCTTTTATTCCTTGTCTAATCTCAGGTCCCAATATTGCCAATTTATTGTGTTGTATCCTGACTTAACGTTCCACCATGGTTCCCATTATCAATTGCAGGAATAAATCAGTTGCAGGACTGTGCAATTAGCACATTCAAGATTTTACCCCATTGTATTCTTGAGGAGTAACAGGAAAAAAAAAAATCCCTTAAAGTTGCTTTGCTTTTGTGAACAACACGCCAAGAATGACTGAGATTGCAGTGCTGGCCTGGTGGTTTTGCTCTGGTCCTGCGTTGTTTAAGACCCTGTTGAAACTGGGGAGAGAATCCTATGTGTCAACTCATGCTGGGGTTGTTTTCAAGTCATCTCTCCTATCTTTTAGAACATTGCTGCATAAATAAAAGGGATACATTTCATAACTTGAAAATGGAAAGGGGATTTTTAGGAGAATTCCAACCCAAAGAACATTGGTCTTGATTAACTTTGTTGTTCCGTAGTTGTTGGTATTAAAATATCAATGAAAATTGTAGACAGCCTGGCTATATCATCACCTTTTATCACTTAATGTAATAGGTGACTGGAGAATGCCAATAAGCTAAGACCATTGATTAAGTTTCTAAATAAGACTATCAGCTGTATTCTACTCCTCTGTTAGAGATGGAATTTCTAATACTGGCTAGTCTTCTGTCAGATAAATACTATTTACAGAATCATGATGGGAAGGAATGTCCGGATGGAAGGTCAACCTCATATTGCAAAGACTGAGCTGTGATATTTTTGTGTTTGGGGAGTAGCACCTTAAATTATTGTAGGCTGGCAAGAAGCTAATGTTATACATATTCCTTTGTTACTATTACTATGCACATTCCCTTGGTATTGTTTCACATTTAAACAACTTTTGCTAGTTTTACTTTTGGAGAGCATCCTCTTAAAGTTTATAACCTTTAAGGTTATAGGTTTTAAAACATTAAATCAAAGTATGATTTTTTTCCCCACAGTCAGACCAGTCTTACCAGAAAGACCAACCATGTGATTTGAAGGTTGGGGCTTTGAAGTGCATATCAGCTGACCCCCTGGGAGAGAAGGGGATGCAAGTTTTTTTTTTTTTTTTTAATATTTTTATTTATTTCTAGGAGAGAGAGAGAGACAGCGTGAGCAGGGGAGGGTCAGAGAGAGAGTCATAGACTCTGAAACAGGCTCCAGGCTCTGAGCTGGCAGTCAGCACAGAGCCCGACGCGGGGCTCGAACCCACGAACCGCGAGATCATGACCTAAGCGAAAGTCGGACGCTTAACCGACTAAGCCACCCAGATGCCCCGCAAGTTTTAAAATAGTATATGCAAGTGTGATTTTTTTACCCCATTATGTTGGATTATTATCGATTCACATTTCTCGAGACTGGAGTAAATCTTTAAGGCTGTAATGCAATTCTGACAGTAACTACTTGGAGCTACTGAGGCTTTACAGGCAAAGGGCTCAGGCCCCCACACGTCTTCCCTCACTTCAGATACCAGCCACATGCTTTGGTTTCCAGGCCACCAGCACTTCTGAACAACTGATTCACAATTCAGTGGTTCCTATGACTCTCTCTCCATAATTCACTGGAATGACTCTCAGAATTTAGCAAAGTGTGGTGTTAATGATTACGGTTTTATTAAAAGATATGAATCAGGATCAGCCAAAAGAAGAGATGCATTGAGGCAGTGGTTGGAAGGCTCCCAACTGAAACCTTCTTAAGTCCTCAGAATGCGTTACCTTCCAGGTATATCGAGTTCATCCCCAACTAGTAAGCTCACCTACGCTATGCAAAGCTCTGTTGGGTTTCATGACCTAGGCACGACTGATTGAATCATTGACCATGTGATTGAACTCAGTCTCCAAGCCTGCACCCCTCTCAAAATATCCACTGATACCATGTGGTCCAAATCGCCAACCCTCAAATCACATGGTTGGCCCTTCAGGCAAGAGTAGACAGAGGGACCCACCATGGATAACAAATTCTTATTACTCAGGAAATTCCGGGTGTTTAAAGGCTCCCCACTAGGAACCAGGGACAAGGGCCAGCCAGATCACTTGGTATGTAACAAGCCCTGGTCACTGTATTTTTATTAGTAACTCTTGCCATTATTTAATCCTTCAAGGTGATCAAGATCTGTAGATTACGTATCTTTAACATAAGACATTTATTAATTCCCTCGAAAAAAGGCATATGTATCAAAAGGAACCTGTTTGTTGATATAAAATTTGTAAATGATATAATAGACTTCTAGAAGTTACACCACACTGGAATATAATAATTAGGACAATAGTCAACAGGCTTTTAGAACACAAACATCAGTATTCTTTACGGTCCCATTATCTGATTCACAGCTATGTTAGCCCAGTTTCTTTAGACCCCGGTGTCAAGCTGGCATTCATACTTCACTGTTTCTTTTCCTTCTCAGAAGCATCATGGGATCATGCAGTCTGTTCAGTGCCTGTTTTGCCTGCTAACTATCCAAGCTTTCTAGTAAGCTAGACTCATTAATATTAGAAAGCTTTCAATTAGCTAAACTGCTATAATTAACTTTCTCTCTGTAATTTTCAGCCGTTCATGAGTGAGTTCTGAGGGACGTGAGCATCTTTTCTCAGTATCTCCTGATTACCTGGATCCAAACACAACTGAAATCGTAGATGAGAAAAGAGATCGTGTGCATCCCTCCTATGTCATCACTTTAGCACATAGTCCAGTCGAGGTCACATGTCTGTTGCTTGACTTGTTATCTTCACTTAGGGTTTCTTTAGTTTTCTGCATGGTGTCACATTCACATCTTTTGCCAAGAGGAGGTCTGACTGTATGTCCCTCTTCATCTGGAATAGTCTGGTTTACTTCCACTGGCTTGGATTAATAATTAATGGCATCCCTGTCACTATCGAAAGTGTGTCGTTTGGGCAAAAATTATGTGGTCCCCTGATCTTTTCGGCTAAGGCAATTCAGTTGGTCTTTTAAGAGAGCTATCTCAGTTTTTTCCCCAACAAATATTATTTTAAGTGTTTTTTTCTGTTTTAGAAATAATCTATACATATCTTTTAAAATATAAACAACACAGAAAGGTAAGAAGAAAGTTTCTTTAGAGAGTTTCTGGAAAGGCTTATCTTTTCTAAAAATAATCTTAAAATGTTTTGAATATAACTGTGTTATAAATAATTGCATGGAAATAGGTTTTGTTTTTTAAAAAAAATGAGAATCATAGAGCCTAGAAGGAAATTCCACAGTTTTTTTCTTTTAAGACTCAGAACCACTTTTCCAAAGGAGAAATCGTAAGCAGAAGCCTAGGCTGTAAAATAGGTGACCGCAGATTTGCTTTAGTGGAATTGGAGCTGGGCTCCTGAAATCCTTCCTGGCTTCATCCTTGCTTCCTGCAGAGACCCCTACGGTTGCAGAAAACGTTTTTGATTCCTGAGAGCATAGTTTTAGGATGAGTTTCCGGAGAAGAATCATAAGAGATAATATGTGAAAGTAGTTTTTCATGGTGAAGCTCTCTAAAAGTGTCAGGGTTTCCCGTTACCATGAATGTATGCAGGTTGAGGGAGACTGAGGTATTTGTCTGTGTTCACCCAGTTAGTTGGTAGCAGAAACTGGTGAGAAACCAAGTCCCTGTATGTTCTGTGCTTTTCCAGTTCACCCATATGCCTCCTTCCAATGGCTTTTCTTTATCTATATTAATATTCAAATGACTGCTTTATCACTTAGTGCTCTTGCTTTATTTTTAGCTTCTATTTATGTTAATGTATTTTCACATTGTTTTAGATATTTTACTTTTTTAAAATATTGTGCTGTTGAGCATTTTAAACTTTATTAACGTAAGACTTTTCATTTGTTTTTGATAACTTATAATAAAAGGGGAAGATCTTATTTAAGCAGTAGATATCTTAATAAAGAACATAAGCTCTCCAATTTTACTTTTAGATAAACAGCAGATATGAAGAAGCCTAAAATTCAGCATATTTAAAAATTTTTTAAATGTATATTTTTGAGGGAGAGAGAGACAGAGCATGGGTAGGGGAGGTGCAGAGAGACAGGGAGCACAGAATCTGAAGCAGGCTCCAGGCTCTGAGCTGTCAGCACAGAGCTGGACATGGGGTTGAACTGAGCCATGAGATCATGATGTGAGCCAAAGTTGGATGCTCAACGGACTGAGCCACGC